TGAGAAAAACACAATTCTCGTGTTTTCTGTGAAGAAAATACTAGTTTACTGATGTGGGGATGTGCTGGCTGTTGAGGCTGCTGGTGGTGGCCTGAGTTTCTTGGTACCCAACTACCCAAGCTATGAAAGTGAGTTTTGAGTCTCACTGCAATTATGATGAGAAAATGTCTTACCATGGGTCGAACCAGAAATTTTGTGCATCAGAGTCTGGCCTCTGGCTTTGTGCTTGTCCACCGTGCGCAGTGGCCGTGTGCTGGTAGTTGTGACCAATGTAAGGCATGTTGTATTGTTGTTGAACATGACCTGGAGCATTATTATAAGTCCTCTGCTGAGCACCATTGATGTCTTGTAAAGCATTATAGATGCCATGCGAAGAATTAATAGGGTTGTATACTATGTTTCGTGCTGGATAGCTCATCACTGGTCAGTGGACTACAGCGAAGTTTCTATGTTCAAACTTAGTCCATTGGTGTGACGGTGTCTTCGCTTCGGTGGCTTCGGCAACCCAAATGGGGTCTCGCCGGTCGGCTATGTTGTTTGGCTTAAGGCACGGTGGGACTTGACACACCTTGAACTTGACATCGTAAGAATTGAGCACGCCTTATGTGTATGTCGTTTGAGATCTGAGGGACAGAGTGTGTAACGATTCAGATGTCATATCATATAGCATGGGAGAATTCTGTTACCTCCAGGTCAGGGTCAGAATGGGTGAAGCAGGAATGGGCGAGTCCGCATGGGAAGTAGAGGGAGCGGGTACAGATGAGCGTCAGATGAAGCCTGATCGAATTTAAAAGTATGAACTTCGATGTCTGGAAGCTAGCTATAGCGCTCACTGGCACGGTTGAACTCAAAAACTGCAGAATCTTCGAGTCACGGCATGTCAACAACGACAAACAATCATGGCTTGTCGCCGCACAACCATACGCGGTAACTTGAAATCATTCAAAACGAGTACACGTCTATCCGCCTCTTTTTCATGCTTAAACATTGCAGGTGTTGCGTCCATCTCTTACATTTTAAACCTAACCTACCATTCCTTATGTACACTTGTTCAAGGAACATGAAAATTCGACAAGGTACGTACTTTTCTTGCTCACACTGGCGGAACACCCGTTTCGGCTCTCACGCTTTGATTTAATTTTTCAGAGCAACTCTTCCACATTGCAGTATTGATGGTGTGTCAAGTTTTTTCCTCCCCGTCGTTCTCTCCGTACTTATAACCTGTGAGCTTTCAAGTATGGTCCAAGATCAGACGGGCAAGATAATACCAACTTATGGATGGAGGTGCTTGTCCCTCTGGTCACCACGGCGTCCCTGTTCGGTTGTTTCACTTTTATCCTTGTGGTGCTCCAGACTTACTTCTTACTGCAGACTTCATTAGCCGACACATTTCGCTGATACGTCCACGCTTCGTTTTGAATAGCTGTTGGACAATACGTGTTTGGGTGCTCGCGTACCCAGCTCATTCTGAACGTAGTGAGTCGCTGCAGGTAGCGTTTTTGAGCGATATACAATGATTGCTCTCAACTAGCCAGTGCTGTTGCTTTGCATGCGACACGGACGCCCACTCCGACTATATTGACGTGTAACTCACGCTTCTCGTTTTTATCGAGGGGGTCTACCGCAATGATGTTGTCTTTTCTAGTGGCTATGCTGTTGCCAGTGTCCCAGGAGGTTATGAACCATCATCGCGTTCAAGGTGAGATTGTGCGATTCTATGCTGACTGTGAGTCTGATCAGGGTGTTCGTATTTGGCGGTTTATTGGTAATGGAAACACTTTGCTTTAGGCACGCTCGGGTTCTGCTTTCATGATGACACGAACAATTTCCACTTTGCCTGCCTGCTCAGTTGCTCATAAGTACACGTTACATCTCATTACAAACCAAAAGCTAACATTAAATGCAACCAGGTGATTCGGCACGTCTCACGCTGTCATTCTGGCGCTGGTGAGTTAGGTACACAGGCAACCCAACCCAACTCGCCAGCGCTAGCGATGCACATTCCGCACCAATTTTTACGCTGATGAGTTGCTAATAAGTACAATTCGTATCATTCTAAATCGTTATTAATTGTGCACGCCTCAGGCTGTTCTGGCGGTGGTGTGTTGAATTAGGCGTTTGATAGTATTCAGAAACCTAATGCATCTCGCCAGCGACAGTGATATATCACGCGCAATTTATTATCTCCACCTGGCTGGTATTCAGTAGTTTTCCCTATAAAGGACAAAGTGTATTCAACCTCATCTGAACTTCCAGCGCGAGTGAACAAATGATTCGAATCAGCTGTAGCGGGCAATACACTCTTGGGTGTGTCGAATATCTACAAAGATCGCCATCACTATCAACGTGAAGACTACTCACAGATCACAACGCGCTGCTGCTTCGAACGCAGCAAATAATTCAGATATCGTTCATCAATGGACGCAGAGAAACTGATGCATCTCAGATTGTTGTGCCGTCCGTCGTGTATGCTGGCTGGTGTACCCCTTGCCCTTCAGGTTCGTGACAAGAGCAATACTGATCTTTCCACGAGTTCGCTGTGTCCTTGCGAAAAAGATGGCACAGCTATCTCGCTAGACCCCACCGTTGGCGTGTTGAGTGCAGAGCAAGTCTTCTCTGGTGAGTGGACCAAAGTGTGACCTTGTTTTTCAAGACCTGGGCTAATGGTATGTTCTTATTCGTTGGTGGGTGTTGAGCGCAGAGCAAGGTTGTGCCAGTTTTCTCTGGCGAGTAGGCAGTCCCGCTGTTATCCAGGATGCAGAGGCCTGTTCTTTTCAATCATCGTTGTGCTTCTCGTTTTCTTATCAAATTCACGCTGAATTATAAGTTAATAATGCTCTAATACAATATATTCAGGTGGTGGCACACACCTCGGGCTGTCGTTCTGGCGCTATTGGAGTTGGATGTCGATGGAATTGCACAGGACACCAATCGAACTCGCCAGCATCTGGTAGGAATGTACATGCTACACCATGTACGACACGGACACGTTCTCGTAGTCTACGCATCTCCGACCACCAGGGCGCTAGTCACTGTTATCGATACCTGGGCTGGCTACTTAATTCCGCTGTCCTCTTCGAAGTTCCATGATATATGGCGACGGTTTAGACGTTGCATTTCTACTGCCATGCTTCCAGTTTCCTACAAGCAGATGTATGGAAATGGTGATCTTGAATCCTATGAATAAGTCCTTGATATCAGCGTCGATGAAAGATCGAAAGTGACGTGAATTCATAAGATGTTTGGGGCGCAGTCAAAGACAAATAAAATGGCCGCTGAAGCATCCACGTGTCTGAAATGTTGTGTGGGCGTGTATTCAGAATAGCTTGATGCGATGGGATGAGGAAAGGTGGTCTCTGTAAACGTTCACGCGGGCTAAACAAAACTTACAAGCGAGCAACGATCAAAGTTGAATGCCTGCAGATTGACGCGTTAGCACTGATTGTAAATTTGGTCATGGCTGTGAGCTGAGAAGCGATGAGAAGTCAATGCGATGCATGGCGTAATGCACAGGTGCCCTTGCGGAGGGGGCGGTGTAAGGGCATAGTATAAATAGACATATGCAAGGCGGCGCCTAAGGCCAACAACTGCACTCACATTCGAGAATCCATCACTTTCAAAGTTCTTCGCTGCTAAAGCGCTAACGTTTCGGTACACGAAAATCTCCTCTGGACTTCCAGCGCAAATGAACTGATGTTTTGCTTTACCAGAGGACCCATCTTTGAATCGCTGTTCACGTCAGTCACAAAGCACATTGACGCCAGGAGACCTCACCGAGGAACACATACAACGACTACCTTTCCCGAACTTGACTACCACTCGCGGAGACGCAGCCATGGCTTCCACATCGACGAAGGCAGCCGCCACGAAATCTATTCTGACAGCGGCAACAACCTTGAAGGGTCATGAGAATTGGATTCAATCCATATCCTACTTTCCTGATGGCCAGCGAATAATCAGCGGATCTGATGATAAGACCGCTCGGCAATGGGATCTGAAGGCGGGTAAGGAGATTGAGGAAGCGCGGAGTGTTTGCGAGAAGGAGGTACGGGCAGTAACGGTATCAAGAGATAGTCGATGGGTTGTTACTGCTGGTGGAGATTACAAATACGGGGAGCTGAAAGCCTGTGAGGTTGCGACAGGGATCGTGAAGACATTCACAGGCCACACAACGGAGATCAACTGCATTGATATCTCCGCGGACAGCAAGCTGGTGGCGAGTGGGTCAGCTGATTCTACAGCGCAGATATGGAGCTTGGAGACTGGCAAACTTGTGGCCGGTCCATTCGAGACTGTAAGTTGGGTGGGCGCAGTTCGATTCTCAACGGATTCGAAGAAGCTCGCACTCGAGTCGACTGTGGGGATGTGCCTGGAGGTCTGGGATATCAAAAAACAGAAATTGGATGTGAGCATTGGGAAAAGTGGTTTAGGGAGTATGACGCATGCGCCAATTTTCTGGACAAACGACAACAAAACCATCTTGGCCGCATTCAACTTCACGGAAGATTTTGATGCCAAGACAATTTACGAGTTTGACGCCTCGACGTTGGACACTGTCGGAGCTCCCTTCGAACACACTGCCTTTGTCACTGGTCTAGCACTTTCATCCGACAACACTCTCCTCGCCAGCTCCTCGTTTTGGCAAGACACCATCAAACTCTGGGCCTTCGAGTCCCGCGAGCTACTTGCTTTCTTCGACGTTCAAAATGCTGGCGCCCTTGCCCTCTCACCCGACTCGCGCAAACTAGCTTACACGGGACACTACAGTACAAACATTTACATATGCGATATTCCACCCAATGTGCTTGCTCAAGCCCATGTACGCATTTCCCGAAAACATCTACTGCTCGTGCGCTAATATTCCCTTACAGACTGGTGCACGCAAAACGTCAACCCTCAATGACCCCCCAAATGTATGTGCCTTATTCTTTTACTCATTACACCACTCATCAATCATCCATCGTTATCATTGCAGTCTGATGCACCTCGGCGTTCTCCTACAGTGCGCCACAGTTCGCCGATACCCGTCACACCTATCGTGCAGAGGCCTCATGAACTCCTTTTCTTCCCTTCCCACACCGATACAGTCCTCCCAGTTCGTAACGATGAGTCTGGTGGTTCCCCTATTGAAGCGATGCTCCCAAATCTCACGACATACATCACCAAGGACGACGAATATCCTGTTGCTCATGGCGGGTTCGGAGACATCTGGAAATGCACCTATTCCATAGATAGGAGACAGATCAAAGTTCGTTCGCAATATTCTGTTTCTCCATCATCCAAAATTGACAATTGTGCAGGTTGCAGTGAAAACATTGCGTGTGAACACTGCTGATCAACTTGGTCCAGCGAAGACGAAGAAGATCAAGGTAAGAGTCTTGCCGAAAAATTCCATCTGAAGTCACTTACATCAGAGGTCGCCACTTCGCAGAGGATAATGCGTGAACTCAGAATATGCGCGAATCTGAACCACAAAAATGTTCTCCCCATTTATGGTTATACTTATGGCTTTGGCCCATTTATTGCACTGGTCAGCCCTTGGGCGGAGAATGGAAACCTGATGGGCTATTTAGAGTGTGTGGGTGCGGATCTTACTGTCCTTCGACGATTCCAGATCGTAAGTCCTCGCTTGCATTTCGTAAAGGCTACAGACTGATGACAATCTCAGCTCAGGGATATCATAACTGGTCTCCAATATCGTACGTGCTAGTTAGTTTAATGCTGGACGAGAAATCAAACCTATTCCCCGTAGTTCACGCCAACAGTGTCATCCATGGAGACTTCACTGCTGTGAGTTCGAACATTCTCGTTAGTTTCAGATTGATTGAGATGTAATCTCCAGCCTAATGTACTCATCCATGGTGATGGTACTGCGTGTGTTGCCGACTTCGGTCTCTCCTTGATGTATTCGGAGGTCATAAGTACCTCTCAGGCTTCCTGGACGTCCACGCTCAACGGCAATGCACGATGGATGGCTCCCGAGCTGCTCGCAGAGCGGGACGATGGGTCTCCAGCACGGCCGAGCGAGCAGAGCGACATATATTCATTCGGCGGCATCATGTTGCAGGTACGTCTGGGGTAATATCAACTTCTCAATGGGATCATTACCTCCGCATTTAGGTCCTCACCAATAGTACTCCCTATTATTACCTCCGGAATGATCTCGCCATCATATGGGCTATGCAGAAGTCAGAGATACCTTCCCGATCGCGTTATCCTCTGCTGCCCGACAAATACTGGGAGTTTATTGAGAAATGTTGGTCTACTGATCCGCGGAACCGTCCATCGACAGAGGCAGCTGAGGGAGTAATCAGGAATGAATATTATGCGCTATCCAGATCTCCTTGATTCTTGAACTGCCTTTAATACAATCATGTGTTTACGGTACAACGAATTGGATAGCTAGCTCGGTATGCTACTCAGGTTTAGCAAATGTAGGCCCTGCCCCCCCGCCATTTTGAGGTAAGAGCTCGAGACTAAACGTTTCTTGGGGAAAACGAACCAGCAGCTACATTCCTTCTTCTCTGGTAGATTCGAATCAACTGTCCATCCACCCATGCGGTTTGCGATGGGATGAATCGAGCGGATCAGGCATCAATATTCCATTCCAAATTGATGTGTATAAGTTTTTTTACGCATGTCATTGATAGAACAGCGAGAAGTGATACATCGGGTGCAGTGACCATACGAGACACGACAGGGAATACGATTGAATTTGAACTACCCCCTTGAAGCTGATCGATGATCTACAGGTAACTCGCAAAGTACAAGCAGCTGCTTCCATCTTTAGCATTAATCTGTGCTCGTGTAGATGGTGGTTCTGGAAGAGAAAAAGCAACTTAACGTAGCTCTTTACCCTGTGCAAGAGGAACATCGATAATGGGCCGCGACACATGACCCGGACGAAGAGGCCACCAGGTTGTAGGTTGTGTGACAGTAGTGGGAGCAGCAGACGACCGAAAACAAGGCGGTTGTGGGGCAGAATGAGACTGAAAATTGTAAGTTGAAATGAGGTTACGGCGGCCAACGCCCGAATCCTCGCATGAATACATACATGAACGCACCTGAGGCCTGAGTTATGGCCTGCGCCGAACGAGAGTGATTTGGATGTAGACACGACGTAGTGGGTAACTGAAGGAATTGGTCAAATCTGCGCAGAAGCACACGTTTTTGAAAACCGTTGTTAAATAAGTTAGCCTTTCAATTGCAAGCACAAGGAAACACTCACCTATGTACGTACCCTTATAACACCACCTATCAGAAAGACCCATATCCACCGTCCCCTCCGACTCTACCACTCTCTCCCTCCGCTGCAGCCAGGGCGTTATCGTCATCGTTGGGGTGCGGCAAGATGTGTCCAGGTTTGAAATGTCATGAGGGGTGACCTAGGACACATAATTGAGTTGTGGTGGCGGTGTGGTGAATGGGCATCGGGAGGTTGTGGGGAAATTGATGTGGGGCAGAGGTCGGCGAGGATATCTGCGTATTACTAGTACTGATGGAAACGAACATCGAGGGAATGGACCGATATCGATATATACATCAGCTGGAAGCTAAGTTTGAAAGAAAAGAGTTCAACAGTGTGTACCAAATAATGTCAAACACAGGTGTATGACGAGGCTCTACCGAGTCGCTCGTTTCCATGATGTCGAAACATAAGGGGAGCTCAAAGTTGAACGCCCAACACCCAAGCCCAACGCCCAACGCCCAACCTCGTGACTGAAATTAGGTATACCTAGAATAAATAGAAGTAAATATGGAGTAAAGCCACTGATGAGATAAGCTCCTTACCTAAACCTTGTCGCGCGAAGCGCCGAAACCTTCGCCAACTGTCTCCCCCTAATCCTCAGCATTTCTAAACCTTTTCACACCCTAAACCTTTTCATATTCTATTCCTAACCTTTCCATACTTAAAAAATGCTATTCCTAACCCTAATCATAACCCATGTCATAGATTTTATTGTGTGAGCATGTGGCAAAAGTCTAATGAGGGATAACTGAACAGGATTAGGAATGAAAAAGCAAGGTCTCCTAGGTATAAAAAGGTTTAGGTACGATGAAAAGGCTTAAAAGGTTTAGAAATGCTGAGGATTAGGGGGAGACAGTTGGCGAAGGTTTCGGCGCTTCGCGCGACAAGGTTTAGGTAAGGAGCTTATCTCATCAGTGGCTTTACTCCATATTTACTTCTATTTATTCTAGGTATACCTAATTTCAGTCACGAGGTTGGGCGTTGGGCGTTGGGCTTGGGCGTTGGGCGTTCAACTTTGAGCTCCCCTATATTTTCTTGAGCAAATACTTGACCCTCTCGCTGTACATCACAAAATTCTGCGATAAATAAATGCATCTGGGTGAGGAAATCAAATCTCGCATAATTTCTACTTACAGTTTCTACTTCTCCTGCGACAACCCTGTCTCGTTCGGGTGTTTGAGGAGAAGTTACGATCTTTCAGTATGAATCGTTACGCACCAATTTTACGCTGTTGCAACTATCTGGGTGATCATGCCCTGACACCTCGCAGTGCCGGGAGGTACAGTTGCATGTGCAGCTTTGTATGGTGCAGTGCACCTGACCTAGGTCACAGCGCTCGTTTGGTCCTTTCGATCGTCTTTATACTTGTGCCTGCGCCACGACGAAAAATCATGTCCCGGGAATCACTAGACCTATGGGCGTCAATAAATTTTACCTCGTGTCCCTAAGCCAGGCCAGACCGCAAAGATGAACGGCCCGCAGGAATGAAAAACGGCGGCTTGGGCAGGCCTCTACATCGTGGTTGTCCGGCTCATTGTGCTTCTTGGACATAAAGATACTTTGATCCGTCGTAGGAGGGCCAAAGCGCGCGGCAGGCAGACAATCGATTCCTACGCAAATTCATTCGAGGTCACACCAAGTGTCAAATGAATGAGCAGCACTCACCGAAACCTCACATGTGACCGTCGGCCTTACCTTCCGCGAAGGATAGTACATCTGCTCTGCGAGGCGATTCATGAGACGGTTACTCGTCGTGCTGGACTTTGGTACGTCTCTTGCCTTGACATTGTTCGCGTGGTCCTTTGACATGTTCCACCGAATACGGGAAGTCAACCTTACGCTTGTGGATGCTGAGAGCTTGCGCAGAATGTCACGGTGGTGTGTTTACTGGATTGGGGCACACTGGCAGACGTGCACTGCCAAACTTTCGGTACTCACGTGGACTACCTGCGACGGTTTTTTTCGGTAGTCAAGACCTGGAAAAGACGCTTCTCTGGATTGCAAATCCGAGTATCGTAAATCGATGTGAAAGAAACAGGAACGTTCTGATCTTGTGGCAGTAAGTTGTATCTGCCTATCATGAGCACAGCGACTCACTGTTCTGTGATAGTGTTGCATGTTGAGAAGGTGCGGAGATCGCATTCGATGTCCGTGTGGACTCTTGCGGCCTGTGCCGAGTGGCCCAGAGACGCTATGTGTCTTGGACCCGTTGAAGTGATGGACCGTTTGATCGGTGGTTGGATCTATATACATTTATCGGTGTGGTCTCCTGTCCAATGTATCTATCATGATAAATATTGTCAATTAGATCGTTGAATATATTTTCAATGTCAATGACTGCCCGCAGTACCTGGAGAAAATGCCAGATCCATATGCACGAAAGATATACTCTGAAAAAAGATCCAGCGAGTCGCATTCAATGTTTGTGAACAAATAATTGCACTGTTCTCGACCTACTTAGACATCCTATGTGACAGCTGTGTGGAGGAATATCCCGGTGGTCTGTGCGGTGTACTATTGTTTGTTGACAAAACCGAAGGTCGGTGGCCGCATCAACAAGGTGTGGAACATACAAAAAAGGAAGTCATCCACAACAGCGAAAGGCCTCATCAACTTTTCGCATTGATTCCAACAGTTTAAATACCGCAACTTATCTCCCTTTCCTCCTCTTTCACATACATCACTTTTTTCCCTTTCCACAATCTAAGTTGTGCACTGTAGGTTACTCCTGTAACATTACTTCATCTGATGTCACTCATTTGATCCTTCCATAGGCTATCGCCTGGTGCCACTGACGATATTTCACTCTTGCCCGATAATCAAATATGGACCAGCAGGACCACTTTTCGTTGCCACAGAACACCTGCCTTATTTCCGCCCCAACTCGCCGGGATATGGATGCAGAACCGTCTCACCATTCTACAGTGGAAGCTTGCCAAGCTTCTGTGATGACCGCGAACCCTCCGACTGGAGTAACTCATGCGCCAGTGCAGGCAACTACTGACTTAGTCCTCCCGTATTTTTCTCCCGTGCCATCCACCGTGCAATTCGAGGTGCCATTCGGGATGCAGGGACATTATTTTGAGCAGGAGTTCCTGGAGCAAGCACTAGTTGGCACAGCCGAGGAGATTTCGGTGAAGCAGGGGAACCACGAGCAGGATGGCGATGATGATGTGCTGGAGGATATTGGACAACTCCGCTTTTCCATTGATGACTACCCCGACCATGTGAGTCTAATTTATTTCTTTGTTTCTCGCCATCTCACTGGCACCTGTCCGTGATTCAGCCTATCATCACCTGGCCACAAGGGCCATTGGCTATTGAGAAAGGCTCTATGGCTGAGCCGCTGTCTGTGATCGGGCAGCACATTTCCTCTATCCCGGCCACCCAAACCGTTGCGCAAGCCATAAAACTTAAGCTGAACTCCAAGACCCCGGGAGCTTCACCGCTACCTAAATCCACGCAAGATACTGTATCTTCTCGCGTTGTGGAATGGCGTTTCCAGTCGCTGTATGAACCTCCCCCGCACTCCCGTCAGCGTGATGCAGATGCTACCTGAACCTCCTTGATTGACGAGTCGGCTTCGGGCGTCGCAAGCACTTTCATGGCCTCTCAATGGATAAAATGATCTCATCATTTGTACTGTACAGCTGTGATATTCGTTATGGATTATATATTACTTCATTGCGATGTCATATCCCATATGTTGGATGTGTCTCGTATATGTCCTGGATTCCGGAATCAAAATATCAAGTAAAAGATGTTCGAGATCTAAAGAATACGAATGACATATGTTTCCACGACCCGATGGATGGCCCTCAGCCTTTGGACTGGTAAGAACATATAACGTATCAAGATATGACCGCTATACGTATTTAGTCTTTTCATTTTACATACACGAACACTCCTCCTACCATGCGTCATACACGTTCCCTATTGGTTCTCCGTTCCAATCAAACGTATTAATTCCTCTCCTCGTCGAATGATCTCCCTCAGTCTTTTGAACCAAGACTGAGGTGAGCTATCTTATTGACATCCCTACTCTACTCCTACTAACTACTACTCTACTAGTTCTGTCCTCGCCCTTAGGTATGATTTATAATAGTCTTTTGAACCAAGACTGAGTTCTGTCCTCGCCCTTAGTCCGAGCCCTGTCACCTTTGATAGGTTATGAGCCCTGGCTCAGACTAGGCCTACATTCGTTTCTCGCTTCCGCTCGCCTTATCTGAGCCTCTCCGACTTTTTCCGAACTGGAACAAGGTCGCCCTCTATCCCCGCTTGACCCGCGGATCTTATCCATTCCCTTGCCGCCATCGCCGCCATTGACGCCTGTCGTACCAACTCGCTCGTTACCAAACCCATCTAATCTTCCCATTCTACTGTCGCCATCGCCGACACATCATTCTACATTAGTGATGTCTACTATATCGTCGTCCAACATCCGGATTCCAACATCTTTTCCTCACCCCCCTCTGGACGCCAATGGCTCCAACTATACATCGTGGGTAACGACCATGGACCTTTGGCTCTCGCTCTTCAACCTTTGGCGCCTCCTTTCAGGTGATGAGAAAGCCCCTCCGCGCCCAACCAGAAGCACCACGGAGACTGACGCTGATTTCAACAAACGCCTCGCGACACATGATGCGAGCGCGGATGTCATCTCTTTCCGGGAACGCCAAAGCATAACCAAGGGACTTCTTGGTATGGCAGTACACTCTAGCGACCTCATCCACTTCACGGGTGTCGCTGATCCAGCTGCCATCTGGAAAGCGCTAGAAGACAAATATCAGGCGTCTGTTGGCATTCGTTTTACGAGCCTTATGGGCCGTATCTTTGACCTTCCCAAAGCATCTGATAGCGACTCCCTTACCAAGACCATCAAGGAGATCACGGACATCAAAGCCCAATTCAAGGTCATTGAATCCATCGAATGGAAGTGCAATGAATATACTCTCGTCCAAGCGCTGCTGCGTGCCCTTCCCGACTTCTATGCACCGCTTTCCCAGCTCATACTCCATAGCGCTGACGCCAATGCTGGAAAGCTAACGCTGGAAGGAGTCATCAGCCAGATCAGGAACTCGGAACAATATTATGCAAGTTTCGGCTCTGCAAGCCCGCATGCGCACCACACAGCCATGGCCGCTAGGGTGGCAAAAGCAGGTAAACCTACCGAGCGTGTCAAACCGAAGGATTTTGACGCCTCCAAGGGGGATAAATGGGAATTGTCGTGGCGTTCGACATGTGGATCTTGCAAGCGCACAGGCCACATCTGGTACAACTGCCGTGCCCGTCTAGCAAAATCAGACTCACCAAACACGTCAGCGTGCATTCCCCCCTCACCTTCGCAAGGCACTAACGTGTCAGTTCTCCCATCAGGACAACCTGACGGCACCCCATCGTTTCTTCGTCTTCCTACGCACTCTGCCAGTTTCTCTAATACGAGCATTATTTCTTTTCAATTCCACGTAGACTCTGCCGCCACCGCACATATGGAATCCGAGCACTCTCTCTTCACTCGCTACAGAACCTATAATCCTCCCTTAATCGTGAAACTTGCAAATGACGATACTGTTCTTGCCCCAGGTTGGGGATTCATCACGCTAGCGCTTGACAATAATGGAAGCCGGGAGTCCATCGAACTCCCCTTCCTCCATGTACCAGATCTACGGTGCACATTGATATCCGTGTCTGCTCTAGCGTCGGAAGGAATTTTCTTCGAAACGGATGCTGAAGGAGGACAAATGCATCGTGCTGATAAAACTGTGATCGCACGTGTGGAATGCTCTGCTGGTCTATACTATCTTCGAGCTGCGCACACTCATGCTGCCTTTGCCACCAGGTCTGCTTCGGCTACACCTTTACCACTAGCTGTATGGCATGCGCGCATGGGCCACGCTGCAAACTCTACCTTGCGCAAAGCTGAGAAGGTTGTAGTAGGACTGTCCCTTGACCTACTAAACAAATCTGCAGGACTTGGCGACCACATTGACTGTCCGTCGTGCCTAATGGGTAAACAGAAACGATTGCCGTTCCCGTCTCATGCTCGGCATCGCGCAACACACGTCGCTGAACTTGTTCATACTGATGTCTGGGGACCCGTCAACACTGCGACCCCATCCGGCGAAACGTACTTCGTTGCCTTCACAGATGATTTCTCGCGTTTTTCGACCATCTACCTCATTAAGCACAAGAGTGAGGTACACTCGCATCTTCTGCGATATATCGCCTGGATCGAAAACCAGTCAGGACAACGGGTCAAACGCCTCCGCAGTGATAACGGCGGCGAATACGTCTCTCATGCTACCACTGAATTCCTGCGTAGTAAAGGAATTGAGCACGAACTTACGATGCCTTATACAGCCGAACAGAACGGGGTTGCAGAACGTGGACATCAAACCATTGCCACCCGAGCATTAAGTGCCCACCACCAGAGTGGTTTTCCCCGTTCGTTCTGGGGTCACGCTATCCTCAACTCAGTATACATCAAGAACTTCCTCCCGTCATCGGCCACTGACAACAGAACGCCGTTTGAACTCTTCTATGGTGAACTACCAAATGTCTCGCACTTACGCCCATTTGGCTGCCTCGCGTATGCTCACATCCCAGACGACAATCGCCACAAGTATGAGTTTGTTTCAAGACGGTGCTTCTTATTGGGGCACATAAAGGACGCAGGATATCTTCTATGGGACCCGGCGACACGACAGACGGTGCGCTCTCGAAATGTCCTTTTTGATGAAAAGATTTTCTACGGCACCCCCAACTCAGTTCTTTCGCCCCTCGTTGAATTGTACAACCAGCGCATATTAACGCAGCAGCCCACTCCCGCATTGCCACATGATTTGCCGATATCAGAAGGCGGCTTCAAAATCACACGACCTGGAGAAGATGGTTCCGAAATCGCACTACCAGGACCCAGTACCGTTTCAGTGGGAGTACTTCCGGCCTCTGCTCCTCTCATCCCTGAACCTCCACAACCATTCCCGCAGTCGAACGACAATGCCCCTCACGTTCCCGCTGAAGTCCTGGTAGATACGGTACCATCTCCTGAGCCACGACGTTCAACACGTCAGCGCATTGATGCGAGACCGGCAGTTCCGAAAACTGTTGCCATCCCGACTAAACACGTCCCAGTACAGCGACGCTGGACCTACGTACCGGTCACTGTTGAGGAGGAGGATGATGAAGAAGAAAACCTCATTATTAGTGCTACCCCCGACGTTACCATCGAGCACTCTGCCAAGCACGTATCCTTGGCGGACAGCAGCAAGATTGATGGACGGAAGGTTCCCCCAAAAACGATAGCTGCCGCTCGCTCGTCAATGGATTCGGGTCATTGGGAAAGTGCGATGAATGAAGAGTTAGCCTCATTGGGAGAAAAAGGAGTGGGTGTCCTAACACCACTCCCATCAGGGAGAAAAGCAGTCGGCTCACGGTGGGTATACTCACACAAGTATGATGAAAATGGCCAGATTGCCCGTCACAAGGCCCGCCTTGTTGCGCAAGGCTTCACGCAGATCGAAGGACTAGATTATACAGACACCTTTGCTCCTGTTGCGAAATACGACACCGTACGTGCGCTACTCTCCATGGTCGCAAAGTTTGATCTTGAACTCGATCAAATGGACGTAAAGACCGCCTTTCTCAACGGCGAGCTTGACGAAGAGATCTACATGCGTCAACCTCCAGGCTTCGAAGACGCTGAGCATCCAGACTGGGTCTGGAAACTCCTCAAGGCCATCTATGGACTCAAGCAAGCCGGTCGTCAGTGGAACAAGACCCTTGATGATTTCTTACGAAAAGAGGGTTTTCACCTGATGGTGGGGGTACGATATATCAAACTGGCTTACTAGCCAAAAACCCTAATACATCATTTAGTCTAGCCATCCACACATAGATACATCCTTCATGTGCAATTATCCATTGGAGGCTGTGCCCAGTGAGCACCTCCTGCGCCGGGCGAGGTAAGTATTTGTCCGCCCCCATCAACGAACGCCGTGAATCGCTAGTAGATCTAAGGTACTCGTCACTGCCCCCATCAACGAACACCGTGAATCGCTAGTAGATCTAAGGTATTGGTCACTGCATCAAATGAAGGTAGGTGACAAATGCTTCATAACTTAGGTACAATCAATCGAAGTGTATTAGTCTATCAATAATACTAATGATCGTGATCGTCGTCTACTAAATCTTCGCGAGGAGGGATATCAAGGCAGGGATGTTCATATTCGTCGTCGCCTGTCATGTCAATACCCATCCCGGAAGCCACCAGCGTTGGAACATCATTCCACTTCTCTTTGAACGATGCTGACAGCCTGCGCCGAATAAAAGCCTGCCGCTTCGCATACGCAATCAAGCCCTCCGACTCCTCTGACTTAGCCAGCGTTCGCAAACCAGTACGGTCCTCCCACCATTGCACCTGCCAGTCAAAAAAGGCTAGAACTCGCCGCATCTCTTCCAACAAAAGTCGGACTTCCTCGGACCAACGGTGTTGACGTGCCCTTGCCTTGCACCACTCAACACGAAGCGCTGTAGGTCCAAATTAGCTATGAGCATACTAACGTGAAAGCGGACACTTACAGTCTTGCAAACTTTCAGCATCGTCGTTAGAGATTCCACGCGTGAGCCATATCCAGGACATTATACTTGTGCCTTGTGTTTTCCCTGCAAAGTCCCCTATAGGACGGAGGTGAGATCTTGTGAGCGGCTGTAGTTTTTGTTCCCAACCGGTGTGATCGAGATGTTTGGATAGAGCAACCAGTGCCTTACGTGCACGTGAGTATTTTGCGTGGCTCATGACCAGGCGTTCTTCGACAGCGTCGAGCGTCTTCCTCGCGCGAGTGTTGGGATTTTGACCGCGTATGTGATGTTTTTTGAATTGGACCAGCTGCCGACGAAGGCGGATATGAGTGCGACACTCGTTTAGTGCATCGTGGCCTTGTGCGAGCCGGAGAGACCATTCGATTTCGAGGAGTTTGCGATCACATGGTACATGATCACAGACCTCGGAAGGCAGAAGGAGCTGCGTGTCTTCGGCCTTTCCAGAGTTGGGATTTGGCTTGGGACAGCCACTATCGTCGTCGTCGTCACTTGACAAGTCAACCAACCTATTGGCACGTAGGTTCGCGACTGATGGCATGTACAAAGTCTGAATTGTCATCCAAGCATCTATGCGGCGGAGGAGGGCGTTGCTGCGGGTCAAAATGCTGGTGCATTGATTGTCGGTTGGATGTTGACCGAGTAATCCTGCGTCTGCACGTAGTCGACGTCTATAAAAAAAATGAGTTCATATTCATCGCGTAATCCACATGGGAAACTCACTGGGTATGTTCAAGATCAATGCCAGTACTGATGAGGATACTGCAAGATACCTCAGAGTGAAGGGACACAGCAGTGCCATCCTCCAACTCCTTGGCATCTTGTTTTGCGAGCTCCAGCCGAACGGCTGCCTGAGTCATGGCTGCAAGAGCGTTAGTAGTGTACCAGTCCTTAGAAAAAAGGAATACATACTATCAACCCGTCTCTCAAAAGGATTAGGTTGGGTGTGATCAACCTCCCAAGTCTCAATCTCTTCTCTCCATTCTGCGAGCGAGGAGGCACCTAGTTCGGACTCTCGGATTGAGCCTTCGAGTTCGGATAGTGCGATGCGATGCTCTTGCTCAGCGCCAACCGCTTCGATGACCTTCCGTAACAATACTCGTCCTGATGGACGAGATGTGAGACAACTATGGCAGCAGCTAAGACGGTACATACCTAGTGACGTGATTTTCTTCCAGTTCCAGTCTCCGAAATAGTCGTCCAGTGTATCTCGGCGTGCTCCAGGACCCATCTCTTTAGTACTGGTAGCAACGCGATTAATATTTGCCCAGCCACGTTCGGGGGCTTCTCCGTCGGTTCTGCCAACACCGGGGGACCAATTCAGCGAAAACATTGTTTGACACGCCTCGATATGAGCCGCCAGATGAAACTTGGGGACAAAAAAGCGGAATGTCTTTCCGGCAAGGTCTGGTTGAAGGCGGGGTGGCAGGGAAGGGACACGACTCCAAAGCTTCTTGTGCCATTGGCACGCGATGTCGTAAGAGAAATTGACAGCCTTGAGGCTCGCAAATGTCAACAGCGCCGAAAACACGAGGTAGTCCATATTTACATATCTAAAGTGTGATGCCATAGGTAAGCAGAAAATGCAGACCGAAGTACGCATACCTTTCGCCCTTCTGCAAATCCCCCACACCATTTGCTAATTTCATATCATGGCGGGCACAGTCGACTGTACCGACGCCCGTAGCAGCAAATCCTTTCGACGATTTTGTATCCGCCATGTTCACGGCGCTATGGCTCACGCAAGTGCTCCTCTGTTGATAGTAAGTTTGCGGGCACGACTGTAGTTAAGAGTATGTACCTCTTGTATGGCAGCTGAGCTGTTAGCTATGTAGGCCTTGTAATGCCCCTCGTTGACGAAGTAGCCCCAGCCGTTACTGAGACCTGGGTCTTTCCTGTCGGAGGAGATCGCTCGGCGCTTAAGACGGAAGTTCGCGTCTATTGCGAGAAAAACACTATACATCCATCTGATATATGTTAGCATGTATTCCGCCACAGGCGGTAGAATCACTCACTGTTGACCCAATGATTCCCACCCGTCCGGTAAATTTTTACCGGGTTGTGGGCATGCTGGGCATAGGAGAACAAGTTCTCCCTCTCGAGTTCCGCTGACGCCTGCGGGATCGTGACCGCGTCCAGCGCGCTTCAGTGACCTAAGATTTCTCCACTCGCGCATAATCCTAAGAAACACAGAGTAGCGATCCTAGACGTTGTATAAGTATAGTTCCATAAAAGAAAAGGAAACCTACTCGTATTGGTGTGACACCAGTATTGTCACTCTGGCGCGCCAAACTATGATAGAATTCATATGCCGATACTTTCGACTCGAATGAAAGGAGATGGAAAAACTTCAAGACGCCGAACGTTGCAGCGGTTCTAGGATTGGTGACTGTCGCGGGGAACAAACGTGCCCGAAGTAACTGCTTGTAGTGAGAGGCTTCGCGTTCGCAGCCACAGAAGTCTAGACCGACTTCGTGAATACCATGAATATCAATGATGATAAAGTCATCGTGAGAGGCAGGCCTCGGGCGACGGCATGTTTCTCCCAACCTGTGACCAAGTTGAATGCGAAGGCCTAGAGACTTGAGGGTAACAGCGTGAAAAAAATCATCCTTCCATTCCTAAAAGTGTGATGAATCAGAATACAAGTACGGTACAAATGGTAACCATTCTACTAACCTCCATTCTATGGAACGGCATATTGAGGTGTGATCGCAAAATGCATGTGCGACAATATAGCAGAGGGGACAGACAATCTTGACATCGAAAAGAGGCGGAAAGATCCCCACATGAACATGGTTCACCAGCGCTCTTGCCTCGCCCTTCCAAACAGATGAGTTCATCCAAGTATACTTGGCGTTCTTGCAGCCAAACAGCGATAGGATCATCCTATAGACATGCTCAAAAATAAGTGCCGGACGAACAGAAACAGATGACTTACTCCTGGTGTTCTTTGGCTCCGTGCTCGAATTGACTCATCAAAATCAGACTCTGAAGCGCCTATGTCCTGACTGAACGTAGTCTCATTCCATGGGTCCATACTAGGTACATGTTGAGGCACGTCTTCATCTTCTATTGCAGCAGGTTTGGGAGCAGACAGGTAAGATGTTCGAAGGCTAAAGTCGCCACTGGCCTGCAGGGTGAAGTTGTGATGTCGGGTATTGACCTGGTCGATAGTTCCATGATGGACATGCCGGATAAGTTTGGGGCGTTTCGATGGGCGACCGCCAGCTGACATAACTGTGTAAAAACAACTTGAAAGGCGGTACTGGCGGTACTGAACATCGTGCTGATGAGCACTCTGGAAGCCACAGGAATATATCCCCGTGGATGATGGTATGGTGGTTTTTGCGATACTAGTAGAAGGAAGTTAGCTCAGCATCCATCCAGGGGATATATCGTGAGGCATCAAACACCCTACGACGATATATCAAAGTGGATAAGGGAACTCACCTTAAAAAGTTGTCCGTATCATGGTCCTTCATACCTGCCCACTTATTCCATTCACGCTCCAAAAAAAGGTAGGATTTCACGTGTTCGCACTCCAGCGCTGGAACTAACAAGATCGTGAGTAGATGGGAGATCAGTGGCAGCCAACGCAAGAACAACACACCTGGCTTATGCCTCGCCTCACCGAATTCCAACATCTCCCGATCCCGACACCTAAGACATTCAATGTGAATCTATTGGAGGGATGGTTGCAGCGCTGGCCTGAGCAGGACGTACTATGGCCTGACCAGGAGGCAGAGGTCAAGTTGACAGAAGATCAGAAGAAAGAGCTATGTTTAGCTGAAAAAGACCGCGAATATGTGAGTCATACCTTGTTCCATTTCATAATTGCACAGTTGACATATTTTTAGACCTTGATCAGCTGGCTTCGGTGGGCGTGGCTTCGCCCAAGGCGCGCCCGTTCGATGTATGGTTGTTCAGGTTGTTGCGGGACTCAGGACGGACATTGCGTCAAGTACCCAAATGGCCCGCCATCTTTATGGTAGTAAACATAATTTTTGCTCATGTTCACAAAGGCGAGAGCTCATCAATGTAAGCTTGTATGTACACATGTATGTGAGATGACATTGCGCTGAGCGCTGAGCAATTAAACTACTGCCATAATTGTTGAAATAAAAACTCATTATTGTCATATTTTCGTTGCAAGTCCATACCATCCACCAAAACATCGCATAAGACATCTTCCAGTGCAGAGAGCACGTCCTTGACATTTTTTGTAGCGAGACTGGCCTTGGCATACCTTTTGCCAACAACTCCTTGCATGAGTAAGTCGGTTTCTGCCTGCCGAGTCTCGAGGAATATCTCTTCGATCACTCCTACGGCTGCCCGAAGTTTTTCTGACGACTTCATCTCCAGGTATTCCAACAAAAGGCCGTTGATAATGTCATATGGTTCACCTCCGAGGTAAACTGTCATGCGATCTCGCTTGCTGCAGCGCAGTTTCTTCTTTGTCGGTTCGGTACCAGTAGGTACATCCTGTTCGCTTGACATTTCATAAATATAATGTACTTGAATTCGATAGTTGGGACGTACATCGTTGATGAACTACAGGGCAGAACACCCGCATCGTTGCGCCTGGTGGCTTGTCGAGCGTGATACTTTTCTTTCCGCATGGAACTAATTGCAGATTTGTTCCTGTGAAAACGTCAGATGTTGGCATAGCCTCTCGTAAGTACCAACTTCAAGTAGATAGAAACATACCTTGCATAGTATGACCGTCTGTGTACCCGTTTAGCTTCGTTGCGTTCTTCGGGTGTATTGTACAGCTTTGGTCGGCCCATGAGTGAAGAAATATACTAAGTGTTGATGGTCAAAGTTTGTTTGCATTGGTCGGTCAAATTGTTGGACTTTTATAGGATTGAAACTCACCGTTGAACCATTAATCGATATTAATCAACTGACTCTGTGTCCTGGCATCTCATTCGTAATACTTACTTCTTGATAAAACTATGTACAAGTCAACTATCGGGTGTATGAGTGAAAAATGAGCAAATGAATATCACTCCGGGACCTTTCAATTGTATTTCAATCGCGGGGGTTTCAAGTCGCTACAACTGGTCACACGTTGTTGGACTTTTATTGAACTCATTGCAAAACTCAACATTTAAATCCTAGCACTTGTTGAAAAATGAACGATGGGTACATAGCATCAGTCTGGTTGCAACTAGAAACTAGAATACATGGTCAATAGCTATAGTATACATGAAACAACTCAATAAATATGAAGTGTTCCACGGCTGCAAGGTACAGGTTGTCCGTGCGTGGGATAATGATGGCACATTGCAATCCCATTAGCACATATCTCCTTCTGTAAATTTTCATTTCGGTTGCAACCCGGCAAAACTTATCAAGTCAGTGTACGTGAAACATATGATATGCAAAGCATTACTAAAACATAACAAAAATAGCATGGCCCCTCCAAAGTGGACATCAGTCGAACAAGAGGCTTGGCTGCAACCTTGGTATGAAAAATTCAAGGTAAAGCAGAGCGAAAAACACAAGAATTACAAGAACTTTTTTGCCGACCTCAACGAACAATGGTTCGAAGAGTTCCCAGAACCAAGGCCAAGTCATATCACGCAGGTAGGACCCCTGACGTTAATAGAGGAAGCTGAGATGGGTGTGGCTTGTGATGCACGTAAAGCGGTGAGTATTGGCCCATTAGGCAATGAACAAACAACTCAACTAATACATGCGACAAAGAAATTATCTACACGATTCAAAAATAGCCTGGGAAGTTCAAAGACAGGGAGAAAGGCGAAGGCGGATACAACGAATGTAATTGATGCCGTCATTCGCAGCATTACTGAGTGCGAGAAGCCCACACGTATGCTTCAAGAACAAGAGGCATACTCGAAATTGTTCTATACGACCCGTGTTCAGCCAACCGTAAAAGAATCCCTGAAAGCTGTTCAGGAACACAGGACACTCACCAATGGCGAACGTGTCGCTCTTGTGAAGAAGGAGACTGCAGCATTGTATGCCCAGGAGTCACCTGATATCAAAGATCAAGTGAAGCAGTATCTTGAAGACGAGAAGCAGCGCAAACTCCAAATCAAGCAAGACGGACGGAGCCAAGTGTCTGACTATTCACGGTGAGCTTTGACTCATAATTACGTGCTTCATACTGCCAGCTTACCTCCACTTCGAAAAGAAACCTCGATAAACTTGCGGCAGTCGCCAATTCATTCCTGAAAGGGCTGGCGGAGGCAACTGGGATGTCGTTCTCCCTCCTTGCTGGGGGTCCATCTCCCGAGGCACATGGGGCAATTGACGTCTATAGGTAAGCTTGCGATTCACTAAAGAAAATGCAGCCATATCTTACCATTCCAGTTTTCATATTGGTCAAACCAAGCTAGGTAACAACTTTAACACGGCTTACCCTGGGTTTGATGTTAGTGTGATGGAGCCTTTCCGGGATTTTCTGCATCGAGTACATCGTGAGTTTTGAATTAATCCTGAAATTAAATTTGTTGAACTGACTGGATTTTCAACAGCGGAGGCTGGTGTATCGACACCACAAGAGGGCAGTAGTGAAATCAGTGGCGACACAGGTGGCTTATCGACACCTTTGGATGCCACTGACTTGGATCTATATGAGTCAGGCAACGACCTTCTGTCCTTTTTGGATGTATCATCAGGTACCAGCAGTGACACTGCCCATTACTTATCCATGATTGATGTATCGTTGTCAGGTACCAACAGCGGCGTTCCTGATACCTTGTCCATGGAGGATACATCACTATGGTCTGATGTGCAATCAGCGCAGCCTGCGCTTGATCAACTCCCCTCACAATCTCACGTCCTTCCGGAGTCAGCCACGACGCCTTTGCTCCCTTCATACAGTGATACCTATATGCCTCCGGACTTGGATGCATTTCTTGCTCAGCTGGAGGTTCAGCTGGCGTTAGAACCAGGTGCATCAGAAACCGAAACCACTACTCTGCCGCCCATGTCAACGCTTCACTCGGCATCACCTCTCACAACCACCGCCAGTACCTCCATTCCCCCACCAGATACCACCGGCAACTTGAGTATACTGCCCGCTGTCTCTCACACTCCCCAACCGGTTGGAACACTTACCAGTGAACTTCCTCCTGCTTCGACAACTGGTTCGTTGAACGTGGATCCATTGGCGCATGCTTCGACAACTGGTTCATTGGACGGGGACCCATTGGCGCCTACCTCGGGTAGCGAATGTCTTGATGACATAGGTGTCAATACTGAGAAAGATGGGCCAGCGCTTGAAACACGCAGGACCAAGCGCATCCCCAAGCCATCAACACGCAACGACACTGCGAACGCGATTGGCGGTTCTCGGAAGGAAAACAAGCGCCCCGCTGATACGTCTTCAGACCATGGACCTAAGTGAGTTATTGATATCGAACCATTGATTCTCAATTTGACTGAATGTGTCGGACAGGAGGACGAAAGTGTGATATATCTAACATATTCCCGCAACTCGCTCATTTCATCTTGCCCGTCATTTATTCTTTGTGATATATGCGTAGTACTTGCCAATCGTGTAATGAACACCTGTTCTCGAAACTTAAGAGTGTGAAATTTGCCAACAAACTTGCAGCAATGCAAACGACGAGCGGCGAATCATTGTTTTGAATTGTAAATGTGATCTAGATGTTTGAGACTTTCGCAAGATCCGCTACACAGTCCCCGAAAAAAAATACCGGCGTTGCGGAACTGAAGTTCATGTCCGTGCGGTCACCAAGAATCATCTGGTCAGTCCCATCCACCCCCACATCCTCATTCACACAGATCGAGCGTATAGACCCTGACCTTGACGACACATCCACGAGCTCCCTCTGCCCCTCCCCCCTGTGACCGTCGAAGCTGATAAGAACTACACGATGGAGGGTTGGGCGGAGGACATCGTTGTGCCAGCGTGCCAGAAGGTCCCCAGCATTGACGACAATGGTTCCAGGCTATTGGGGTAGGAGGTCAAGAGCAAGATGAGTCGATGAAAATGAACCGAGTGAAGCAGGTTAATAATGTTTCGTGTCAGGGTTCTGGACCTCTAAACCACCAATCAAAGCAAGTTCAAATTCGACAAGTGTCACTGAAAAGAACAAACTCGCCTGTGTGAGCACCAGCCTAGCTTGACCATCGCCTAAAAGTGAAGAGCCACAGAGACAGCCGAGAAATCCAAAGAATCGCGTGAAGTTGAACGTTGAGTGCAGAGAAAAGTAGGGAGACGCCCTTGATGAGACATTACCGAAGGTGTCGTTGAAACTCACAGCGAAAAGACTACAAAGGCAGTTCATAAGCAGGGTATGAAGGCAGGCACATAGGCACAGGCACATATAATCAGAGATCTGCCCGTATTGTTGGGCCAATGGACCTAGATGACCTGCCCATCCAAAGATCTCCAAAGATCCAATCAAATTGAATCAATGGAAGCCGACGCAAAGGGCCAACGGGTGGACAATGTCCACGTATAGTATTAGACCCCTCACAAACATGATTAATAAGCCGGTAAAGCAGCCACCCCAGGATACATCCATGCCACCCCAGGGATACATCCATTCTGGATAGTGGATGGGCAAACAGAATGATGTATTAGAGTTTCTGGCTAACGGTACAGTATAGATATATCATTATAACACTATGGGCTGGGGTTTTAACTTTGTTCGCAGTGAAGCAGACTATAGTCTGTACGTTCTACGTAAAGATGACAAGACCATCTGGCTCCTCGTTTACGTCGACGACATGTTGCTTGCATCGAACTGTCGGGATTTCCTCAACGGTTTCAAATTGGAGATGAGCAAACGTTTCGAAATGAAGGATCTTGGCGAAGCGCGTCATTTCTTAGGAATGCACATTACGCGAGATCGCTCCAAGAAGCTCCTTACCGTCAACCAATCCTCCTTCCTCGAACAGATCCTCAGTGAAACTCGGATGTCGGATTGCCGACCAGTATCCACCCCCATGGTTCCAGGGATCTCCTTGACAAAGTCGTCTGCACCCCTTACTCAAGCCGAAGTGCAGCAATTTGCGCACATGCCTTATGCGCGTGTTGTTGGGGAACTCAACTTCGCCATGCGTGTTAGTCGTCCCGACATCGCATATGCAGTATCGGCGCTGTCAAAATTTTTGAGCAACCCTGGCATTGAACACTACCGCCAGCTTCACCATCTCCTTCGTTACCTCCGTGGATCCACACATCACTCCTTGACTTTTGGTTTGTCCAACCAAGGACTCATCGGTTATTCGGATTCTGACTTCGCGTCTGATAAAGATGACAGCCGCTCAATTGGGGGCTATGTCTATTTTCTTTTCGGTTCCCCCATTAGTTGGCGTTCCCAAAAGCAGTCCGTCGTTGCAACCTCGTCCACTGAAGCTGAATACATCTCACTCTCTAACGCGGCCCGCGAGCAGATCCATCTCAGCCAGCTGCTATGTGACTTTGGCCTTGACCTCTCACTGATCACCCCCACCACGCTATATGGTGATAATAATGGAAGTCGCGCACTTACGAAAAACCCTCAATTCCACGACCGGGCCAAGCACATTCGCGTCCGCTATCACTTCGTTCGAGATCTAGTCAGCGACGGGACCATTATCATTCCCTATGTACCCACACACAATATGATTGCCGACATTTTCACGAAATCCCTACCACGAAAACTTTTCCGCAACCATCGACACTCGCTCGCTCTTCGTTCACCATCAAACGAAGAACCAGCTGAATGAGTACGCCCGCGTCTCTAGCGTTTTGCGTTCGAGTGGGAGTATCAAGATATGACCGCTATACGTATTTAGTCTTTTCATTTTACATACACGAACACTCCTCCTACCATGCGTCATACACGTTCCCTATTGGTTCTCCGTTCCAATCAAACGTATTAATTCCTCTCCTCGTCGAATGATCTCCCTCAGTCTTTTGAACCAAGACTGAGGTGAGCTATCTTATTGACATCCCTACTCTACTCCTACTAACTACTACTCTACTAGTTCTGTCCTCGCCCTTAGGTATGATTTATAATAGTCTTTTGAACCAAGACTGAGTTCTGTCCTCGCCCTTAGTCCGAGCCCTGTCACCTTTGATATAACGAATATTTTGAGACATCTGCGAGCAACAAGTCAACATCGACAATCTAACACATGTAGCAAGCAATGAGAAAGTCACATCAATTTTGTCGAGGTCATCGAAAACGTACATGGGTGAGTCTCCATGCTGCTCGGAAAGGGAAGTCCAGGTAGCGATACGATAGGAATTTGAGATAAGAAGAAAGGGGCGGAGGCGAGATAGTTCGCCTTCGAGGATGGAGAGGCACGATTGAGTTTCATGAAGCTACTAGTAGGGTTATAAGAGAAAATTACTGCTAATGCTGTGATCACATGCTTCGGGCACATGAATACAATGTTTCATACAAGTCTAGCGGGCCCACTATAGATGCACGGTCGCCCGAGTTTCTTTGCGTTATAAATCGCATTGGAATGCCTTATGCTCAGACAGTTTTGTTACAAGGTCAAAGAAAGTTATAGCATTGATGCGTTCATGCATAAGTATGGTGTGAGATGTAATGAGTGAGGTGATCTGCAGATACGACAGAGCAATATAATGAGTGGAGGGTGCTGCAGATACGACCGCGCAATATAAAGAAATGTAATGAAAGAAGGATGCCCACAGGCGGATACGGCAGAGAAATATAAATGACAGATAATGTAATGTGTGGTCCATGAACGATGGATTATGCAGTCCAAATGATGATATAATGCAAACTTGCCCGATGATCTTGTCCGAGGGAGATATCTAGAACCTTGTTCCAATCGAAACCGTATGATAAATCAATCTTCCGACGACTCGCCCGAACCCGGGGTCGAATCACCAGGTCCTTTAGGTCTTTTGGAACAAGACTTGTAATGACGATTCAAAGAGTCCGAGCGACTTAAGCTAGAATCAATGTATCAGCTTCACAGTCGCACTTAAGAGACGCGTGGCACTTACTCCTTGCCACAGTATTCACATAAATGCTGACCGGTGCGCCCACTGTGCGTCTTAGAATCGATATGCTTCAGCATACTGCCTTTATTCATCGAATCTGTCTTTTTGCACTGCTTAAGAAGGCATTTGTACTCGACCTTGCCACGCTTTACGACCCGTTGCTGATGAAACAGTCGTCAGTGAGATAGCTCCGACTAACTAAATAAATTTCACTCACGAAATTGGGAGGTGCATCATAGTCCAAACGTTGGCGTTTCCTAAGAGTCTTGCGTGGGGAGGGATAGTAATACGGCATGAAACCCATGAACTGGGGGCCCGCGGCATACCCATCATAAGATTGTGGGGGAGGGATAGGGTAGCCGTTCGATGTCCCTGAAGGCTGGGGTAAATACATTCCACAGGGAGGAGGGGCGAAGGGGTGGTGTGATGGCCCAGGCATCATTTGAGACTGGGGAAAATAGTTTTCAAACGGTGGAGGGATGGAGGGGTCGTACAATAGCCCTGGGACCATCTGAGGCTGGGCGAAATGTGGTTCAAACGGAGGAGGGATGGAAGGGTCGTACAATGGCCCTGGGGTCATCTGAGGCTGGGCGAAATAGGGTTGAAACGGAGGAGGAATGGAGGGGTCGTACAATGGCCCTGGAGCCATCTGAGGCTGGGGGAAATAGGGTGCAAATGGAGGAGGGATGGAGTGGTCGTACAATGGCCCTGGGACCATCTGAGACTGGGGGAAATGCGCTGCGAATGGAGGAACGGCTACAGGCCCCGTCATATCCGGCATGAGGGGAGGCTGTCCGTATTGTGCCATACCAGCATCAAACACTGCGGTCGCCATTCCGTGCGCTGTGGGAGCCGGCCCAGGTGGAGCGTACTGAGATGAATCGGCATACATGTCGAAAGGAACAGGTTCGGCATGTTGGAGTTGTGGCTGAGGCTCATCTTGGGACGGGCCTGGGATGGAACTTTCGTTCATTTCAGTCGCGTAGCGGTCCATAGTTAATGATAGAATTCTTGAGAGATGTATTGTTGATGGCGCTAGGCCTTATACTGTGGTAGGATAAGATGAGCGACAGAAGGTGGAGGAAGTGAACAGGAGTAACTGACAATGCACAAGTTATATGGCAGATGTTGCAAGGAAAGTGCGATGGATGTTGAAGAGAAGTAGAGAGACGCAGGTGGTAGTATTTAAGGTGTTGGAACCCCTACTAGATGTATGTCACGCTTTGGTGTTTGGTGGAGGTTCCAAAGTGTCTCCGACATATCACTTCCTTTTTCGTGTGATTGTCCACACCTTTTGCCCATACTAAGCGGCATCGTGAGCACAGCCTGGTGTTATACAAAGGAATGCTTCCACCGACCAGATTTGACAATGGCCAAAATGCCCGGATAATCCCCCACGAGGCTGCGGGGACGACCGACTAGCGTGACCGTCGTGAAGAGTAGAATAAGGTATTGGTGAACAAACATTGAACACGACCGCTGGATCTCAATATTCGGATTCCTTTGCCCTTTGGCTGAGCATGTTCTTCGTGTATACGGACATGATTTTTTTTTTGTATGCTGCTGGGTATTGATTGCTTCCAAAAATTGTATACACGAAATCTAATCGACAGGATTTATCAATATAAATATATTGAACAAGATATTGCATGCTTATGACACCACCGAATGATATGCCCGTCCAACCACCAATAGAAGGGTGCGTCTCTCCAACGCGTCCAACTTGCATCGCGTCTCCCAATGGCCAAGAGCAGGTCCACGCATAGTAGAATGCGATCTCCACGCCTCCCTTCTCTATCACATGACACTTGGTCATCGTGTTTTTGAATGAGCACCCTGCGTAATAGTCTGGCGCATGATCTCCGTCTGCGTGAAGCGGACCATGTCAGATCACGATAAGAGACCATGCAAACGAAGGTCAAGGTAAGAGCCGTACCATCAAGTCAAGCGCGACGGGCAACTTGACCTCATGAATCGCCTCGCAGATGTAGTGTCATGTGAGATCGCTGCGCACCTGCGGGAAGTTGATTAGTGCTGGTCCTTGACTTGAGTTTCGAGTTGACTTGGACTAAATCTGTGTAGGGGCCTGCCCGCCGTATGCTTGGGCATTCCTATGATGGATCAATGCGTTATATTTCCAGTGAGACAAGGACAAGCGCAGCATAAAGGGCCCGCATCAACCGACATGTTTCCGTCCCGCGTATGGCACGCAAGGTCAAGGTGAGTAGAGAATGATGCGCATTGTATTCAAAATACATCCCCGTCAAAGGGTTTTTCGGCACGCACCAGCTCATCAAAAGCGCGCAGACAAGACAACCGACTCCACCCCGCTCAAAAAGGCACCGAACCGACTGGCAAAATGAAAATAAGTTAAAATGCTCACCAATGTCCCCGTACTATGCACAACGCTCACATCGAGCACGTCGGCATCAAAACTTGGGTCAATAGGACGGTCTCGTTGTGGGTGAACATAATCGCTTTTCAACCACCTTGCCGATATGTCAGCATCTGCGCCCTCCCCTCCCTACAAGAAGACAACTCACCTATCAACGTGTAGATATTACGGGCGTCGCTTCGATATGGCCTTGTCCAACCCGATGAAGACCCGATGAAGACGAAACCGGGATTAACGTTCAGCCTTGTGAGAAATGGGAGGGATTCCGCTATCGGTAGAGACCGCGACAATATCAACATGGGCGCCTATCCAGATGACGAACGCTTGGCCGTATTCTCTGTGTTCGAATGTCAGCTCCGTGAAATCTAGTCAGAGAAAGTCACATCATGGTCATCGCTCAAATGTATTCATAGTTTATTTCGGTCAGTTTGTTTTGCTAAACCCATTTATCGAATTTACATAATTTTTAAAAAAACTGCCGACACGTTCATGTCATCTTGATTTTCACGCCGATCTCACACAGGATGGCAGCAAGATCTTCAATTTTGTTGAAGTCGAGTGTCCTACGGCAGGCGACGATGTACGACGAGAGTGACGGTTGTTTCAGGATGATCGGTTGGACAGATTTAGATCTGATTTCCTCTGTACCCTTCTTTCAAACACTATCCAATCAAACACGGTCAACATTGAAAAGTAGCCGGACTAACTTAACTTCCTCCTTCAATGAGGTGAGCTCTTCCTTGGTAGCCATTTGCTGACATCAAAACATCATCTGTTTATTACATCCAGCACTACGGTCCTCGAGAATGACCGGGAGATGGATGCACGGTGGACGACAACCCTGAGCTGGCCTGGTGACCGCATCGCCGCGTTGGTGAACTTGCCTCTCATGTTCAGTGTAGTCAAGAGCAAGAAGGACCCACATCATTTACGCACCAGACTGATGCAGGGAATTCTCCCCCATCTCTTAATCACCACCTTTGTAGCAACACAACCTCAACTTATAATTTAAGATGTCTCTGGAGACCCTGTCCAACTGCTCAGGCTGGAACTTGGGAGCTGGGGCGAGCATTTGCACTCGGCCAATTCCGTTGGTGTGGGGTGAGTACCATCGTATTTTTCTCGCGTCACACATGGGCTGACATTGTATAGATGGACCCTTGGCACATGCCTCATAAATATTAATATTTTATGAACGTTTCAGCCTGTCATGACGACTCCGGTGCCCACCGTTTTGAACCTTTCTGCCGATCTGTAGCAACCATCACGAGTACTGGCTCTTTGGATCCAACGTTCAACTTGATACCACATTGTCAGCTCCGTACTGGATTTGTTCTGGACATGAATCCCTTGCTCAGCATCTCACCCGATCATAAATATGGCAACGGCAAATGGACGATACTCTATCAGCTCAGACATGCCTAGAGGCCAAAAGTGATAGCTTGGATAACGCGGATACATAAGAAAACAGTGTGCGGGATTACATTTATATTGTCTCAAAGCTGATCATAATCTAAGCACAGGCTTTGTTGTTCGAATTGTTTTGGCTATACCAATGCAATGAATGATGAGCGTACTAGCTCGATATTCACAGCAGCAGGTCGGTGGATACGATGATGACCAATTTGTGGATCCAGTGAATATCGAGGGAGAATAACATCAAGTGCGTGGGTTTGTGAAGGGCGTCGTAGGCTTGTTCGAGCGGTAGGGAGAGGTCGATTGATGTTATGACATCCAGGGCGAGCCCGAGAGAAGAGGATCGATGTGGGTGCGCAGAGACTGGGACAATACGAGGCAGCCTCGTATGACGAGGAGCCAAGATGTTCTTTCACGAAGACTCATCCGGTAATATTGAAATTCGAAGCTCCGGGGACTGATGTGGTATACACTCAGCTTTCCACCCTTTGCGCGCCTCCTTGTCCACACCGTGCGGGAATACTTGCAATCGCGTCGGATATGTGAAGTCACAGGTCAATGAACGTGACTGTTTTTGTTGAATTAGATATCGATGCAGACATCACCCGCGGTGCGGGCTGGTAGGGAGTACGGGATAATCGTCCCCATGCACATCTGCAATGGTGCGTGCGTGGGTCTGTGAAGGGAGAGGATCGGGTGAGCATGGACTTGAGGACGGTTGAGACGATGGAACGAGGGAAATCGGCCACTAGCGTCGAAATTGAAACCGCAATGAAGGGCCAGGAAATCAATTGAATGCTACACATGTAACGTTTTGGCTATCTATGATACTTAGCCATTTAAGGGACTGGTTGGTGGGAAATTGAAATTGACGCTCTAACACAGGAACATCGGCAATGGCTATGAGGCTGTGAGTGAAAAGCAAGGAGAAGCAAAGTTGAAATGAATAGATGTGCACTGCCATGCAGAAGCGTGTTAGGATATAAGCAAGGAGAACTGCTGTGCTCACATTCGAGATTTCCTCGCTCTTTCTCTTTACCAGCCTCTTTAACTGACCATCGGCTTCAGCAGGGTAAGCGCTGTCATAATAAAAATCTTTATCAGCCATCAGGCTCACAGCGCACGAGGACAGCTTACCGCAGCTCCTTCGGACGCACGCATACAAAGGATATCTTGACTACTTGACTGTTATTTCGCTCGCGGAGATACAACCATGGCTTCCACATCGACGCAGCCGTTCGGTTTGGACGTCAATATGATCCTGAGGCTGGAACCGGTAATGACGTCGGCACATGCCGTGGATATTACATCCATAGCCTACTTTCCGGACGGCCAGCGAATGATCAGTGGATCTCGGGATAAAACCACTCGGCAATGGGACTTGCAGTCAGGAAAGGAGATTGAGGAAGCGCGGGGTGTTTGCGAGGTGGAGATACTGGCAGTAGCGGTATCAAGGGATAGTCGATGGGTTGTTACTGCTGGTGGAGATGACGACACCGGGGAGCTGAAGGCCTTTCAGGCTAAGACGGGGATCGTGAAGACATTCAGAGGGCACTCAAAGAGGATCTTTTGCATTGATATCTCCGCGGACAGCAAGCTGCTGGCGAGCGGGTCAGATGATTATACAGCGCGAATATGGAACTTGGAGACCGGCAAACTCGTGGCCGGTCCATTCGAGAGCGTTGATGATGTGGGCGCAGTTCGATTCTCGACGGATTCGAAGAAGCTCGCAATCAAGTCGGATGTGGGGAAGTGCCTTGAGGTCTGGGATATCCAAAAACAGAAATTGGACGTGAGGAAAGGGACATACAGTGAAGAAGGATCCACTGCATGGACGCCAATTTTCTGGACAAACAAAAACAAGAACATCTTGGCTGCATTCAACTTTACGGAAGACGATGACACAGAACCCAAGACGATCTATGAATTCGACGCATCGACGCTGGAGACTGTCGGAACTCCCTTCGAAGGGCATACGGAAACTGTCACCGGCCTAGCACTTTTATTTGATGGCGCCCTCCTCGTCAGTGCTTCCAGTAACGATTACACCATCAAGCTTTGGACCTTTGAGTCCCGCCAAATTCTTGCCTCCTTCGTCGTTCCCGGTGTCGAATTCCTCATGCCCTCACCAGACTCACTTCAACTAGCTTTCACGACCTGGGGTGATCCCAATATTCACATATGCAATGCTACATCCTCTCTGCTTGCTATACCGGAAATACATTCTATCCTCCCCAAAGTAAGCACTCGCCAGCATCATGAACTCATCTTCGGTGGACTAACCTTCCCTTGAAGACTGATACCACCCTGCGGAATTTACTCGAGGTATGTACCACACTGTTCATTTTCACCATGGTGCCCAATCAGATGAATGATTACAGTCTCACGCAACCCGTCGTCCCACTGTCGTGCGTAGTACCCCAGCGAAATCACCTGCTATATCGTTCCCTCCAAGGCATGAAAGGCCTTCGCATACATTAGACCATCAGCAACCCACATTCCTTCGCCATGTTCACAAACTCTTTCATTTCGCTTCTCGTACAAACGCAGTACGACATGGTCAGCCTCGCGATTCATGGGATGTTCGTCGCTTTATCTTATTTCTTTCATAGTTGACTCACGCATTTCCCACAGTTCCCTGCTATGTCACCCCTGCCTCCCACCCACTCGACTTCAGCGCAGGCTGCAACTCAGTTTGATCATGTTTGTCTTAATTTTGAATCCACTCGCAATGCATCACTGAGTCCTATCTAGTTTGAAATAAGTTCTCCGCCCCCCCGCTCGAACAGAGTCACGCAGTTCCTGCGACAGGGCCTTTCCTTCCACAGGTCCGGATCCCGCCATGAGCCACAAGTTGTTGAAGTCGCAGCCGGCCGGAAAGTCACTGTAACCCAGCCTTGTTATTTTCTGTCGCCTTTTTGCTGACGTGTGTCCTGCAGCGGCTTGTTGCAGCTAAACTACCAGAATATAGGAAAGTCGACGATACCCGACACCCCTCTAGACAACAGACTGCCGCACCACAGGATAATCCCTCGTCTGATTCTTCTGACGTCGATTCACTCCCAGACGTGCATTGGTTCAAGGCGTTCTTCTGCTATTACTCGTGCTGGTCTCATGGGAGACTGAGGATGCCTCCTCGATGGCGCTTGGAGCGTGTTGAGCCTCGCTAGGATTGCAAGCTCTGGTACGAAGGCATATGATTACGGTTAGTTCAATGTATCTGCGCCCATCTACGTTCGTTGAATTCCCAACAATTTCACACGGATTCTGATAACGCATGACATTGTTATAGGTATCATTTTTCGCGTGTTTTCGCACAGAATTGTAGAACAATGGTGGTGAATGTCGACTTGCTCCGAATGGCCAATTTACTTCTGTTTGTGCTAGACTTGCTTCTGGGCAGATGCGGACCTGCCGCTCTTGTGATACCCTCCTGAACCCTAGTATAATTCTAGGGGGACCGGTGCTTTAGATCAAAAAGCGCCATAGAGGTTCACATCAAGGTATTAAAATCGTCTTGTCAGATGCAGGCATGATCACACTTGCAAACGATGAGCCGCATTCCGAGTAACCTTGAGTAACAGATCTGACAGGGACTTTGCTAGAAAACTACCTGACGGTCGTGTCTCGTAGAAATTTCGCTACGTTGCTAGTTGGGCAGAAGAGGGCCAAAGATAGCACTGAAGCAAATACACTCCGAACGTGCAACTTCGAAGGTGCGTAAGAAGCCTCCACGCCGACACAGACAATTCTTTTGGAATGATTTCGGTTTAAATCCCGAGCTCTCGTTGTACAAGGCCAGTGTATTATTAGAATGGATGCAGGGACTTGATTTCATTCGCTTTTCAGTATGAGATCTGAGCTGTTATGTCATGGTCTCGAGTCAGGTGTTCTCTTGGAAAATAAAGTCAATTCATGGTGACCATAGCATGTACATGATTTGAACACGATCATCATGGGAGAACAGAAAGACATCACCATAAGCAGCCAAGGGAAGTGGCTCGGAGGATCTGAGTGTACCTTTGTTGTATCGACGAATGGAGGAGAGTTCGACGGAGATCCGCCTCTACACCATACACGACGATATTGCAGCCACAGCGATCCGCAAATACTTGTTGTACTTCGCTGCGCGAGTCAAAACACTATTCCAGAATGTCTCGCTTGATGATGAGAGTCCCATGGATCTGATTCCCGCCTTCGCGAACATGTCAGAAGGGCTGGGGCCTGGGGGAAGATCGAAGGAAGACTAGCATTGTGTATGCGGGTTAGTACAAAGTGTTGCATGCTTGTTCGAGCTTCAGAGAGAGTTCGAACAATGCTATGGCATCCAGGGAGGGAGAAGAGTCCCGCAAAGACATTGTTCGTGAAGAGAATGCATGCGGATTTAACGACGCAGGTTTTGTTGTTATGCGAAATGTGGGGCTGTGGTGGAAATGCCTGCAAGGTTGTGTGAGGGGAGGCGGGGGAGTGGCCACGGTAGAGAACAGTTGAAACGATGGCAATTGGGCGATGGGCATTGGGCATTGATGCAGATGGTGGTCGGTCTTCGGACGCGTGCGAAACTTCGAAATTGAAAGCAGCCGACGTCTTGCCACCACCCAATAATTCGCAACCATGTACAGGACCTTTGACCAAGTCCGTTGTTGGTTCTAACAGACTGACTGGTAGGAAATGGAAAGGACATGCACTTTGAGTTTGACACAGGAACATTGGCCATAACCGTGAGCGAGGAGCAAGGTGAAGCGGATTTATATTGACTGCTAATGGCGCGGCTATGCAGCAGGCCCCAGGGGCGCGTTAAGGAATCTCCGACAGCAGCGCAACGTGCAATGCTTGATGCATCACGCTGGATTTCTCTTCTTCCTGACCTCTTGGTAACATCAAATACTCTTGTCGTGAAGCAACTGACGACCAGCTCCAGGAGGCAAATTGCTTTCGACCGAGTTGGAAACTTCAAATCCGTACTATCAACGTCAGGCCTGCAGGGCACGAGGAGAGTTCACCGCCGCTCCTTCAAACTTCAAACACTCATTCAAACACATACGAAGGATAGGTCCCACCGAAGTTGGCTACTTGCTAATTTCGCTTGAAAAACATAGGTCATGAAAAAAACATCGATGCCGCCTCCAGCTTCGGCGACCAGTATGATTCTGACACCAGTAATGACATTGAAGTGTCATGAACAGAGCGTTTCATCCATATCCTACTTCCCAGACGGCAAGCAGATGATCAGCGGATCAAGGGACAAGACTGCTCGAAGATGGGATATGCAGAAGGGCAAGGAGATTGCGGAGGCGCGGGATGTTTGTGAGGAAGGCATATATGCGGTGGCGGTTTCAAGGGATGGTCGATATGTCTCCATTGGTGGTGGAGAGCTTGATAATGGGGAGCTCAAGGCCTGCGAGGTTGAGACCGGGATCGTCAAAACGTTTCAAGGCCACTCACAGAGGGTTACCTGCATTGATATATCCTCGGACAGTACGCTGCTGGCAAGCGGATCATGGGATGCTACAGCGCGAATATGGAGCTTGAAGACCGGCGAACTCGTGGCCGGTCCCTTCAGGAGTGTTGATTGGGTGGGTGTTGTTCGATTCTCGCCAGACTTGAAGAAGCTCGCAGTGAAGTCAGAGGCGAGGAACTGCCTTGAGGTCTGGGATGTCCACGCAGAGACATTGGACGTCAGAGCAGGAAAATCTGGCGGCAATCCGAGCATGACATTTGCGCCAGTGTTCTGGACGAATGAAAACAACACCATCATAGCAGCATGCGATTTCACAAATGATGAAGCTACAACGATCCATGAGTTCGATGCGTTCACGCTAGAGACAGTTGGAGCTGCATTCGAAGGCCACACCAAATGTGTCACCGATCTAGCATTGTCATCTGACGGTGCTCTCGTCGCCAGTATTTCCCAAGATCACGACATTAAATTATGGGCCTTCGAGACCCGCCAGCTCCTCGCCTCATTCCACGTTCAGAATGTTGCGTTACTCGTGCCCTCACCCGACTTACGCCACCTAGCTTACACGACCGCTGGTCGCGAGATCTACATATGCAACACTCCACCCTCTGTGCTGGCTGCGCTGGAAGCACAGTCCACCATCTCAAAAGTGTGTATTTGTGCAAATCTATCTTCTGCTCACTGATCTTCTCTCGAAGCCCAATAAAAATCTCGAGCGTTTACTCCAGGTAGGTATCACGTCCATTTTTAAATTATTTTTTTTTTTACGAATCATTGTAGTCCGATGCAACCCGTCGCCCTACTGCAGTGCGTCATAACCTAGGGACGTCGCCTGCCACATCCTTTACCCCTAGGCGGCAAAGACCTCCACCTACTGTAGACCGACAACAGCCCATTTATCTTCGCCTTAGAAACCTCCTTCACTTCACTTCTGGCACGAACGCCGTTCCCCCTGATCGCAGCAATCAACCTCGTGGTCCCCTAGATGTAGGTCATTTACGTCAGTTCTTTCAGAGTTGACTCGATTATTTCCCAGTTTCCTGCTACGTCGCCCCTGCCTCCCAACCGCTCCGCTTCGTTGCAGGCCGGAACTCAGTTCGATCAGGTCAGTCTTCATTTTTAGTAAACTCGCGATGAATGATTGACTCAGTGTTTTTCCAGTTCGAAATAAGTTCTCCGCCTAACCCCTCGAACGGAGTTACACATTTTCTACGTCAGCACCTTTCTTTCCTCATACCAAGACATAGCCACGGTCCACCGGTCGTTGAAGTCGCAGCCGGGCGGAAATTCACTGTAACGTAGATCTTCTCACATCTACTTCCCTTTTTGCTGATTGGTGCCTTACAGCGTCTTGTTGCTGCCAATTTACCTGAATACAGGAAAGTTGATGATACACGGCATCCTTCTAGTCAACAATCTGGAGTGCTTCAGGATGTTGAATCGTCTGACAATGATTCACTCCCAGACGTGCATTGGTGCAAGGCGTTTCTCTGCTATTATTCATGCTGGTCTCATGGCAGACTGAGGATGCCTCCTCGATGGCGATTGGAGCGCGTTAACAGATCCCGCCAGGATGGCGTGACGAGTAGCAACCGTGACGCGGCTCATGGTCACAGTTAGCTCAGGAAGTGGCCGGTTGTGTTTCTGCTTCTAAAGTGATTCCCTCGAGGATGTTGGCAATGCACAATAGTTCGTAGTTTGTATTAGTTTGTATACATACTGTTTCATTTTGATTACTTGTCGTCCTTGTATCAATGGCACACGCGGAATATAGGACTCGCGTCCTCGGTCTGACACTCGCAGAGTCGCAATTGACCACGCGCCCAGCATCATGGTGATCCAAGTGTGCTCCGAGAAAATGTATCGAATGCATTGATCGTCCACTAGCCGCCTCCAACATTTAATGTGTTAGGGTAGTTTGAATAGTATCGAAATCACGACTCGGACATCAAATTGAAATTGCTCGCGCTCCCCGACTGTGCCATGAGTTGGGTTGTTTGTGTTTGTGTGGTAAGAGCTTCTAGATCAAACAAGAACAAATAAGTCCTTGTCCATGAATTGAACAAGTTGAAGGTAGACGAGTCCTGGCCTTCAAATTACCCTGACTTGCGAGGTTTCACAATGCCTGGAGAACCATCGCGGTCGTCTCTTATAGATGTGTAAGTTTCTGTGCTTTGTTTCACCATATGTCTGAATATCATTGTTTTGTATAGAACGAACCAGCAGCTACATTCCTTCCTATCTGGCAGACTCGAGGGTTCGTCCCCAGAGCAACTGTGCGACATCCTATCCGCGCGTTCCTTGCAATTTCGAAATGTTGCCAATCCGTATGGAAAGCCCACACCAGAGTCACGAAAAGCAGTCGAGGCTGGCTCAGTCACGCTCGCGGATGGCGTTTTGCTGCGAGTCGACGAAGTAGAGAGGGAGTTCACGCTTGCAATCAGTGCTCGGTTCGGGATTGACGAAATCTGGGCTTTTGTTCTTCTTCGATCGTTCCTATACAACGAAGGCCTCTCAAGCAATGGAGGGTCGACCGACAAAGGTGTTGTGGACGAGCTCATTGCAGCAATCACGCCATTCTACTACTCTGAACGCCTCTTCGTATTGCGTGCTCTCATTCCATTGTTTCGTGCCCACGAGAATACTGGCGACTCAATACATATCGTTGCCACGAAGTGTCTTCCGAAAATTCTACAAGACGGTCATCAATTCGCACTCGACCTTATCACAGAGTACCTTCACAAAACGGAGATGGACATCCCAGAGGTTCTGCGCGCCGATGCGCGCATTGCCTCCCGTTGGGCTAAACAGAACATGAAGGAACAACTCGTTGTGCTAGAGGTCCTCTTTTGGACAGTCTGGGGATATGTTCCTTGCGACGGACCTTTGGTTGTTCGAATATTTGAAGCTGCTTACAACACGAACCTTGGTTCCTCGCAGAAAAACTCGACGCTCTTACTAGACGATGAAGGCAGTCAACTGCAGCACGACTGCGCAGCGTTATGGATACTTGTTACCATCGAGGTCCTCGAGCTAGAGAGAGTAGGGGAGGACGGAGGTGTGGAGTTGTCAGCAACTCCTTCTGATAAAACGTTCTATCCCTCTTCACCAGATTCGCTCAGACGGATTCATGGGATCGTGACATCTAACTTATCTAGCCAGCACGCTTGTACACACCTAGCGTGGGCTTTCGTTCTGTCGCGGTTGAGCTCAAAAGCTGGTCAATTGAAAGAAATTCCAGAATCGTATCGCAGGTTTTTGGACTCCCTGCATCCACATCACAATCGCTCTAAGGAAAGGGAGCCGTCACATGTACTTATGGCACGGGCAGCTTTTAGTCCAGAAGCGGGCCTTTTCAAACTTTTGTTGACTCTCCTTACGACCTCCCCGTTATTTGTCACCTCCGTTGCTTGGAAGACCGGGTCAACCGTAACCGACCCAAACGCTATTGCTTTCCGCTCTGTGCTCAAAGGTGACAACATTCTTGTGCGTGAGACAACACACTGAGGGTCATTCTTCCTTAGGCTTTGTTATTGCAATGATTGAACTCGTACCTGTTGAACTCATCCCCGACTTCGACTCTTTGGTAGAAGTATGGATTGCGCTGTTTGGGCGCAGCGAGCGCCAATCTGTAGCAGGAATATGTCGACAATTCTGGCAATCGGACTGGCGGCAGGGCCTTGCACGTCGCGCCATATTTGACGTTGCACGAACACGCTTCCCAATTCACTTCCGGCCACTTGTCCGCCTTCTTCGAGCAATGACTGCCTCAGGATTCATCGATACTGATCCACTATCCACTGCGGCATCATCCAATCAACCTCCTACTGAGGAGAGTGATGACGGTGACCGCGAGATCTGTAGTCGTCATGTATTCTACTACATGGATAAGTTGCCTACTTTCTCGCTGGTCATTCCCCTGGCGTCTTGCACTGGCCCCAATGCTGTCTATGAAAAAGCACAGGCTGCTGGTCCGTCCCTCGCGTACACGAACCTACGTGCTATTCGCCTTCCTGGAGGCTCTGTGATGCCTGCGCGCTCGAAGGGTCGACTATTAAGTGGGGATGGAGGGGATCATATTGCAGTGTGTTGGCAACATGAGCACAGCGGATGGAAGGTCCTTTTAGACGTGCTCACCGAGTACGTGACTCGGCGGAGGATGTATGCAGGCACCGTGGACTTGTACCAGGACGTCGCATTCGGCCGTACAGGCCCTGGATCTGTTCCTTTGACGCTCAGGCTGGAAGACGTCGGGATGGAGATTGATGATGGGGGCGATGAAGCACTTGCAACCGATGCTCTTGACCTCATTCGTAGCGTCATCCAAGACAACGAGGCGCTGGCGGAAGAACTATTGGAGTCTCTGGAGAGCGGTAGTGACCCTAACAATTCTTCAGACAATCAACCCCCTGACCTCGTCCATCTCACCACGATGATTCTGGAGGAAGCACTCAGTCGCTCGCATGCTCGAAGTTTCTCTCGAACTCAGTTGATCACATCCGCCATGAGTGTTCTCTCAGCACTATTGTCCCTGCCAAAATACTCTCTGCGCGTATGGCTCTATATCCGTTCAACCAGCGTGCTTTTTGGTCCTAGTCGTACGTCAGGTTTCGCGGCAGTTGCCCTTGCAGCAGAGCGGACCTCCGGTCACTATACGATGACTCTCGCATTGCTCAATCTCGTCCAACAACTTCTCCATGAAGCGTTTGCGTCCGTGCTCACAATTCCGCCTGACAACCAACGCCTTAAACAGGTGAAAGAGGAAGTTCTCCTCCGAGCAGCTGTGTTCGTCCATGGGGAGATATGGGTAGAGCACCTGAGTTGGAAGTATGCCCAGCTCGGCGATAGGTTCGAGATCGGGCGACGAGTGTCTTCGTTTTATGGCTATGTTCTCAAGCAATCTCCTCCCGCTTTGGCCGATCGTCCCTTTCCTGCCCTGAGCCAAGCTGTCGCTGACGCTCTCTTGCACAAGGCCACGACGTCAACTATCAACCCCCTTGTGTCATCAATAGCAGTTGCTCCTCATATCCTCGGCACCCTCTACGCTTCGCGACGTTATGGCGATGCCAGACGCCTAATTTACCTTCTAGAGTCACACCTTAGTCTCACTAGGCTGATCCTCAGCTATAAGCAGTCCATCCCCGAATCCACAAAACCATGTCTTCTAGAACAGGCTCTCTGCGCGCGTGTAGCGGGAGGTGCTGGGTTCACGGATTCTACGCGATCCAGAATAGACCCCGTCGACGTCCTTGCGAATTATGTCAAAGGGCGGGATATTGGCACAGCTGTTCCGCTGGAGTCAATAAGGGTCCTCTATGCTCTCTGCGCATCCCTCTCTGCTACTCAGCCCTCGCCTGCGACAATCATCGGCCATCTCTCAAATCCAGAAGCCACTGTCGCATCATTTGTGCGAATTGTACAGCACCCGTACGAGGATCTTGCCCTACGCAACGCCGTTTGGAACTTCATAGCCCTTGCCGTTGATAAGGAACCCGCACTAGCGAATCTCTTCGTTACAGGCCAATTCCGGGTTCCGAACAACAAGAGCAAGAGCAAGGAGAGCGCTAAATCACAAGGAGAGGATGACTCGAAGAAGCACATGAACGCGCTTGAAGTTGCGAATGAAACCCTTACCCACTGGAAAGAGTTGTGGGAAGCCAATCCTCAGCTCTTAGCATCGGTGTTTCGCTTCATTGATGTCGTGTGGCGACATGGGCTTGAACACAAGAACCTCATTGACGCTACTCGTGGTAATGATGAGTTTTGGACCAACGTGGTTGCTGTTGTTAAAGAGGAGCTTGGTCCCGACCCTGACTACGAGACAGAGATATTCGTCGTATTGGACAACGAGCGCCGATCAAGTCTCCACGAAGCAGTGTCTGTTCAGTCGTATCGCAACATGGTGAAGTCATACGCTGTGCGTGTCATTGGACAGGATATTTTCCTTCAGCCGCAGCCTGGACCCTCTGAGCCCGCGAAGAAGCCCTTGAGTTACACCAAGCTAGCTCCATCATTCAAGTCTGAAGACCAGCTCAATGAACTGATCTTGGAAGCAGAAAGCACTTCATATGATCCCAGTCTACATGACAAACTGGCCGCGCAGCTTCAGCAGGACTTCCCGGGCCTCTCCCTTACTCACCTCCAATCGCAGGATCTCAGTGACGAGCGGGAGTTTGGCGACGACTTCACGTTCTCCATAGCGCTTCTGCGGAGTCGTCTGCAACAGTGTGCGTCGGGTGATGATAGGGCAAATGCAGTGGAGGAAGTGGAAAGGAGAGTCGCGTCCTTGAATCTCAATCTCTCCCTCACCTACGCTCAGACCGCTTTGACGGAGTCGTGGCAGTTCCTCTTGCACCAAGTATTGCCGTTTGTGCGGCCAGTGCCAGAGATTCGTTCAAACCTCCTATCACTCTCTGCTACGATCTCTGGAGACCTGGCTTTAGAGAAAAGGTCGGGAGACATGATGGCGAAACTCCATGGCACACGACTCAACCTGTTGTTATCGATCCTTGAAGTGGTCTGGTTCTCTGACTCGGATACCGACAAGCACATCACCTCCTTCATGAACCTCGTCGATAATATGCACAAAGTCCTGTTGAATGAGGCACAACCTCCTTCTCAGTCGTTCCTGGGACAGTTATCCGTGCCCTTTCATCAGATCCTGCTTCAGGTCATCTACTTCTGTGTTCGCCAGTGCCGGAATCTTGCCAGACGGCCTAAACTCCTCAACGCTAGCAGGCGCCTCGCCCTTTCTGGCTTGGTGGATGCAACGCTTCCGCTAGTAATTGACGCCCTCCGTCTCACCTTCGACTCTGCCCGCACACGGCTTGATCTCGATCTCGATCGGGATATGGAGCTACTGGTTGCAGTCTTCGAGCAATGCACGCGCCCTGATATCAATGTCTCATCTCTAACGTGGTTGACTCGATGCCAAGAGACGGACGTCATCAAATCCAGCTTGGAGTTACTCACTCGGACAGACATGATTGGCCTCACAGATCTGCCCCTGCTTCGCACTCGCAGGCAACCTTTGTACGCGCCCCATATCCTCCTATTCCACATGGCTGTAGTCAGCATACCGTCCGGCGCTGAAAGATTCGCCAGTGAAGGCGTCATCTCGGCATATAGCAACAATGGGATCAGCCTTGCGGCAAGCTCGGGGCAGATCGATGTGGTGTTGCCTGAGCTTCCTGGAGAGAGGAGCCCAGCACACAAGGCATACTGCTCGATGATGGCTATCGTTTCTGCCGTTGTCTCTGCTCTCAGGCGGCAACACCACTTCTTCGACGCAGAGGCCTGCGGATTCGTACAGCTGTATGGCAAACAGATTATCCGGGCGCTGAGCTGGAGTGTCGGTGACCCGATTACACTGCCGTTGTTGGAGGAGATGGAACAAGTCGTTGGTCTCTTTTACGCGCTTGCGGAGAGTGCTCCTCCTACTGCCTCACCAAACCCAGCGGTCGTGAAGGTCCTGCGCGTGTTCACAACTCATGCGCTCATGCTCCTTCAGCAACTCAATTATGCGCTGACGCACCCTAATCACATTGCCAGTCTATTGGAGCCGGTGACTGCGGAAGAGCGTGCGTTGCTGGAAAGGGAGCCTGCTACCGCGTCCTCACTAGTATCGGTGGACATGGCCGACCTGCAGAAACATCCGTTGACCGCGCGTCTCGTCCATCGATTATTTAGGCTGTCAAGCTCCGTGGTGTGTACGCTGATCAGCATCAGCCGAGCATATGACGTACTTCTTGGTGAACAAGAAGAGTGGCCCGTTCAAGAAGCGGTGATCGTTCCCGTGCGTAGCTTCAGTTTTGATGATGAACTTTGCTTACCATCTTCCTGCAGCATTCCAAGGTCGTACCTGGAGAGCCAGCGTCTTTGGGGACCCTGCTTGAACTCGCGAACTGCACTCTTGATGTCCTACGACACCTCGTCGATCGCCCAGCAGGTCAGGCCATCACCCCTCCTGCGTCCCTCAAGGAGACGCCACTTGATGTGCAGGAAGGCATGCTGACAGCCCGAAAGACACTGGAGGCACTGCTCGTGTATGCGGCAACGCAGCTTGCGATGTGGCTCTCCAAGCCAGAATTTGACGCCACTGAAATGGACTCGGAGGATCACGTTCCACAGACCATTGATATGCGAGAAAGCTCGAAAAGACCTTCGAGGGCGCTCACAGACCGAATTAGAAGGGGAATGCCGGGTGAGATGGCGACGGATCTGGAGAAGTTGCTGAAGCAAGCGAAGCCTATTCTCCAAAAGAGTATCGATATTTCGGATAGAAAGGATGTCAAGGGGGATCTCACTCAGGTGCTACTTAGGTTTATGAGCGAGTGGGTGATGACCACGCCGACGTAGACGGGTTGTATACTATGTAGATGTATCAAAAGTAACATTATATGTTTCATGTTGCCAGTTTCTCCTTGTGACGAATATAGTAATTACTGCGTTAAAAGATCTACACCAGTCTCGGTGATGAGAACCATATGCTCTGCTTGAGCGCTTCGTGCACAATTCTGCGCAACGCAACCGTCAAGGAAATATTCAATCTTGTAGCAAGCTAGTCGTACCTCCGTCGATGCAGTCCAGCCGTCAGGAAAAATCCAGACGCTAGGATTAGAACCTTGAACGAGAGATGGCTGAAAGAAACAGACGTTAGCAGCAGGTTATGAGATGCACTGATCTGATTGCCTCGATGGTAAAGCAGTGGCCAGGAAGCATTACGCCAGGTTCTTCATTTACTGTGAAGCAAATGTCGTCAATATATCCTTGATGCGGGAATAAATCATGGACTTGCAAGTGTGATATATCCAAGGGGGTCGGTGGAAAACGGTCCCTATGCCGTGCCCAGCGAAGGCAGGACAGACAGAATGACGGGTATTCCGGACCATTTCATGAATAGCCCTACCAATGCCATTGAACGGTCTACCAGGCCCGCAAGCGTCAATGCCAGCTTCGAGTGCGGCGTTTGTCATTTGCACGAGGTCTCGACCAGGTTCATCCTGTCGTGCAAGTAAACGACGAAGAATATAATTGTGTCATGAGGTTTCTTACAACATCTCCGACGAGGAAGGTAGATGAAGTATCACCGTGATATCCGTTGAGGTAGATTGTTACGTCAATGTTAACTATATCTCCGTCCTCGAGAGGTCGGCTGTCATCTTATTGAGTCTTGACAGATAGCTCAAGCAAAGAGCACTTACTCATCTGGTATGCCATGCGAAACAACATTATTAACACTGGTGCAACAAGAACGGGGAAAGCCCTTGTATAGTAGTGGTGAAGGATATGCTTCATGCGCAATTATATAGTTGTGTATTGCAGCGTCTATCGAATTGGTGGTTACACCAGGCTACCAACAAATTATCTTGTGTCTGCATTGTAAACACTAATGACTCTCACCTGCACGAGCGAGCCAGCATACTGGCGCACATTCTTAGCAAGTGTCGCAGCCGCTCGCACGCGTTTCTCATCTATGCTACCCAGTTTTATTCTTCCGTCTCCATTGTACTGCTCTTTATGGTCTGTCTCCGGTGACATTGAGGGGTCATGCCGCATCGCATATTCCGGTCGAACAATATGATTTGGAACTGGACGCGGGGCGATATGGGAGACACCCCACACGAATGGTTCGTCAGGTAAGATAACATTGTACGTCCCAAAGTCCTCGACTTCCCGTGATTCGTCAGGGTTGAATGCGGGTGACATTGATACACATCTTTTCAAACAGTTGCGACCGACAATTGCCGAGACAGGGCGTAGACGACGAGGAAAAAGAGGGGCAAGTAACTTGTTCATGGTCATAATGAACCAAGACTGGCCGCTGGCGGGCCGGATTCGGGAACCGTGCATGCTTTAGTGGCTGTGCTAAAAGTTCGAGTAGTGAAAGACAGACAAAAATCCAAAATTATTAACTTAGAGGCACAAAGCCACGAACATGCGCAGTTTACATGACGATTGCGAGTTTACTTATAGCCACTCGTTGACAAAGAGTACTTTAAAACAGTTCACAGGCCTATATGAATGATGATTCTGAAAATTAAGAATGTGATAATACAGTGTGTCTATTCTTTCCAAGGATAATCGAACTTCGGCTGGTCCTTACGCCTCCACAACTTCTTCCTAAAGAAGTTCCCATCAGCAAGCCAAAGCAGTATCGTTTAAAATTTACATACTTCTTTTTCGTTGGGACGTGTTCTGCAAACACTTCTACGCAATACTTAGCCTTGAACTCGCGAACAAAACGCGGATCCCTGTATCAAAGTTGAATTACCGAGGTAGAACATCCTCAATGAACACTCACCAAAGCTCGCTCGCTATGCCGAGATCTTTGCAGCATCGCATGAGGGCATTACTCTTGCAGCCTTCAGTGGCCGTAGGAATATTGGATGGATCGAAGTATTCTTGTTCACCACGGGCGACTGCTACCAAGCTGCAGAAAAGCGGATTCAGATGTTATTATGGGCGAGACAAGGAAATACACACCGGCCAAGGCAGACAAGCGCATACTCTCTGCTCACAATTTTAGGCCCGACGTTGGTCTCACTACGAGGGGCGAGTCCCCATCCACCTGGTCCAAACGCTTTGTTGAGGGCGCGACGATACTTAATTTCTGGAAGGTAGATCAAGCCGTCTAGAAATAATATTCAGGAACATAACTGCAAACTATGCACTCGGAACGTACCTGGCTTCATCTCTATATCCATGTCATCCACAGGGGCCAACAGAACGTTAGCAATATCCTTCGAGAAGGCTTGAGTAGAGAGGCCATGGTAACTCGTCGACCAATCAGTGGATCCAATGTCGCCGGCTGTTGTGAAATCGCCAGGGAAAGGTGAAGACAACGATGCAGAAGAAGGCACGGTCTCAAGCGGAATGTTCATAGCTTCAGAAACATCTATCTCATCTGACGATTTAGGTATATGTTCTGCTACGCCTGAGTTGCCAGCACCTGCTACGCTCGTACTAGCAGTTGCCCTCGCTACTTTGGGCGGGCCGGAGGATGGAGTTGACGTTTTTGGTGTCCATGTCCGCGTAGACGCGGCGTACGTTCTCGAAGATAGAATAGGCCGTGTCAAGGAAGGTTGCCGAGTTGCTCTTACTCCCAGCAAAAGAAGTCGATGTGCGTTGTTGGTCAAAGCCGACATCATTTGGCTAAAATCAACCGCCGTGCGGAACTTTTGATGTCAGGAGCCATCAGTGCCGCGGGCTTTCAAATTTCAAACCTCGCACGACACAAACAAAGTGCCGATCATGCTAGCGTTGTGGGGATCAGCGAGCACGACAGACAACTACGATGAGCACACCGTCCTCAACACTGTCAGCCCGTCCTCACTCTCGCGCGCAGCATCAACGGCCGTCCTCGAGCTTATCCCAGCGCCCACCTTCCAGCGCATCATTCGCAAGACCAGTTTCAAGCGCATCCTTGCGACCCCAATCACGCGTTTCTCGACCAAGTTCGCGTATTTCGCGACCGGCCACCAGACAATCCACGCGACTTTTGCCTTTATGCCAGAAACTAATCACACAGCTCACAGGACTCACTTTAGATAACGATGAGGAGGACTTTCGTATTGCCTTGGATTTCGTTTCTAGGAACCTAGAGCATGCTACGGCGACGAAAGGAGGTCCGAGCTCGGACATGGCTACCATGGATAAACGTTTTCACGGGTACATACAGTCGTCTTATTTGCAAAAAGTGTTATTCAGCCAATATTTGCATGTTCCTTCAGTTTCCTGGAAAAATCCCGTATACAGTCCAATGATACACTTGCGGAAGCATTGGAGATGTCGTACCGGAAAGTGAAAGATAGCGCGAAGGAACTTACGAATATCGATGGTGACATCAAAGTAGAGTCCCTCGTTATTGTATGTAAGTGCACTGCTGAAAGGCTCTTTCACAGTTTGCGCATCTTCCGGACCACCTGCAACTGCTTGTGAGATAATATTCATCCTATGCAGTCGAGAGAAGCCAACAGCTTGATAGGCGCTTCTGTCTGCTGCACCAGTGACATCTACTCTCAGGCATGCAGATGCGTATGTTGAAGCAATCAAAAATCCACCAGAGCCACCACCCTCTCTAACCTGGAAGGACATCCTGGCCGAGGAACCCTTTGAGGGACAACACTGGGAGGGTGTTTATGGTCTGCCTTCAGGAAGCACAGTAGAGTGTTGGGATAAAACGAGCGATGGTAGCACGCCTTCACTTTCACCGTGGGACGATGACTCGGACGACTTGGATGATAATGATTCGTTTCCCTACACCGAAGATGCTCCCTCATCTCCTGGTCCTGTCGAGCGAGTCTCCTCTTATGGGCAGCCAAACTTAAGCCTTTCATACCAACATCGTAGAGTTGTAGAGGAACTGCAAACTCGACAGTACTGGAGAGAAGAATGGCGAACAGATGCCGATCTATCTCGACCATTCAATCTGGGTGATGCATCAACACTTGGTACCTTGCTTGTATTCCGGTGTTTTCGTAGCTGAGGACTTTGCAGGTCCTTCATTGAGCCGAGCTCTTGGTGAAAGAACAACTCTTTTGATTAACGGACCTAAACACGAGGTTAGGTTTGCGATATTAAAGCCAGTAATCGTGACTTACCGTTTCTACAGAAATACATCAACGAGCATGACGCTGTCCGCGAGGTACTCATGTGTCTCCAAGGTCGCAAAAACCTCATGATCACTAGCAGCTCGAGATCTCCGTCGCTCATGGTAGGTACCTGCAGCATACACATTTGTACCCCCCTAGAATCTGATCTTGCGCAGCGGCCATCACCGAGTGCTCCCCGTCTCGTTCATTTGACATTAACATCTCAAACTTCTATCCTCTCGTCATTTGCCCAACTTGCAAGCACCTTGTCCCACATCAGAAAATTCACTTCGGCAGTTTTTTCTAATGTATTTTCAACCTCAGACCCACCTCTGAGCTCAACGCACCTTCTATCTCACAATACGCGTTCGCAGACCATGGAAGCTTTCGCTGATGCGGTCGATTCTCAGCTACAAAAGTTCGATCGCTGGTGTGCTGACAAAGAAGAACAGATATGTCGCGCTCACGCAGGCCTTGGCGACCACTTGGCCGCCAGTCTACTAGCTCTCGAAAAGGACGTCAGAGATGCATTTTCAGCGACCTTCGACCTCCTTTTGGCCATTCTGCGAGAGCTGATGGGCTACGTCATGCATTCGGATAATACCTCCGACGAAGAGGTCTGGTTATTGGCATCTCTGTCTAGTCGTGTGCCGCCAGCGGCTGTTACTGCCCATTTACTAGACGCATGTCTGCTTTCTGCGGAGAAGCAGTCCTCGCTAGGAGACAAAATCACCGCTGAAGCTCTCATTGAGGTGTTCGTCAGGTCCGCACAGCCTGTCTGGGCTATGGTGGGCCGCTGGGTCAAAGATGGGATGCCAGTGCGGGACACGTGGGAAGCTTCTGATAATCAGACCCTAGATGAGGAGTTCTTCGTCGAGGATAACGAGCTCCCGCTTATGGACCCTGATTTCTGGGCGGATGGATACGTTCTTAGGACATTGAATGACTTTGAAGCACCCGGAGGAGGGGCGTTTTCCGTGCCGGCATTCCTGGAGCGTATAGCTGATCGTATACTCGAGACCGGAAAAGCAGTTGGCCTGCTGCGAGTCTTGGGGATACCTCTGCTAAACGATGCAGATAGCGATTCAGGGGATGTTCACTGGCCATCACTTGGAACACTGATAGGACAGCACAAAGGGGATGCCTCAGATCCAGAGGGCCTCGCTCACCTTATCTCCGACAAGATCTCACCCTATTACACATCTTCGGGATCTCAACTCATTCGAGTATTGACCGATGACTGCGATCTGTCGCGCCACATCACGGCCATCGAAGGGCTATATCTGATGACCAGAGGAGACGTCATCGGCAATTTCACCGATGTCCTCTTTGCAAAGGCAAGTGTTTCATGAATTCAACTATGTAGATGCTAATGCAGAACGGTAGATGGACAGCCAACAGCACTGGCAAGACTTTCACTTCCTGAACAGTGCATTTAGGGACGTCGTGGATGCCAATAATGCTACAAAGTACATCGAGACTTCCCTTGTTCGCCTCTCCTATCGGGGAAGCAAAACCACCGCCATCACGCAGACGGTGAAAGCCCTTGATGGCCTACTCGTCGAGTATGCTGTGCCTTTTCCATTGGCATACATCTTCACACCGCGTGTATTGTCAATCTACGGATCGATCTTCGTGTTTCTTCTGCAAATACGAAGAGCCAAAAGTGTTTTGGAACGTATTCTTGTAAGGGGCGAAATAGGGAGCGAACAGCATATGAAGCATGAGTTGAAGGTATTTTATGCGATGAGGGGAAAGTTATCGTGGTTCATCAAGTGCGTCCATTCGGTGTTGTGATGGATGTGTGCTGACACTGTCTTCCTTGCAAGCACATTATTGAACTTCCTGACGACTCATGTAAGTTTCCTGGCTGTCGAAACAATACGGCTCTGACAACCTGTCAAGGTCCTGTACTCTCGGTTAGCGATGTTCCATGAGAACTTCAAGGGAGCAAAGTCTCTTGATGAGATGATCAAGATCCATAACGACCAGTGAGTTTGCTTGCACCCATGCTATAATAACCTCGTTCACATGCCATTGAAGCTTGGACACAATCCAGTGCGGTTGTCTGCTTCAGCCCGAAGTGTGTCTGTTTTAGTTGATGACTTGCTGGTCGTGCTGACGACTGGTTCAGACTTCTGCCCTCTACCGGGCTGTTTTGTCAGCACTTGATATGTGTCTGCATTTCAGCAATATTTTTGTCTCATTTTCAGGTGACAATACACATGATATATCACGGCTCTCTATCGTTATGAAGCGCCACCGAAGCCGTCGCCAGAGACGGCTTCGTCGAGACACCATTGGGTTCTCTGCACCAGAGATCATCTCAGACGATGAAAGTGATGGCGATGACGACGAGATAGTGGGCGATGCACCTGAGCCTTCATTTTCTCTGGCTGCCTCGGTGATGAGCTACGAGGGCGATCTCCCCGATCATCTGGCCAAGCTGTCATTGGAACTGGATGGTGTTGTACGTTTCGTTCGCAGAGCGAGCGAGAGCTGGGCGGGAGGGATGTCTAAAGCTGCACCTGCGTTTGGGGCTCTCGCGTTTGCATTGGAAGATTGGGATTCGTAGTTCATTGTGAATTAGGCAATGGTACATCATGATGGACAATATAGTGTTTACTACAGGACTTTTTCGTGAATTACCGAGCTGACAACAAATACCGAGCTCCAAATACGATAGAATGTCTAGCAGCATCTTGCCACGTTGCAATTCAATACAACCCTAATACATGACCGCAGCAGCACCCTTCGTATCCACGCGCCGATTGATGCCACCGAGGAGAACTTTGATGAGCATCTCAGCATTTAATTGACCGACATATGGAGTTGTGTCGACAATATCCTGACGGTGTTTTTAGTAAGGAATGTACCTTGATACGCAAGGCCGTGGGCATACCCGTATCTGATGTGTCTGTTTCAAGTTATCATCCAACTCTACGAGGAACTGTGTTGCGCGTCTCGAATTCCCTATTTGAACGAACTGTATTCCCACCTATAGAAAAGCTTTGTTGGCAAAGAGTGTAGTAAATAAACCATGTGTAGTTACCTGTGCAAGTGGCCACCTATCAGCCTCAAGTCGCTTAGCAAAAGAGACGATCACACTTTCGGGATCATCCGCTACGTGAACAGAAAATGTCAGCACAGTCAGCTAGTATGTGTCGCACAGACTTACTTGGCGCCCCATCAGTGATAATAATCACATTCACGGGCTTTATTTGCTTGCGCGCAAAATAGTCACCAGCATCCTCCTGTCTTTTAGCAGCGTCCAGGTCACGGAAATAATCGCCAAGTATTATATCAAGGCGATGCCCAATAGGGGTAGGGCCGGAAGGCTGGAGGTTAACGAATTGTTCATGGACAGCTTTGGAGTCCTATAAAGTCTGATCAATCCCAATTCGCGACGTGTAAAATGCTACCTACTGTAACTCCCGTCATGCTTCCATAGTGGTTCAAGAAGTGAATATCAACACCATTGGCATCATATTGGCTTGCGACATCAGCAAGTGTGGCGAGAGCTTGTTTTGCCTGGACATGGAGATTTAAGCACCATCGACAAATGAAAATAACGAGTGTCATACCTCTTTCCATAACGAGCCAGCCATCGACGAGGAATCATCCATGATGATTATTGTGTCATAATGGCGGAGCGTCTCGAGCGCATCCTCCAATGATTCTGCTCGCAGGGGTTGGCGGAGATACGCTGCTCGGGCCGCCGCTCGAGCTGGTTACGAGATCGCACATTGAAATTAGTGGGACGAGATTTTGAAGGGAAGCAAGCGAATACCTTCGTTCGACTTAGCGTCATTTTGAGCTGGCGTTGGTGATGTGGCAGAGGTAGTGTATGGTGGTGGCGCTGATTGGTAGCTGCCACTGGCGTGCCCAGAAAGAGATGATTGGCTGTTCTTTGCATTATCCACACTAAAATCCCCAAACTGGCCCCTCGTCGTGGTAGACCGATGCGATCGTGACTTGGACGGGCCGTTTCCCATGATGATAGTTGGTCTTTAAGAGTATGAAAGCAAGGGGACAACTTGGTACTTGTACGGGAGATGAATCTAGCAGGGGCAATCGATGGAGGGGAGATGCAAGCCTGAGCTTGGAACGATGACGAGGAAGAAGGACCTCAGTCTCCGAAAGCTTATATAGGATTTTCAAGCTGTGGAGATTTTAACGGAGAATTACAGTGCAATGGTCCGACTTGGAGCTAGCTTCAAGAACCCGCCACCTGCCAATTCTGACACACAAAGCCAGAAGGCCTGGCAATTGTGAATCTGGCAGGCCGCCATACTGACCAAGCAAAAGGTCAAATTGCTGTGCATGGTTCTCATGTGCTGTGCAACCTTTATTAGCGCTCAAATTTGGGCACTGCCCTTCAACAACATTGACATCTAAATCGATTGCCATTCACTTCTATCTCGAATTCCTGTTAATCAGTGTGTTGCCTCATATCACACAGCTTCGTGTTACCCGGCATAAAATGCTAACGAACAGCTGTAAAACATCATGCGTACAACACAGCCGTGCTCCTGTATATTCTCTAGGACAATGGTGCAGAGCGTTCCGCTACTCTGGGAAATGCATTGGCACTGGCCAATACGACCATCTGCTTCTCATGCGAGATATAACCTCTCATATATCCCTGGTAGATCATATTCGCGACATAGCATTCAGCTTCTTCCATCGAAACATCGATCCCCTTTAATCGCAACGAGCAGTGGAACATAGATATAGGTATCCGTGTGCTCTGGTCGGTTGCCACCCAGCTTAATAAAGGTAGTCAGTACGTGGTCCACGATAACGCTCACCAGTGATCTACGTACACGCGTCTAAACAGCCCCCTGATACATAGCTCTCTGGCTCGTTCTAGCGTCAACCACAGGTTGAGCTCGAGCAGGCGCCGTTCCCACTTATCCAATGCTGCATCGTACGCAGATATATCACCAGCACATATGGCAGCAATGAAAGGCGTGAACAACTCGTCAAGCACGGGGAACCGATCCATCAGGTCTCTGGTTGGGAGATGCCCACGGAGAATGCGCAGGGGGAGTAGGTACGTCAGTATCCGTCTAATTTCCGGGCGTCAATTTATAAGCATCGGCCGATGAATAACAATCGCTTACTCTTGATTACTGTGTGCTGGAATATAGCATTGGTAAAAAGCCAGGGTTAGTTCCTGTTCGGACTGGAAACAACCTAAGCCCGGATGACGTCGGCTGCAAGATAGCTCCAAACCTTAGTGTAATCTTCATTTAGGAAACTTAGCATGCCCAGGTAGTAGCGATACGTGACCTTACAAATCGCGACGTCAGCGGTCCTCAGAAATAGGTTCTCTGTGAACGTACTTGATGTGAGCGCGGGTACTCTGAAAGAGGTGGTATGTCGGGATTAGCATTGAGCGCTCTGAGAATATTTTTCGACAATGATATTCGTTTGACCTGGAAATTTCAGTGGGCAATGCAAGAGCCAAATGAGCGAAGAGGACGGACTCGGAAGTAGCATTTTAACACAAGCCCGACGACGTAGTAGACACCCCATTTACGAGATTCGCTCGGAGGTGAAGTTCTAACGAGGTGTTGGGCGCCTGTTAAAAATACGGGGACAGGTAAACAGGTACAGTACCTGTCCGTCATGCAGTTGCTGAACGCCTTAACAACAACGCCAGCAGCGCTCTCCATACACTCGCTTTTCTGATTATTATATTTTGCGTAGTTGTCGGCCTACAGCATTCTGTGAGCGTTCAAGAAGTAGAGATGTGATGTCTCACATCAAATGCAAGATCTCTTAGGTCTCTCAGCATCGAGAACAGCGCAGGAAGTGTCCATCCAGTATTGTTGATAAAGTAGCGGAAGAACTGGCTGTGAATGAGTGAGCTTAGGAGACATATAACAGCACATAGGTACGCACGAGACGAGCTGCGACTGCTCGTTGAATGCCTCTCCAGCGCGTTTGCGGGCGATGTGCGAAGTGACCATAACATATCTAGTAGCGATGTCATCCCATGGGCTCTCAATACATCCACCATAGCGTGACATTAGTACTTCGCGCTATAAACCTAAATGTTGACAGTGTTCCAAAGGACGAGTCAAAGACGAACTGTAGGATTGCGAAACTCCTTGACGAGATCCTTCCCGTGAGGACTGGTTGGGCGCAAAAGATAGGCCAGGTTAGGTCCATTTTCTGACTGTATTGTCTCAGCGAGTGTCATAATGAAGGTCGAGAATGTCATCGCCATGTTTTCGGGTTGGTAATGTACGAATGTACGAAGGACCAGGGTGATTGTGAGCAAATCCGTGAACTTTCTCCAATTTGGTGCTAGGCTTCAAACTAATGTTCAGCAGTCAAATTATAAGACGTAAAAACTAGAGCTAGTATAAGCTCACCTTGAGTAGCGAATGCAAGCTCTTTTGTCTTGGATGCTCTCTTTTGAAGACGGTCAAAGTTAACTCAGTTAAGGTTACAGCGTCGATGATCACGTGACATATTACCACTCCTATAATTATTGCCCACACTGGCACTCGGTGTCCCGGACGTCCGCGTCGAACTTGAACGTTTTAACACTAGTACTCCAATATCATGGCTCTTCAACCCTCCCTCCGATCGACAATTATTGCGGGCGCGTACGACGCCCCGCACACCCTTGATATCTTTCGTGAGTAACGTCCAACAAATTGATCAAGTGCCTTTCGACTAACGAGGGGGTCCAGTGGACTACGTCTGCCCATTCAGGTTGACATCTACATACACAAATCCGTAAAGCTGCTTTACTTACTAATACTCGTGGTCGTACAGCGCAAAGTTATCGTTTGCAATCGATAGCGTTTTGAAGCCCCTGGTGGACGCGGGAGGTTTATATCATGGCAAAGTAAAAGTTATCATGAGACTCCAAGTCCAGCCTTGGCATGCAACTTCAACCTACACTCATGAAGCTGGACTTTCTGTAAGCCCTTTAACTCGATGCATTTGGAATGTTTGTAATAGTGATGTGATCTAGGTTGTGCGTGCTGCTCCGGAGAAATTCTGGGCATTCTCCCTCGCAGTAAGTAATAACCGAAGCCTAGTGATTCCCCGCCAAATAAAATAAATTCGATACGTAGCTTTTCAAGCAACAGGCCGACTTCTTCGACGGTCCCGCTTCCACTATGACTCCTCTGCAAATTCGTGAGAAACTGGCCAGCATCGCTGCCCAGTTCCTCACAGAGGAGCAGGTAACGATGTTTAAGGATCTTCTCAAGTTGAAGCCTACTCCCAATGGCGGAATCGGAGTCACGGATGATCTCAAATATACTAGTGTGTCTTCATATTTCGTGGTGGTATGGGGTCTCATCATACCTTTCATCGTGCAGTCAAGTTCGCTCGGCAAAACGGCGTGCATGTTTCCCCCACCGCTCTCTGGGATGGTTTGATTGCCAATCAAATATCTAGCTCTTGGGGAGAAAAAGAGTGGTCCGAATTTCTTGCTAAGAATGTTGCTGTCTAGCTGTGAAGAATTGTAATCTGCAGGTCATCAGAAGAAGTTTGATGTGTATTCTCGAATTCAATGTTTTATTTTTGCAGAGAATCAGACGCTTGTCACAATGATTGCTGTGGTTGATCGGTCTAGTAAGTATATTGAGTCTGATCGTATCCCCGTTGCAGGATAGATCCTCAAGTGCTACAGCAGCAGCGACGCATGGCGAAGCTGCTTTCTCAGAGTATAGATGGACCAACTTTCTTCTAAATTCGCCTGCATGTCGCCGGGTGGTACTGGTGAGCCGACATATCCATCTGTGATTTGGTCAAGCCTTGCATATTTCATGGCTACTCGAGTCCCACAAGATCCTTAGACTAATTGGGGCTGAGTACTTCTCGATCTGAGATGGCTATGTAGCATCCGAATCGCTTCCTAATCCTGTGCTGGAGCTTCAATTTCACCGACCACAGGAGCTGAGTCAGCTGAGCGTGTTGTTTGTTGGTATTTGGAGTAAGTCCACAGAGGAAACCTATGGACAATTCCCTAAGTCATATACTGCCCACTAGTAGTAGATACGCAACAGTACTTAGTGTTCCCCTCGACATCGGCGGCGGCTTGATCGTTGAATGAGACCTCCGACGACAAGGGATTCAAAGCATCTTGGTCTCGGTAACCACTGACACTACCTTCTTGGTGCGCAACCTTCCTTTCAGGTTGGACGCTGCATTTTAGGGCTCGTCCACATGTGAGCACACTCGTTGAGCTCATTACAGAGTTACGCTTTGTTTGTTACTTATGCGTGATAACCTAGGAAACAAACGTTAGCTGGACCGTTGGACAAAGCGACTGGACACGTTATGCCAACCGGGCCATGTTGTCCAGGACTCCAGGCCCATGTTGTCCAGCGCCCATCACATTCCTGTTCATCAATCCACATCCCATGTTCTCTAATACTTACACTTTCACTCGATTTCTTTGTTGTTGCTTTTTTTTGTGCATTAAGAAACGGTATGTCAGCGCAAATTCGAATTGGGTTTCCAGTGATTCTATAGTCAATCTAACATGTTTGCCTCCAAGTCTCTGCCCCCAAAGTATCGTGCCAGTCCCTGGGAAAGTCGTTCAAACCTGGCCCCTCACCACCTTGTCCAAGCTCTCTGCAAAGTACCTTATGTTGTGCGTGTTCAGTCCAGCCATCGAAATCCGTCCGTTGACCGTCAAGTAAATGTGGAAGGTATCTATCAGTGCTTGCGACTGAGACGGGTTGATTCCAGTGAAGCTGTTACCCGTTATCAGTACTGTGCTCATTCCCAGGGTATGCTTCGCGCCGTCCACGCTACACTCCGGCGCCAATATGTGTGACCAATAGCACGAACTCACCTAAACATGCCAATCTGGTTGATGATATGAACCCAACTGCCTGGCGTTTTCAGCTCCTCCGTCAGGAGTCGATAGAGCTCATTCCGCATGGATATAATTCGCTCAGCCATGGTCTTGATATCACGGTTCCAGTCGTTAAACAAGGCACTGTCGTTGAGAATAAGCGAGACCTATTCCCCACGCCTCGTCAGGTGAGCGTCGTGCATATCGAAATAGACTCACCAGGCGTGCACCGTAGGAGGGTGGATTGCTGATTTCACTGCGCTGTAAAACTGATAGCTGACTCTTGACACGGTCTGCAGCATCCTTGGTAGGGGGGACGATGTGCAGCGCACCAATCCGCTCGCCGTACAGACCTGCATTCTTGGCGAAGCTCTGGTCCAACACATTCAATCCGCTGTGCCGTAGTAGTCTAATGAATGATCCACTGACCTGACACACAAGCATCGGCACACCCTTCTCCACGAAGTATCTAACTGCCCACGCATCGTTGTTGAGGTCACCGCTCGCAAAGCCCTGGTATGCGCAGTCGAAGAATGCATAATGGTTTTTAGCGATGATGACTTCAGCGATGTGTTTCCATTGGTCACGAGTGGGGTCAACTCCTGTGGGGTTATGGGCACAAGCGTGCAGCAAAAAGACCGAGCGCGGCGCAGCACTTTGTAGCGATCCAATGAAACCATTGAAGTCTAGGCCAATGGTGGCCGGGTCATAGTAAGGATAATCTACAGGTTGGATTCCAACATTCTTGAAAATGGCATGGTGGTTAGCTGTGGGAATGCCTGATCAAACTTCGGTTTCACCCATTCCTACGTAAACTCACCCCAGGTGGGATTACTCAAGTAAATCTGCTTGGGGCCGTCCCAATGATAGAACCTGCTTAGAAACAAGGCTCCCAAGTGGTTTGCGCCAGTTCCGGAGATGGTCTGCACGCTAACGGCGCGTCCTTCTGCGATAGCAGGCGAATCGGCACCAAGAATGAGCTTCACCGCACCAGCAGTGAACTCTGGTAAACCTGTGATGGGGAGGTATTCGTGATCGATATCAGGGTCATTCACAATGATTTGTGTGGCCTACGGTGGCGCAGTGATTGAGTTCAAGGCATGGTGCAGATATAAAGAGGACGAACCTTCTTGATAACAGGAAGAACCCAAGGTTTGTTGTCATCATCTCTATATGCTCCAACACCGAGATTAACCTTCTGAGGAAACGTGTCCGCCTTGTATGCCGCTGTCAATTTGAAAATGCTATCCGTGACTTTTAGTGAAGAAGACAGACTTGTCATGGCTTATACGCACCTGTCGGGTGGAGCGAGGGGAACATCCTGCCATATTTCTGTATCATGAAAGGATTTGAATGCCGGACGCAGTGACTCAATTATGAATGGTGCCTACCCGCTGACATCGTGTTTGAACCTGAGAGGTGATTATGGACTTGGCTTAACCTGTCTGACATATTGGTTAGCTCCGAGGTAAGGGATGTCGTAGGAGAAACAGATCATGGTGGGACATGTGGCTGCAGAGTAACCCAACAAACCCGAAACATGATGATCGTGCCATGTGATTGTACGACCAAGGCAAGATTGCCGTCCCTTTCCCATCATTCAACATCCATCCAACAACCTGGCAGCGACGGCAATTGAACACGAGGATCCAAATAACTCACTGGTATCTGATTTGAAGGCAGAAGAAGGTGAGATCAAGATGGCGATAGCAAGACGATATCACGGTATAAGTAGTGGCGTCAGCCTCATCTAGCACGGTGAGAACGCACAGGCTCACATTTTATCCCAGATGGAATAAGAATCACTACCTGAAAGTTCTGCCACTGGATTGGGTTTCGTTGCTTGAAATTGAGGGTCTCGAGCGTGCAGAGAGGGCTTTTATCGGATTCAAATTAACCACATAGGTATGAGTCACTGTCCCTCGTATAGCCGCTGTTGACATAATTGACACAAGCTGGTCCGAACAGTAATCGAACTCTAGAAATCTCTTGATCGTGACCTATCAACGCCGCACACTACGCCCGCTTGGTGATAGATCCGCTAGGCCACTCGCTGCTAGATTGCCCTCCCCTCTCCCCCGCTCTGGCTCCGGGAACGACTTAACACAGAAGCAATCGATAATTCCGAATTCTTTTTTCGGTCTCAGTGAGAGTCTTATATAGGCTCGTGGCCAGCCTACTGATCACGAGCTATGTTATATGGACAGAACATCTACCGCAAAAGCCTCAAAAGCAGGCGACCCGGAAGACTCCTCCGAGACTCGTGACCATTCCATGGCATCTATTCGGTAACTTCGGATGGCTATTATAATCAGAGGCCTGCTTCACAGACGGGCTGGTCACCAGTTGCTCCAAATAACGCATGGTCCCCTGTAGCGTCTCAAAGATTTTCACAATCGCTCATGTCCCAAGGGTTTTACCTCGGATGCCCCGGGTGCCCGTGGCATACCCATCATGTCCGTGGTCGTAGAAGTAAGTCAACCGACGTTCATGTAACTTTAACATATACTTAACGCGCTGGGGTATCGTCAATCCTGATAATGACATCATGATGAATGATACTTTGGCCAGCTGTGAACTGAAATCCAACGTCTCAGTCCAAGATAAGTATGAAGGCACATGCAATCATTGGCTACGGCAAAGGTAAGTATACATCGTGATGGCGTCAAACACTAAACTTCGAAAGCAAAAAGCAAAGCATGACAAGACAAACATTTAAAACTTCCTCCAAAGCTTGTCTACCTCGCATTCTCCCTAGACATGAAATAGCTTGGGAAGATGCCCATTAGCTCTTCGATATACCAGTAGTTTCCCGAAAGCTCATCCAGAGGGCCCTTGCCTTTCTTCCCGCGCTTTGCGTGAGACTTCTTCGGCGCTTCATTATCAGCCTCCACCTCCTCGCGCACGATCTGCACCCATAGCCCACCAAGCCCCATCCCAAGGCTCAGCGTATCGAGTACGGCAGGCTCTACAACCAGCACAATATCATCTTCATACGGATTGTGCGGCTTGCCGGGCCCGCTGCCTTCAATCTCACCGTCGGGCGTGACCACTGCGCCGCGGGAGGTCTTGCGAATGGATGGCTTCGGGATGTCGCTCTCCTCCCTGCCCCACGGGCTCATGACAACCCGCGCAAACCTCCTCTCTAACTCATCCTCCACCATTTCCGCTGTATCACCCTTGATCTTCGCCTTATCCTTCGGGGGCGGGTGGATCGCTTTGATGCGGCGCGTGGAGGACTCCACGATCCCTGTGCTGTGTGTCAGTGGGAGAGAGGTTGGACCCAGGAGAGACGTGAGCGAGGGCGGCGGGGAAAGCCAAGAGGGCTCAGTCACTTCGGGTGCAAATGAGAGTGGGGCGGAGTCCGCACCCCATTCGTCATTGTCATCCGCAGGGCCCCAATTGCCGCCATCGCCGATGGCACCCCAGGCGTCAGAACCCACAGAACCCCAGCCTTCGGTATCGCCCGTGGCACCCCACCCGCCGGCAACGGTGTCTGCTGTGTCTGCAGACCAGATGTCGGGTGGTGCGGTGGTAGTGGCGGTGACGATAGGGGTAGTGGTGTTGGCATTGGCGACGGGGGCAGTAGTGAGCATGTCAGTAATCTGGACCTCCATGTCAACGTTGTCCTCGATGGCATCTTTGAGTGCGGTTTCTTCCGTATCTGGGAGAACAATCTCCGTTTCTGCACCATGCTGATCGGTAACAGTAATAGTCGCATCGGCTGGAATCAAGATATCAATCCATCGATAAGCCAACATATAGATGACTGAGATTACCTGGAGGATCATCATCATCTGCTTTCCGATGTTCGTCAAAGGACCATTCAATCCCGCCTTTCCTGCCAAAGCACTCCTTGCAGCCATCGCCGAACATATCAGGTAACGCCTGCCCAATCTTGTATGTCAGGGGAAGCTCCTTCTTCGCGAGCTCCACAATATCAAGGGCGCTGCGGATGCCGCGTTCATGCGAGGCTTTTTGGAGGACGCGGTTCCGCAGGACAAAGTTCAGGAAAAAACTGATGAGGTGTGGTGTGTTGATGAGATTCCTCTCCGACCTATAAGAGATACTCCAATGAGAAATACGTAGCTCAGAATTGATTGAAAGACTGACCAGATGAGGCCCTGTTCACGCATGTGAGACGATAGGAAAATTGTCACCGATTTCTCGGGGTCGTTCAAGAACACGAGGAGCTTCTCCTCGCGCTGTTCCTCCAGATCGGATTTGCGTGCCTGCAGATTACCTTCGTCGTCGTCGTGATCGTCCAACTCAACAGAGAAACCTGGAGGAGCATGATCCTTTGAGGGAGAAACTGGTCCAGGGGTGTCCTCCGCGTTGATCTGGATGTTAGGAGGGCCGTCACCTTCATCTTCATCGTCGTCGTCTGCTTCTCCGCCTTTGCTCGGTTTGCGATAGATATTTGGATTGACAAGGAGTCCAACGTACAGACGAAACTGCGAGAAGCCTTGAGGTTGGTGCGAACGCAAAGATGAAAATAACTACCTGATCCCAGAGCTGGCTGACCCCAGAAGTGATCGGCGGCCAAGTGCGATTGACCCGAAAGTCATTCGCAGCATGAAAAAGGCGATCCACATGAGTGATATTCCTAGCAAGTTGATCAGTAACAATTCACCATACCGTGGACCTCAAGACGCGATCATAGGCGATAATAAACGACCTACGAATCGAACTTGCCCTTCGTAATACGCAGATCCTCGCCTTCCTCCCACTCTTCGTACCACGGGACCTTCCTTGCAGGTGCACCATCTGCAGCAGCAGTTTTCTTCTTGCGTTTCCTCTTACGTGTGTTGCTCTTGCACTCGTCGGTTGAATGCTTCACGCGCAACTCAACTGTGGGTATCCCCAGCCCATCGAGTTCCATGTCTTCCTCGTTTGAACCGCCAACAACTTCAGCGAACAGCTGTATCCCGCGCGCCCGGAAATCCTTGAAAGGGATAAGCGTCACACCTGGTGGGGGTTGTGGGAAGGGCGGAAAGGTAATGAACGGTATCTCCTGTGTCACTGTCGTGTCTGACGCTGAGGGCTCAGCAATCCTTGAAGGCATTTTGGTGAATGTTGTGGTAGACAATCAAGAATCAAGATGGGATCGATAATTAGGATATCAGATCTTTTTGGCGCTGGTTCAGATATAGCCTGCCGGAGCATCCGGTCAGTATATTTGAAAATGCTGCTCTAATGCTACCTTCCAAATCTAGATCACGCTATAGCTACAACTAGCCGCCTGTTACTTACAGTGGTACCGTGAAGTGTTGTACAATAGTTACTCGTCAATAATTTTGACGTAGTGGTCGAACGAGGAGTGGGCGAAGCGAGGAGTTTGAAATTTGGCAGATGCCGGTCGTGCCGCTTTGGTTACAAGCGTCGACTAGCTATACTTCATTCACATCGAATGTCTCTCAATCATACATGAGCATGTTAACTCAATCGAATAAAATTTCATCCAGGAAAAATCCTAGTCGATGCGCCCGAAGCCGCCATTACACCCTGAACTGTTAAGGCCATTTCGGAACTCGTTGAATACCATTTCATCATGTTCCTCGATTATGCTGGAGTGGACGTGCCAACACATGACGAACTGCCTGGGGTAAACAGAAAGTGCTGAGGTATCTGATTACAGTTTAGAGTCTTGTCATGTGGAGTACTATGAGTAATGGCAAGTTGGCAATCGAAGGAATGCTCCTATGATTCACAAGGACAAATTCAACGTTTCGAGAGTGATAACATTGTGTCTTCAGTATACGTGATCTCGCTCCAGCAATTTCAAAGGAGTGACAACGATGGCTGTCTTCTTGGGAGAAGGGAGAACCATAGCAAGGGCACTCGTAAAATCCGTCGGGGAGCAGCGAGCGATAAATCTCGTATGGAACTCGCAGTTGAAAATTAACATGGCGTATCCGAGTCAGTCTGAACAACAGTAGACGCATAAGTTGTACTACATACGATGATCCATCACGCACACGACCTGCACCTGTCAAATTTGAAACTCCTCGCTTTGCCCTGCCACGCCACTCCGAGTTCGACCAGCCTGGCTACACCATTTGAGCATCCGTGATGGTATGCCCCAGGATGGCCACAAGCTTAGACACCGCCTCATGGATAGCCCCTGGAATCCTCAGTCCAACGGTGTTATCGCCGACTACTTGTCCCGTCGCAGTAGTTTCCGCTTCAGTATCACGTTGCGCTCGCCTGATCTTGGATTCCCCGATCAAGTCGTTCAACAGCTCAAGCTCGTCAATGACGTCCTTCGGCCGCTTCTCCTTCACGACCTTGCACATCGTTTCATTCGAAACGATGTAAACCCTTTGGTCCGGCATGTTTGCATCCGCAAGGTTATCTTTCACGCTTTGGCGGGTCTGCTGAATGAACTGCTGGCGAGCAGTCTTGTCAAGCTTCTTCTTCTGATCTCCCCCCTCGTCATCATCACTGTCGTACTCCATCTCCTTCGTGATATTAAGTATGTGCTGGTCTGCCTTTGACCGCACGATATACGTGGGGATCTTGAAGCGCCTGCAGTTGGTGAGGATGGCGATGTCGGTCACGGTGAAGCGATTGTCGAACAAGATGATGATGCAGTCAAAGACGTAGAGTCCTTGTGCATTGAAGTACTGCCAGTCTGGGATTTTGAGCGTGCCTGCGCCCGGGATGTCGTACCATGCATACGGGTGTTTCGCGTCGGGGTATCTGGCCATAGCCAGCGTCGTCTCGGTGACGCCAGTGGGGGCATATCCGCTATCCTTCTTACGCAAGCCGCGGAAGGCATTGATGAGAGACGATTTTCCTCCTCCTGCCACCCCGGCTACTGCGAAGTGGAAGAGGTCCTCGCGATAATCAACCTTCCGCTTGGCGGTACGAACTTGTTCAGCTGTGGGAGTCACTACAGGTTGAATGCCTTTTTTCAACTTGCGTTCAGCATCCTCCTTGGCAGCGTTGGCCACCTTTACCTGCTCCCGGGCAGCCTGCGCGTCTTTTCTGGCTTGTTCTTGGATAGCTGCGGTTCGCTTCCGCTCCTCCTCTGCTTCCGCTGCTCTCTGTTTTGCTTCTTCACCGGCGGCATGAGCAGCAGCTTCCGCCAGAAAACGGGCTTCATTGGCGGCTCGTTCGGCCTGGAACATCGCTATCATTTCCTTCTGTGCCTGCTCCTGCTCGGCTGCCATGGTTTGCATGGCGGCCCGCTGAGCCTCCATAGCCTTTTGCTGTGATTCCTGATGCGACTGGATAAGCTGGGCGATATGTGCCCTGGCATCCTCGGCATCCTTGCGGGCTTCTGCAGCCGCTGCCTCTGCTTCCTGGCGCGCTTTTATTTCCTCGAGTGATGGATTCGGAGCTTCTGGCCGACTAAAGAGAACTCCCATCTCTGAGTGCGCTCGAAAATGGTGGACCTGTCAATAGCTACGTCGCATGATGCATCCATCTCTCGAGCCGAGAAAACTTACTGGTATGCGTAGGCTTTGTAAAGAAAATTTCAGCCAACAGCGTTGTCCAGAGTAAGTGCTGTAGAATTGCAGGACGAGAATGAACAACCAGTTCTTAACGATAGAATAGAATGCCTGCCTTGAGGCTTTGTGTATTGCGCGCAGCTCAGGGAACGACTGAATTCGGACTGGCGCTGATCATAGTGGTGACCCAGGGCTATGGGCTATACCACATCCATGAGAATTGCGTGAAGTGTGACCTAGAGCCCAGCGAAGCCATGAAACTAGAATTTCATGAATGGCGAACATTCCATGCATGTTCTTCCTTTTTTGTGTCCAAATGGATCGTCGTGGACCGCAAGCTGTTTTATCTTCACAGAATCAGCACTGGACTGCAGTCAGGTTATGGTAAAAGTTGGGAATGATCGTGTAAATTAGTGTACTCAATTGAGTTTATCGATAGGAGGGCGCTTTTAGGCAAGTCAAATTGGGCGAGAAGGACTCACTGCTCTCATTGCCGCCGCTTCTTTGAGGCCGTGCAATGATGAGAAAAACATACTGCATCCAAAAGCTGCGCATGCACCGATCTGAAATATATGGAAAGTACTGGTCGAACTCCGAGTCAAAGGATGCAGTCCAGTTTTAACGTTAGGACTGATCAGAGGTTCGACAATAAAGTTGCGCCGCTTTAACTTGAGGTCACGGTACTGTACATGTTAGGCTCTGTTAGGTAATACTAACAACATTATAATGCGCTTCAGTCCCTACAGTATGGAAAGCCTAACAGCCGCGCTCTGTTACACGCCGTGACACGTCCCATAAATAGTAGTCACAGGTCGTGGACTCCGTACACCTCCATTTAATGATACATATGATTCACGACCTCATGCCCTGGCAACGATACCTCACTGGTAAACTGGCATTCGAACCCAGGATTCCCGTCGCCCGAAGCTCTGCATAAGTGGTCCCCACCAACCGGATCCGACTGGGTGCCAGGGCTGTTGTTGTAGGAGGCGAAGATCCTGACATCAACAGTCAACCAGATGCACTCATAGTAAATATGTATAGTAAAGGTTCGCTCTTTTCCTCATACCACATCGAACCGCAGTTGAAGTGCTCCAGCCGATGCTTCTAAGCCACAATTGGTTCTACCTACAACAAATACAAGGAATTTAATAAAATCACCTCCGACCTCTCATGCCGGCTTACAAACGCTTTTACTTTTGATCACGACTTAGTACTTAATATGTAATGCCCAGCTTGGGAATGGTCTTCATAAATTTCAATGTCTCGCCCGCAGTTCGTTGCTCAAGCGCTCAAAGTCAGTCGTTCAGCACAACGTGATCACGCTCCGGAAACTATTTTCAAAGTCTTCATCTTATGAAGCACTAGACCCTCCTGCATACCCTTGTGCAGGTCCTCATCGTCCATCCTCGTCATCGACCAAATGCGCTTTGTCACAACCTCGACAGAATTCAGCAGATCAGTATTTATCAATGCATCAAACCCAGCACGAAACTTCGTCGTCACGGCTGTCAGTTCCGATGCATACAGTGCTGAAGGCTCGAGCATTTCACTTGATATAATGGGCGTGCGCGTCCAACCTGGGTGGACATTCATAAACTGTATAACTACTCAGTACTCAACGCTCTGCGGCTGCTATCACTGTCCAGTTACTCACCCGAATATTCCAAGCGGGAAGCTTCCTGTGCCAGGACTTCGGTGAACGAATCCAAGGCTAAATAGTGGTGAGTCAAAGTCACACACTGGCACTGTGCCATAGATGCAACGTTACCTGCTTTCCTACGAACACCAAATACTTCAGCTAACGCTTTATCAAACAGCACCAACATACTCACGTAGAGCTATAGAATCCGATCATTGGGGCCCCTGTGGTTGCTGCCGCGCTCGATACTTGCACGAGTATGCCCCCAGCGCCTTTCGGGTTCACTTCTCTAAAGAATCTCATCGCCTCGAAGCTTACCGTTACCGCGCCCCAGAAATTGACATCCATTAGCACCTTGGCACGGTCCACCATCGGTGTCCCCTCCAGCTCTTGATAGAACGCCTGCCCCGCATTGTTATACACGACATCGATGTGCCCAAAGGCGTCCTTGGCCTTCGCGAAGGCAGATTTGACCTGCGCCTCGTTCGTCACGTCCATTGGAAGTACTAGGAGCTGGGTGTGCGGGTATTTGGCGACGAGGTCATCAAGGACGGAAGGCTTGCGCAGAATTGCGACCGCAATCTCGCCGTTATGCAGGACCTCTTCCACCATCGCCCTGCCGAACCCAGAGGAACAACCGGTAACTGGGAGCAGTTAGTGATCTGCACGCTGAGCAGTTGCGTGCCAACTCACTCAACCAAACTCGAGGGGTGGATTGTGCCATGACAATTCTGCGTGTGTTGCTCATGCGCCAATACCATGGTGCGAGTCGCGGGCGGGGAAGTTGATTCCTGGGATCATCACCGTGACCCAGGGCATATCAGCTGCGCCATCCATTAAAATGCGACCAGCAGGAATCGGACGGGATGGCTTGTTCTTGTGGTCCCCTCCGGATCCTGGATCTGGTTTGCAATGTTGAACTGCAATAAGTGAGACCATATCTACAAAGCGGTATACCAAGTGCGGGTGGGGTCATGCTTTGGAGTCGCGCATAACGCAAACGTGGAATGTGTAATTGAGAAAAGGGGAGAGACGCGACGCGTAATGATTATCACATACGACAGGTGGTTCTAATATCATTTTAAAATACGCGGATGAGCAGAATCACTAGGGGATCAGCAGGTGTGAGAGGTTCGAGAGATGTCAGCCCTTGCACGATGCGAGGGCAAGCCTTGCGTGAGTCTTGAGAGGCCGCTTGGAGCAGATTTCAAGAGGCCGACCTGAGGGCTGGCAGAGGCTGGGGACCTGGGATGGACAGAATTCTCTGCAGTTTCTAGTGCTCACACATACCTTCTGCTCTCTATTTCTGTTCTAGACCCTTGCGTTCGTTTCTTGAACGACGTGAATTCAAAGTTTTGATATGTAGTATTTGTAGCAGAAAACCGAACTGGCCGATTCACTTGATGACTCAAAGGTGTACGAAGTCCTCTTACCTCTTGTGGACGCGTGACGCTGACTAAAGGAGCGCGGCTGTCTGGCTTTCCAGCACCATGGGCATCAACAATACATACTCAACCCGAACCTTGACGTGCTTGTCCAGACGTCCATTTCCCGACCAGGCACTTCAAACAATCATTCCTTCACCCAGCTGCCCATGTACATAAACTCCTTGAACCTTAATCGAAGTTCTTCGTCCTTCGTAAGCCTCCTGGAAAAATAATCCAACCACGATGGGATTCATTCAATGCGTAAGGCGTGTACTTTGACTCCACAACACCAGGTTGGTGAAGTTCTTCTGGCAGAAGCCGTGGGGGAACCACATTGGTGATTTGTGACATCTTGTGCTTCCTCCAGGCGGAAAGGTCATGTACTCGAGTTCGAACTCTGGATCATGGGTATGATCAAACTGCGCCAGTCTTGGCATATAGAACTGTGATTAACGTGTGTGATTGGTAGGAGGTGCTCATGGGGTACGAGCGCACCTGTATGAACCCTAGTGGCGACCATGTATATTGCCGTTCACACTAGTACTGCATAGTTGTCGTAGTGAGTGTCCACGAGGGGTTCCGATATCTCCGGAAAACCAACGATGAGCAACAACTAGCCGCCTGTTACTTACAGTGGTACCGTGAAATGTTGTACAGTGCGATTCTATGATGGAGTTTGTAAAAGACACATAAGGCTAACTCATACAATAGTCCAATAACACAACGAAGTCCTACCGCACCTCCTTCGGCGGTATCCACTCTGGTATCTTCCCCCATTCGAATTTCTCTGCAGCGAACGCAGCCTTTACATCCACTGGTAATATGTCCATGTAGTTTGGCGGCAATAGTCCAGCGTATCTGTCAGGTTTTGTCTGTATTTTAGACCGTGAAAATCCGGGTGTTGATGCAGACGGTTTCGAAGTATCGGTTGGGGTTGTGGCCATTGGAGTTGCGAAAGCAGAAGCAACCACGGGCGCAGAAACGCCGAAGGATGATGGAGCTCCAGCGCCTGTGCTCCCGAACGCAGAAGTTGTTGGCGCTGACCCGAAAGCAGACTGCGGCGTTATGGAGGACCCGCCGATTGCACTTGGTGCAGATGGCGTAGGGCCAAAGGCGCTTTGTGAGGGTGTCGCGGAACTAAAGGCACTTTGTGCTGGTGCAGAGGAAAAAGCACTTTGCGCCTGTGCCGGCGCAGCAAATGCGCTTGGTGTTGGCCCAGAGGCAGGGGTTCCAAATGATGGCTGTCCAAACGCCGATGCCTGCGTCGGTGCCGACACAAACCCGGATGGTTGAGATGCAAAGGCAGAAAAACCGCCACCGGCTCCAGTGCCAGTGCTCCCAAACGCCGACGATGGAGTGCCAAACGCGCCTGTGGAAGGCGCTGCAGAGCCAAATGCACCAGACCCGGGTTTAATCAATGATGATTGTCCGAAAGCCGACGTTGGCTGAGTGGCTGAACTGAATGCAGATGGTTGCCCAAAAGCTGAGCTCGGCTGCTGTCCAAACGCTCCTGTCGTCTGAACAGCCTGAGGCTGCCCGAACGCAGAAGTTGTCTGCTGTGGCTGCCCAAATGCAGACGTTGACTGTTGTGGCTGCCCGAAGGCAGACGTTGATTGTTGTGGCTGTCCGAACGTTGAAGTGGCCTGTGCAGGTTGCCCGAACGCAGATGTAGTTTGTGCAGGTTGCCCGAACGCAGACGTAGTTTGTGCAGGTTGCCCAAATGCAGACGTCGCTGCGGATGTGCCAAACCCTGTCTGGCCGAATGCAGGCTGCCCAAACCCTGATTTTCCAAAGGCACTGGAAGCCGCGCCAGACACTGATGGTTGAGGGCTAGCACTAAACGCTGGTCCGCTACTAAACGCTGATCGCCCACTAAACGCGGAAACATGATCGAGCGCACCCGAACCAGGTGAAGCAGCTCCCTTGCTCAATTTGAAAGCAGCGTCATGCAACTGAGAAACGTTGCTCCTGGCATTGTTGTATGCCTGCTCTGAGGCAGCTATTTTATCTGACTCGTATTTCATCTGTTGATAATTTCATCAGTCATTAAAGAAAAATATCCTTTCCTATTCGGCTACGCACATATTCGTTTATTGTCCCTGCCTTCAACGCAGTCACCGCCTTCGCACGGAGTTCCTCAGGTGACTCGTCCAGTCCTGCGACAACCACCGGCTCATACTTCGCAGCGCCATAGGATGATAGTGGCCATAAAGGTTTATCTTGTAGAGCGGTGACGTCTCTTGCCATTGATTCAGTGCTACAAACCATGGTGTTAAGAAATCGGACCGTATGTTGACCCATAGATCCCGAACAACTTACGTATATGGAACTGCCATGTCTCTCGAATTATTATTGGTCCAACTTTGATCTAATCATTGCATTATATGTGAGAAATGTGAAAGGAGAACGAAAGTCGAGACAACGTACTCCCAAAGCCACCTTGTTGTGCTCTGTCCGCTGGATGCTCGTTTCGACATCTATCGCCGTACTTGCATGCGCCACGTAGATAGTACGTGCAAACTGTCTGACATTACAAGCGTTAATACTGCCTCAAGTTTACAGAGTGGTAGCGCACCATGGGATACGGGCTCGTCGGAAAGAAGCAGGGGAATTGCAACCAAATCGAGCATGTTTGCGGCGTGCACTTACACTAACAGATTATGTAATGACCTTAGAATTCAATAAGGACAAACAACAGTCAGCCTCGACTCTCCTTGCACTGAAGTACTCATAATGAAAGAGCAATTGCAAGAGCGTCACACCCAAATCTACGTCGAGAAAGGATGCTGATACAAATAATAGATCCTATCACAGGGATCTCAAGCATACTGCATACAGTGACTGGATGGTGAATGACGCATCTTCGAAACGGTGCAAGTTCCGCCGCGCGCAGTGAGAGAATTTCATTAATATTGGTACTTGACATAATTCGATGAACTGACGTGAGTACACCAACAGTACTCCATGGAACGTATGGACATAGAATCATTTCCATTTGTCGAGAATCGCGTTCAACTTTTGGAATTCGTACCATGGTCAGAAACTTGAACTCCCCTGCATTTCAGTTGGGTTCGAGTTTTTGCCCATGGTGATGTGCTTGATGCCATGTTATATAGTCACCAGATGGGGCCTATTCTGCACGAACGAGTCTGATGACTGCCAGGTGTTGTGATTGGTGGAAACTAGTAAGCACATCAACATGTCACAACTGGTATACGGTACCACGATATTAATCCCACCACCCCCACGTTCTACCCAACACAAACACAGCCCCAAAACCCGTCAACCAAGAGACGCTAAGCACGGCCGTCGATTCGGCTTTGTGTGCGTCCACCTTCTCGTATCCATTTGTGTCTGTAGTCTCGTAATAACCGCTATTCAGGGGAACGGGCAAGGTCTGTATGTATAGTCCAGGTTTTCCCATTAGCTGTAATGGCCTCAGAAGGATACCCGGATCCTCAGATATGTATAGCAAAACTGCAGCTGCGATATATGGATGCCTGATTGCTGGAAGTGTTTAAGCTTTTCAGTAAATTTTGTCAACAAGAGGCGAATGACCTACACCAGATGTTGAGTCCTATCAAACCACGCGAAGCACAGGAGAGGACAGTGCACAGATTGAAATTTGAAGTGCTTAAGAGAATTCTAGTAGTGCCCCGCAAATTGGAAATGTCCGAGGGAACAGTGCCTAATATTTTGGAAGAGCCCAAGAGAATAGCGCGCCACAATTTGGTAGGGCCCCAGAGAATGATGCTCCACAACTTGGAAGGGCCCCAGAGGATAGCGTCCCACAATTTGGAAGGGCCCGAGAGAATAGTCGCCCACGCTTTGGTCCAGTGGACGCCGAACCGATCTAGATATCTGTTAGATCGTCTGCGAAGAAATAGGATCCCTATTAACGTACCAGAATTCATGACTAACCGCCACAGCTTCTCATGGTATGCCTGGAGCATAGCCGGGCTCCAGTTGCGATACATGTATGCCTGGTTGCTAAAAAGTGTGCATCAAGCCCGTAACCCGAGGCATGATAACCGAGAGGCGAATAACACACACTAGTTGCCTGGCGTCTGTCAGAGCATCAGACGCACGGGAGAGAATGTTGCCCGGTAATCTGGCCCAGTCGATATTTGGCAGACCTAGATATTTCTGGGACGTGGCCTGATTTCTGATATGTGCGTATCGAGTCGTATCAGCAAAAGCGTATCAATAATTAACAGGCGTATAACATACATCAATTGTCTGGCCTCTGTCAGTGCATCAGACGCACGAGACAGAATATCGCCCGATGCTTTCGACCAGTCGATGTTTGGAAGGCCTAGATCTTTCTCAGACATAGCTTGATGGCTGAAAAAAGTATATTGAGCCGCATCAACAAGAGGCATACTACATAGTCTAAGGGCGAAGAACCTTAGTTGTTTGACCTCTGCCAGAGCATCAGACGCACGGGAGAGAACAACGCCAGATAGTTTCGACCAGTCAGGCAGGTTTACATCGTGCTGAGACGCGACCTGATTGCTGAAAAGTGTTGAACTACTATCAGCAAAGGCCATGTCGGTGCACATTCATGGGGCCAATAACCTCATTTGTTTGACTTCTGCCAGAGCATAAGAAGCACTGGAAAGAACGGTCGACAATTTCGATCAGTCAGGCAGGTCTATATCTTTCTTGGGCATGGCTGAACCTGTAGGTGTGAAAGGTCAATCCCGCAAGCTTTGTGATTCTGTACAAGAACGACCAAGCGCTCATCGACACCTAACTTGGGCCTGGACTTGGCCTGGACCATCAATTGTTGAACGTTGAACTCTCACGAAATCAAACCTTGCCACTCTTCTGACAAAATCATCCCAATTTTTGCTGCATACGTAGGCAACACATTTACTATGGAGCTGCAGCTCGAGGACGACAAGCGGGAGGCTCGCCAGGAAGGTATTGACACCCCATGAACAATTCAGACTCAGCAGCCCGCGTGAAGAGCATGGCCGACTCCGCGCGCTGGCTCGCCAGTACTTAACAAACTTACCTGTCATAAACTTCCGGTACTCGGTACTAGGACGACGGGGTCATGCAAGCGTACGAGGAACAAGTGTACGTTTTATCAAGTAGATAAACACGTCACTTAACGGTTGCATCGATATAGCTTCACGATATTTCATGCTGCTGGCACTGACTCCTACTCCGAGTCCCTCCATCATAAGCGCTAATCACATCAATTCCACCACCCCCACGTCCTGCCCAAGACAAACCCAGCCCCAATAGCTGACATCCAAGAGACGGCAACCGGAAGCATCGATCCTGCTTCAGGATCCCCATTCTCGTAATGGCCAGGGTCCATTAATCTCATTCTCCGTGCTTCGTCGGCTTCCATTGATCTGATTGCTTCTTCTATGTCCGAGTCATCATAATAGTCAGTGGCACCGTATGACTGAAATCTTGCGAAGGTGGAGTCCCGTGGCACGTAGCCGCCGTAGTGATGGGATTGGTACTGGGATGCCAATGAATCTGACATGGTTGCGTTTAGTTGAGACGAGAGACCTGTAGAATAGGATGTGACCTCTCGCTACGCCTTCTCTCCTGAAACCAAAAATATATAGGATAAACCTGCCCGAGAGCTTGAAGGGCCACAGGATCAACCGAAGCGGGAGGAGACAGATAAAACGCGCAGTTTTCGCCGTGAGCCGCAATGGCGTCAAAAGGATCTCAGGACTGTCAGAGATCCATATCAAGGCTCCAGCTGCAACATATGGGTGCCTGATTGCTGGGGAGTGTGATTCAGTTTATAAACAACCTCGTGAACAAGAAACAACTTGATAACTTACACCAGTTATCAACCTTTGTCAGAGCATAAATTGAAGAGGCGAGAATAGTGTCCCGTAATTTGGGCCAGTCAATGTTGGGCAGGTGTAGATCTTGATCTTCTTGGGACATGGTTGTATGCGTGTAAGCCTGAAGGTCGAGCCAACCAGACAAGTTTGTTTATAAGATGATAGTAAGCGCCGAGCGCTCATGTATTACGTTGCCATAAAATCAACCTCACGATGTCATTCTCTTGTCAAATGTCATAAATACTATCATCAACGTTTCGGGCTGTTCACTCGAGCAGCCCAATATTCCCCTCACACAAATCTCAACTACACACTCTCCTGGTTTTCTGATTCGGATGCTCGTGTAGCACGGTCCGGCAGGTGTTGTGGCCCAGGGAGGCAAGTTAGTTGAGCTATTAATATTGTCGGTGAGGGTTTACTCACTTTTGGCGAGGTGCGCAACTATTAAAACACAATTGTAGCAGATGAGCCTGCGAGCCCAGCGACTACCTGATTGTCAGAAAGTTAAGCCCATCAACAAAAGGCGTAATCGAGAAGTGAATCACCTGTAAACACTCGCCTGGCCTCTGGGACTGTCAGAGTACAAGAAAACAGGGCCCGACAATTTTCACCAGTCGATGTCAGGCAAGCCTGTATGAAAGGTCAATACTACAGCCCCAGCCAACACCACCTGCACTCCTCCGCACTTCATGGCATCAGTTACGAATAATTAGCGGCATCGTATTCATCAAGCTTTCACAAAATCAACCCCGAACTTGGTTATTCCTTTGAAAAAAGTCACATGCATGCGCCCCAACAAGGTAGTCTCATTTCAACTCCATTCGATACAAAACAATCCAGTCACCTCATTGGAGCCACCACCCCCACTCCCGGCCCAAGACAATCACAGCTCCAGCATATGACAACAAGGAGACAAGCGTCAACAGGAATGTCAACATGCCAGCGGTGGCCCCAAGTGATTGGAGTTGCGAAAATCCAGAGCCTCGGGGCACGTAACCACCGTAGTGACTGGCCTGATATTGGGACGCAAGTGAAACTGTCCCAGCATTGTTTAGTTACCAAGCGGAAAGTGATGTATTTGTTTACCTTGCTGTACTCCTTGACTCCTGAAGCCAAGGCACCAGATAATCAAATACACCGGGAGAAAACACAGGAACAACGCAATTGCTCCCGTCGACTGCAATAATGCCAGGAAGATCCCAATATTTGTAGCTGCAGAGATGAGTATCAAGATTCCGGCTACTGCGTATGGATGGATGATTGCTGGAAATCATGTATCAGTTAGTATAGCATATATCGCGATCCAGAGCTGAATGACACATACATTGGGTATTGATCGCTGTCAAACCGATTAAAGCACCGGAGAGAACAGTGCGCAACAATTTGGGCCTAGATAGTTTGCATCAAGCCCATCAACAATTATGGAATACTCAAGTACTAGTAGCGAATGACATACACCAATTGTTTGGCCTTCGTCAGAACATCGGACGCACGGGAAAGAATGGCAGCCCATAATTTCGCCCAGTCGATATTTGGCAGGTCAACCTGATTGCTGTATATCGAGGCGCATCAGGGAAGATGTAATGATCTAATCAAAGGGAAAATAACCTACACCTGTTGTTTGGCCAATATCAAAGACGCTTGGGAGAAAACACTGCCCGACAATTCCGACATCATGATAGCTGGAGGCATGAAGGGCAATACCAAAGGCTTTGTGGTAGTGCACGAACAAATGTACCCCAGCGCTCACCGACTCAGAGTCTCGACGTCTACCATTTGAGCTCCGACGAAATCACGCCCAAACCTGCCATCAATAATTTGACAAGCCGCAACTGCCGAAAAAACGTTGCTGCACACATCGAATCGAGAAGCTGGAAGCTTGGCCAGAAGTAGAAATGAACCAACAATTTACATCGTCTCCGAAGCTGCATATCAGGTGGCGGATGCGACGGAAGGCATCCTGTAAAAAGTCAAGCCTTCATGTGACGGTATGTCGCATATATAGCCGGGAACTCAGTCAGAGCCAAATCTAAGGTGGGCTGGAGAAGAGGTTGAGTATCCGGTGAACAGGGATTGACTCACGTGCACCGACCTGCATTGACGTGGGAACCAATTCAGAGTCAGCTGCTTGTGAGATCTCAGGACCACGGCAGACTCCGCGCTGCTTCCGCATGTTCGTCGACTCAACATCAATGACACCTCCGGTACCGGTACAACATAAGCACTACGGAGTTGCTACGGAGCTACGAAAGCTGAATTTAAGGGAACATGCGTACGTTCTATAGTTACTGATAAGTGAATGAACACGTCACTGGTTATAACAAGCTCAGGGTGTAACATCACGATATTCCATGTTGCGGGACTGATGAATGTATCTATCATGGCGCGTTTTCAGCCATGAGACAAGTCCTGTGGGTATTACGGATATCAAAGCTCTAGCTGCAACATATAGGTGTCTTATTGTTGAAGAGCACATTATCAAGCTCATCAACATTGCCGCGAACGAAAAGCAAATAACCCACACCAGGTATTAACATGTTAACCTCTGTGAGAAGAGGCGAGAATAGTGCCCCGCAATTCGGGCCAGTCAATGTTGGGCAGGTCTAGAACTTGCTGGGACATGGCCGTGTATATATAAGCTTGCAGGTAACTGGTAGAAAATCAATAAAAGGTGTACATGATCAAGAAGTGAATCACCTGGAAACAGTACTTGTCTGGCCTCCGTACTGTCTGAGTACAAGAGAACAGCGCTCGACAATTTTCACCAGTCGACGACAGGCCTGTATGAAAAACCAAAACTACAGCTCCTGTACTCTATGCATCAGTATGCATCAGTACTCAGTCACAAGCTACCGGCTCAACGGTATCCATCAAGCTCCCGCGAATTAACCCAAAACATTGTCATTCTTTTGACAAGTGTGACGTGCATACCTCAGCAATATAATTACACGATACATAACAATCCGAACTACGTCATCGTAGCCACCATCCCCATTTCCGGCCCAAGATAATCACAGCTCCAGCATATGACAATAAGGAGACAAGTGTCGAGGTGACCGTCGGCATAGTGGCCCCATATGACTGAAGTTTCGCGAATCCAGAGCTTCGTGGTACGTGACCACCATAGTGGCTGGACTGATATTGAGATGCAAGTGAACCTGTCATGGCGTGTTTAGTTACCAAATAGAAAGCACTGTGTTTGTGTACCTTTTGCTACTCCTCCACTCCTGAAGCCAAAATACCAAGTGGTCAACCGCACCGGGATAAAACACATGAACACCGCAGTTGATCCCATCAGCTGCAATGATGCCAGAATTATTGCAGGATGTGTAAGCGCAGATATGAACAACAACGCTCCAGCTGATTCATATGAATGACTGATTGCTGGAAAGTACGGATCAGTCCCGTAAAGCATATCGTGCTCGAGAGCTAAATGACACCTACACCAGTTATCGATCTCTGTCAGAGCACTAGAAGCATGGGAGAGAATGTTGCCCGATACTTTGGACCAGTCGATGTTTGTCAAGTCTACATGTTTTTGTAACATGGCCTGATTTCTGAGATGTGCAGACCGGGCCGCGTCAGAAAAGGCGTTATAATCAAGAAACGGAAAACATACGCCAGCTGTTTGGCGTCTGTCAGAGCATCAGACGCATGGGATACAACCTTGTCTGATAACCTGGACCAGTCAACGTTTTGTAGGTCTATATCATTCTGGGACGCCGCCTGATTTCTGTGTATCGAATTGCGTCAGCGAAGGCATGATAATCAAGAAACGGATAACATACACCAGTTGTTTGGCCTCTGTCAGAGCATCTGACGCACGGGAGAGAACACTGCCCGATATTTTGGACCAGTCGATGTTCTGTGGGTCTAGATCGTTCTGAGAAATGGCTTGACTGTCCGCATCAGCAAAGGCTATGAATCGAGAGGCGAATAACCTACACTCGTTGTTTGGCCTCTGTCAGAGCATCAGATGCTTGCGAAAAAACAATGCTCGACAACCTCGACCAGTCAGACATGGCTGTAGGCGTGAAAGTTGATATAACGTTGATACCCGAAGCTTTGTGATAGTACGCAGGAACGACTGTAACTAAATTTTGCTCAGACGTCCATCAATTGAGCTCCCACGCAATCAAACCTAAACGTTGCCCAAATCTGTCTTCACTCATTTGACAAGCCGCATATGCCCAACACCTGTCACTTGAAATTGTACTGCATGCATCGACGGCACCCATTCATCAATGTATGTGCAGCTTGCATGTACTAGTAGCCCAAAGTCGAGAAGCCGGAAGCTTGGCCAGGAGGAGAAATGAAGTCAAACCGCCATGCTATCAGCAGTTGAATATCATATGGTGCACGTCACGGAGGGCACCCATAGAAAGGTCAAGCCTCCATATATGTAGTATAGCCGGGGACTCAGATCTAAGGCGGGGAAGTTGAGTGTGGCGAATTGAGGTAGAAACCAATTCAGAGTCAGCGCTGGTCCATGACGTGGGCAAGGACTGCGACAGACTCCGCGCTGCTTCCGCGTACGTGTTACAGTCCCTATGTTAGCCTATCGAAAATGATATCAGCACAAAGCTTCCGGTTGACTTCCGGTACCAAGTAGCACGACGAGGCCACGCAAGTTGACAGCGAATTTACGGGAACATGCCACGGTGTCGCACGTAGACGAACATGTCACATACTTCAATGAGTATAGCTGACATTGACTCAACTCAGAGTCCCTCCATCAATCGTCGATCATCCACGTTACCACCCACCACATCAATACCACCATCCCCACTCCCTGCCTAAGACATAGTAAACTCCAATACCCGACATCAAAATCACAGGATCCGCAAATGTCGATTCTGTTTCATCCTCGTCCTCGTAATCATCAGCAGCCCCTTGCGCCTGGAATTTTGAAAAGACGGATTCCCGTGGCACATAGCCACCATAACGACGGGATTGGTATCGGGATGCATATGAATCTGTCAGGGCGTTTTTAGTTAGTGATGAGACAAGTCTTGTGGTGGCTACAGTTGTGATTGCCAGTGAAGATGTACCTTTTGCTACACCCTCTCTCCTGAAACCGAAAATATACAGGATGAACCTGACCAAAAGCTTGAACGGCCAAAGGATCAACCGAAATGGGAGGAAACATGTATAACGCGCGAGCCGCAATGGTGTCAGAACGAGTTCAGGATAATTACAGATGCACGTTAGAAGTCCAGTTGCGACGTATGGATGTCTGATTGCTAGAGAGTGCATTTGGAAAACAAAATCAACAACGTCCAGAACAGTGAACAGGAAGCAAAAACTAACACCAATCATTGGCCTCTGTCAGAGCACAACAAGTGAGGCAGGTACCGGTGTCCCATAATATCGACCAGTTGATGTCTTGCTGAGACATGGCTGTATGCGCTCAAGACCATTCACAAAGAAATTTGGTTTTATAGTAGGCGTCAGGGCATAATAACTTTAAATAAGCGCCAGGCGCCAAATGCAACCATCAACCGAGTTCGTATGAAACCAACCTCGTTGTTCCTCGTGACACAATCACCACAGTGCAGACTCGAACTTTGCACCATACGCAGGGGCCACACATTCACTCATGCAGCTCAAGGTCGACATCACTAATGACATAGCATCTGCTTCATCATACGGCCTGAACATATTATGATGCAGATACAAATTCCTCACGTTCGACCCCAGGGACGCGTATGTCACAGATGTTGTTGACACCTGGGACGTTTCATTGGTAGGTGGGGATGCTTGGAATGGCGCCCGCGTCATACATGTGGCATCCGCATTGGTAGCGCTGGTGAGTTGAGATCAAAACATATCTACAACTCGCCAGAGTCAAATGTCAGGCGTGTGCGACCAACTGTATACATTATGTGAGAACTGATTTAAAATGTTGATATGATGTGGCACTTGCTTATTAGAAACCGCCGAAGTAGCATGAACTACTCGGCGCTACGAGAGTAGCATTTGGGCGTGCAGCGCGCAAAGGGAGGGAAGGGAGACCGTTGAATTGGAACACCTTGAGCGGGAAAGGCATAGTGACGAGGAAAGGCAAAAGTTTGCATTGATGTACTTGTAGATTGTCGCACTATAAATCACTGGACGATTACGCAACGTCCCAAGGGCCGACACATGATATATGATACTTGAATCAGTAGGACGGTGGACTGTATGAGAGTGTCCGCCCTTCGCAATGGCATGTACTGATTGAAAAACGGCGTTGGCAGTCGGAGTGATACCAAGCCGGAAAAATACGATTTGAGCGTGAAGGAGAGAAAGGGAGCCAATGAATAAGAACGATGCCCGCCGTGTTCATGGGCGCACGAGACATCGACGGCATGGTGACAACCACGACAGAGAAAGGCCATAAATTCAACCTTGAACGTTAAAATCCATCTGGGGACCGCAACGACATGAGGAGCGAAGAACTTTGCACGGGGTATTTATGGCGATGATGATGATTAAAACCTTGGCTTAATGACACCACACGCTGCATGAGGCTGAAGCCTGCTCAGCTGAGTGAATTGTGTGAGCAAGGAAGTTATTTTGGGGGTCGAACAAGTCTCGAGTCAATCTTTCAGCTGAAGCGCAGATCATGAATTGTTTGGAGATAAAAAAAAAAAAGAGGTCGCCTTAGCGCTTACAAAGCTACCGATCTGTGTTTGTCGTCGTTTGGCATACGTCGAGCAGCCTGGGGGCAGGAACGACTGTAACTACTAAGCATTTGAGCTCCCACGAAATCAAATCCAAAGAAGCCACACTGCCATGTTATTAGAAAGTCAAGCCTCCTTGTATGTCTCATAGCCAGAAACTCAGATTTAAGGTGGGCTAGGAAGTTGAGCGTGGTGAGTGGGGGATCGACAATTCAGAGTCAGCACTAATAGGGTCCGCGACGCGCATAATGACCGCGATAGACTCCGCGCTGCGTCCGCGTGTTACAGTCTATGCATCGAAAATGATACAGCACGACGCTTCCGGCTGACTTCCGGTACCAAGCAGTACGATAGGGCCACGCAAGTTGACAGCGAATTTATAGTAGGGGAACGTACGTTGTTCTACTGAGTACGTAGACGAACATGTCACATATTTGCAACGACTATATTAGCATATGTTGCTGACCCCGATTCAACTCCCTCCACCGTTGCTCCATCCCCACGCCCCGCCTAAGACAAACACAACTCCAATACTCGACATCAAGTGTACAGAACCCGCAAGCATCGGTCCTGTTTCATCTCCGTCCTCGCAATCCATCAGTAGCCCCATACGCCTGGAGTTTTGCAAAGCCAGACTCCTGTGGCACAGAACCACCGTAACGTTTGGATTGGTATTGAGATGCATATGAACCTGTCAGAGCGCGTTTAGTTAGTGACGAGACGGGTACTACAGTTGGTGATTGCCAGTGAAGACGTACCTTTTGCTACGCCCCCTTTCCTGAAACCGAAAATATACATGATAAATCCGACCAAAAGCTTGAACGGCCAAAGGAACAACAGAAATGGGAGGGAAAATATAAACCACATAGTTGCTAGTGGTACTCAGAATGAAGATTGAAAATTTTGAAAGCTCACCTAAAGTTTAAACACGGAATTAGGATTTGACCCGCCAAAGGCGGAGTTTGAAACACGAGACGCAGATCTAGAAACGGAACGCGTCGATGAAAAGTACTGTCAGGGCCATTTGTATACGCTCTAGCTCAGCAGCTCACTGAGGTCCCTGGACCCTGCTACATTTCCCTACCATCCTCTCTCGGGGCAGGCCGCGACTCGGTTTGATCATGTAAGTCTTGATTTTTATTTAACTCTCAATGTATGGCTGAGTGCATATCCAGTTTGAAATAGGGCTTCCCCACACCCGTCGAACGGTCCAGTCACGCAGTTCCTGTGACAGCACCTTTCTTTTCTCGTGCCAAGACACAGCCATGGGCCGCCTGTCGTTGAAGTTGCACCAGGGCAGAATCTCACTGTAACCTGCATCTCCTTGATTGACATTGCCTCCTCGATAACGCTTGGAGCGTGTTGGCATACCCCGCCAAGATGGCACGACAAACACTAGTAGCAGCCGTAGTGGTGCTCATGCTCGCAGCTAATTTCCTGTGCATTCATCCGTATTCGTTGTATCTCCGTAACTGATGGTTTCACACTTCTATGTAGACATATACCGATTGTGGTACCAATTCCACAGCGGCTTGTAGGATGTGCTTCATTTCACACTATCTGCTTACAGTTAAGTGGGAGCACAACAGTCTGGAGAAATGAATCCGTTTCGAAACCCCGTGCATGTGTTGATGAATGCCAGTGATCACAACCAACGCACTCGCCATGTCCTTTGGCCCTCGTCGTCCAGCCCCGGTGTCTACGCTGAAGTTCCTCACAGAATAGATAGTGCACGTTCCGAATCTTCTGATCGCGTAGATTGCTGAAGCCATGATCTTTGCCTGTGAGGGTCTTACAAGCCTAGTTCATATAGGAGATGTGCGTCCGAAGTAGCAGCGCGCGTCGCGAGCTGTTCGCGAAACTTGTGATGATAATGTTACTTAGTGATCTTTGAACATGCCCCGACTCACCCAATAATGATTTGCCTGCTGGTGTGTTCATTCATGCTGGAAGTTCGGAAACAGCTCTACGATATTCAAGTATTCGATTTTCATCACCAATACTCACGGCTTATTTCTGATCCAATCGCAGCCGAATACGGGGTACCTCGCAATGAGGAAGGGAGGTTTAAACAGACGCAGGAGACTCGCACAGATACCCATCATCATCAGGCCATTTAAGTTGCAGCCGCTGAGCCTCCTGGTAATGTATAATATCCCATGTGATCCTGCAGCACGGATCAACTGACAATTGGCTTCAGCAGGGACAGTGCCCCAGCGCTCGAACTAGTAGTTGGACATCTTCAACAAAGCCATCGATATCAAGCCAACAAACAGTATGGGTGATGTCGAGCTGGGTGACTATGAAGTCGAGTTCAGGACCACGAGTGAGGTCTCGTGTATGTTGGTCTGACGATGATGACGAATCCTATTATCAAACCATCCCCTATGAGATGAACGCCAGGGGGCAATTGTGCACGCCACCTTTCGTCGCAGGTCCCATGGACCTCACCTCAACTATCTTCGAGCACACAATCATCCAATCTTTTTCCACTTCACGGACCGCGCACACACTTGCAAATGTGAGGGAATTCATAAAGCCTCGCATCGCCAAAACCCGCACCATCGACATTGATCCGCGTCACTGGGCCAAGCGTGGAAAGAAGCAAGTGTTCTCAAGAGCACGAGGCTGGGAAGCAAGACTGGGGAATGAGAACAAAGATATGTTATACTCGGCGCACTGTAGCTCTGAAGGTAAGTCATGACGAGGTGTGCATCATTGATTTTTCTATGACCCCGGGTTGTGTTCTTGTGAATGAGTACCGCTATGAAGTACGTGAAGGTGAGACCTACAAGCTGCTGTGCAATCGGTGTCAGGGTTGGTATACAGCTCTATGGAATATATCCCCGGATGCCGGGTTACCTTAATCTGGATACATAAAAGTGTGAAACAATCAGTTATAGAAATGCAACGAACACGGTTAATTACGAGCACCACTGCGGCTGCTACTAGTGTTTGTCGTGCCATCCTGACGGGGTATGACGACACGCTCCAAGCGCCATCGAGGAGGCACCCTCAGTCTGCCATGGGACCAGCACGAATTGTAGCACAGGAACGCCTTGAACCAATGCACGTCTGGGAGTGAATCAACATCAGACGACTCGACGTCCTGCTGCACGACAGGCTGCTGGCTAGACGGACGCCGGGTGTCGTCTACCTTCTTGTATTCTGGTAGATTGGCAGCAACCAGCCGCTATAGGGTACGAGTCAGCGAAGAGCCAGTGTCAATTAAGGAGATGCGGGTCACAGTGAACTTGCGCCCTGGTGCGACTTCAACGACAGGCGGCCCATGACTGTGTCTTGGCACGAGGAAAGAAAGGTGCTGTTGTAGGAACTGCGTGACTGGACCGTTTGATGGGTGAGGGGGAGAACTTATTTCAAACTGGATATGCACTCAGACATGCGTTGCGAGTTGAGTGGAATCAAGACTGACATGATCAAACCGAGTTGGGGCCTGCCCCGAGAGAGAGGATGGTAGTGGCAATGTAGCAGGAACCTGTGGTTCCATCGTCGAGTCAATAGTGAAAAAACCGAGATAAATCACCTACATCTAGGGGATTACGAGGTTGGACAGGGGGGACTGCGTTCGTGCGAGAAGTGAAACGAAGTATTCTGCTGAGGCGAATGAAAATGGGTGGCTGCGGGTCTATGGTACGCGGAGGTATTTGCGGACTAGGTAATATCAGTGGATTGCGGCGCAAGGCAGAAGGACGACGAGTTGCGTCAGACTGCAATGATGGCGATGGATGAGTAGCGTAATGAGTAACATGATGGAATGCGTACATTTAGCAAACCACCGAGGTTGGACTTTTTGTGTGCATTAGTCTGTGAGGGACATTAATGTTAGCCAAGGACGATAAATGTGTGCGGCAAATGCGAACACTTGCCTTTGTATCCGGCACAGGCCTAGTGCTACTAGTAATGATGTTGGGTGGGGTGTCGCATATATAAATCTTCAAGTTGTGATCATCTTTGTAGTATGACGTCACATAAGCTAGCTGGCGTGAGTCGGGTGAAAAGATGAGGCACATAGGGTTTCGGACGCTGAAGGAGGCAAGGAGCTGTCGGGATTCGAAGGCCCAGAGCTTGATGGTATTGTCTACAGAGGCACTAGCGAGGACGGCATCATCAAATGAACTTGAAAGCGCTAGACCGGTGATAACCCCGGTGTGCCCTTCAAAGGGAACTCCAACAGTCTCCAGCGTCGACCCATCAAACTTATAGATCGTGTCGGCGGAGTCGTCCTTTGTGTCGAATGCAGTTGTGATGTTTTGGTTTTGGGTTGTCCAGAAAACTGGTGATGGCATGAGGGGTAATCGAAGAGATGCGAATCCCCCAACTCTGACATCCAACTTCTGTGTCCGGACATCCCACAGCTCAAGGCACTTCGCCGCATTTGACTTGACTGCGAGCTTCTTCGAGTCCTGGGAGAATCGAACTGCGCCCACTTTGTCATCACTCTTGAATGGACCAGCTACGAGCTTCCCAGTGTCCAAGCTCCATACCCGCGCTGTAGAATCATCTGCCCCGCTCGCCAGCAGCCTACTGTCCGCAGAGATATCTATGCAGGCAATCTGGTCTGAGTGGCCTTCGAATGTTTTCACGATTCCCGTCTCGACCTCATAGACTTTGACCTCCGGAATATCATCTCCACCAGCAGTAATGATCCATCGACCATCCTTTGATACCGCCACCACATCTACTTCCTGCCCAGAAACATCCTGCGCCTTTCCAATCTCCTTACCCGTCTGCAAGTCCCATTGCCGAGTGGTCTTGTCCAAAGATCCGCTGATCATTCGCCGGCCGTCTGGAAAGTAGGATACAGATCGAATGTCGTCTCCGTGACCCTTCAAAGTCATTACTGGTGTCAGAATTGATGTCGTAGCAGCTGGCTTTGTCGATGTGGAAGCCATAATTGTGTCTCCGCGAGCAAAATTGTTAATTTGTGGCCAAGCATGCAGATGGTATTCTTTGAATGGGTTTGAAGCTGCGGTAAGTATACTGTAGGCCTCGCCTTTTCGATAGTGGTTTGAAGATTCCCACTGCTTTCGACTCACAGCCACAACCATGACAGCCATAACGAAGTTCCTGTGCCAGAGCCTCAATCTCTTTTCTACCATAGGTTGAATGGGCGAGATGCTGTGATGCCATTAATATTGATTGAGAGTATTATCGGGACATTCTGACTTGGTGGTCCTTGAGCGTACTGCTTCGATGGTTCTGCCTTTGCATACAGCCTGGTGATCAAGCACGTCTCAAGCCGTCATTCTGACATCAGTGAGTTGAAAAGATTCCCCTCTCAATTCACTCTCTGTTGATTCCAGGGAATCAGAACCTGGCATGCTAGGAGAACCTTTGCAATCGACCATGATTAGCTTGTTCGTTGAAAATTTCTCTGGCTGGTCTCTTTGCAGAACGAATCAGCGGTTGCATTCTCTCCGGGAGATTTTTTTTTTTTTTTTTTTTTTTTTTCCAATTTATGTCCATTGAGAGTGATACTCTATGTAGGACAGTACTAGTAAGCCATGGAGCCCCTTGCTCCGTACCCCATTTCCAAACCTCCAAATGCATTGGTGTAGGGCGTACCCCCACCAATCCGCCGTTCCTGCCGGCCGTTTTAGATGGACGGTTTGTCGAAAATGAGAAGGCTAAATAATGTGCTTGCGTGTGTATGATGTGACAATGAATACGGTAACGCATGCTCGGCTGCTTACGCAGGCCAAACAGAGAATCAAGTAAGGTGTGCGATGGGATTATGTGAGGTAGTTCTAAGGAGTCGAGAAGTGATGGACTACTTCTGTGATTTGTGGTATAGTTGGCATATCCGCAGTGCATTCCAAAGAGGTTACTTCAGTTGCCTATCGACTGAGGCCTCAGGGCTGTGCCGTCGATCTCGTGTTAACGAGCTGGTGAAGTGTTTAGGGGGTTATGGAGTATGGTGTGATTAGGGCGATTTATGTTAGTGGGGTTTCGGGTCGTGGTAACTGTGGGGTGGGACTGTCAAACTGTCTAGGACGAGGGCGGCAGAATTTCACCTAGCGTGGGTTTCAGGCGGCGGGTAGCGTTAACAAATCTTGCGAGGTGGGGGATGGCTTCGGAGTCCGTTAGGAGGTATGGGAGAGAAGTGGATTTCCTTCCAAGGGCACACGCCAGGATGTGCCTTTCGCGTTTATATTGCGGGCAGTCAAACAAGAAGTGTAGTATAGTTTCATCAATGAGTGGGCAATGTGGGCAATGGGGGGAATTAACTTTTGTTAGGCGGTGGAGGTGTTTGTTCAACGGAATGTGACGAGTGCGGAGGCTGACGAGGAGGCTGGTGAGGCGTTTGGAGCAATTGGCTGTGAGCTTGAGGAATGATTTGTTGATAGTGGCGGATTCTATTGCTTGAAGGCGATGATAGCGGGGGGAGGTAGGCCATAGTCTTGCCCACCTTGCTTGAACTTGTGTCTGGTGTGCTTGTTTCATAGCTGAAATACTTAAAGGTAGCGGGCCCTTGCGTAGATATCGGGGGAAGGACTCACGGGGACTAGTGCGGTGAGGACCTTCTGCTTCTTTTGCTGCTCTGTCTGCCTGCTCGTTACCATGTTACATAGGCATTGGCACGGGTATGGGTAACCTGTGCGGGTTACGGGTACGGGTCCCTGACGGGTACGGGTGCAGGTACGAGTGTGGGGTACCCGTGGCAGGGTACCTGTACCCGTCAGGCTAAAAGTAGCCATGTCGCACCTGTCACATATATTGCACATATATTTGAAACTAACATATATTAGAAACTATACAGAATTAAAAAAACTTTATTTCGACCCCAAAAAAACTGACAGGCCGCCAGCGCATCTTTCGCAACCTCTCGCAAGCTTTGAAAGCCCCACTCCACCTCCATTCACCACAATGTTTCATAAGCGGGTCAAGAAACTCACCGAGAAGGCCGCGCAGGCTGTTGCGGAAGGCACGACAAAGCTAAAAAGGAAGGTTAGCACCGGTAGTCAAGAGCCTTCACTGGCCAAAAAAAAAACGAAGCACATACCTTCGAGTTCTGCATCTGAGTGAGAAGAAGCATCCCCTCCTCCCCGCACCATAAGTCGACAAGCTACTATCCAAATTGAACAGGATCAAAGTCAGCGAGCTACTGTACAAACGGAAGAGGAGGATGGCATACAGGATGCTATCAATGTGGACTCCGAGACGTCATCTGATGATGCCGAGACCTCAGAAGCTGAGCTCGGCAAGTTAATTATCCTGAGCATACCATTATGTTAATCAGTTTTTATTTCACAGACAAGCTAAAAAAAGGGTGGACATCACCGGTTTATGCGTTCTACGAGCCAATACCAAGCATTGAATATATTGGCGGGCGGCGCTCCCATGTATTCCAGTGCATGGGGAAGGGTTGCAAACAGCGCGTTGTCATGCATGAAATGAAGATCATACATTGACATTCAATAGGATAAGGGTATACTAGTCAAAAAGCTTTTGCTTTAGACTAATTACTCTATGTTGAGGCAAGAGAAGTAAAAAGTGGCAGAAAGCTCGCGTTTCATTTACTTCTGTTTACGTTTATCTTTGTTGACTTTCTTGCTTCTGTTTCTCTTGTTCTTTTTTATTTGTGCACATTATGTGAGCTTCAGCCACAATCTGAGCTTACATAACATGTAATTAACCCTAGGAGAAGTCATGTGACTCCAGAATTGAGTCATTTGATCTTGGACGATGTCACTCGATGTCATAACTCCACAACAATGTCATTTGATGTCATAGCTCCACAATGATATCATTCAGCTCCACTTTGCTCCACAAATGCTCCACACTGCTCCACAGTGATGTCATTTGCTGTCAAATGAGTCAGAATGAGTCATTTTCCTCCTTTGGTGTTCTTTCCACTTCAATTCTGCATTTTATGCTACAACTACCTTATTTCTTCTGAGATTTGTGTCTCTTTCTATTTTCTTGGTACTATACAGTTCCTGGGATATTTCCCACACCAAATGTATATAAGGAGGCTCGATTCTCTGAGGAGAAATGAGAGACTCCCCATATTGGAGATTTCCCACTTCACATCTATCATCTGAAGTGCAGGCTGATACTGACAGCCTTACTACACTAAGATTTGATATAATCTTAGTCTTGTGTTATCTTTACTGTTGTTAGGGGCATTTAGTCACCCTAACCTTCTTTTCTAGTCCTTTGTTGGTCTAGAACTGCTGTTTCCTTGCTTTGATTAAGTCAGCAAGGATTTGTCTGGGAAAAGCTTAGTCAGCATCCCACACAACCCATATCTTTTGTCCAAGAGCTGTTTGGACAAAGAACTCTTCAGGAGAATATTCTTGCTTTGATTACGTCAGCAAGGATCTGTCTGGGTAAAGCTTAGTCAGCTTCCCAATTCCACACCACCAAGGACTTTTGCTCCATACCAAAGGTCCCTCGTTCATCAAAGGATCCACACACTTCAGCCAAGTGTTGTGTAGCGCATCCACTTGTATAATTGTCCAAGGACCATTCGGACAAACCATTCGTCAACGTAGTCTAGTCCATCTATTCTACGCAGTTCATCGTATCAGGCCTATCGTCTAGGTCTATCCTCCCATCCCAAACCGAACCCCATTTCAAGAACCAACGACAGACTGTATAGTCGAGCCTCCCACGAACGACACGTTATCAACCGAGAAAACTAGAAAATCCGTTGACCGTGTACTTGAGGAGTTGGCAACTCTTGTCTTATCAAAGTGTAGTTGTGGTGTCACTACATTTACACGAAAACATATAAGACCCTCAAGTAGTAAGACATCGTTCGGCGCTACCTCGACAAGGGCGATGCGAAGTTGACGAGCAACATGGCCAAGCACGCCAAGAGCTGCTGGGGGCCAGAGGCATATGATGCCGCACAAGAGACTAAATCAGCAGTAGCAGCACGTGAAGGCGTCATCAAAAACTTACTGAAATACGGCACTATCACGTCCTCTTTCGAAAGAACATCTAAGGGTAAAGTGACCTATTCACATAGGCAACACACGAAGACTGAAACCAAGTAAGTACTCACTAGTATGTACATGAACACGCTACTGACACATTGCCAAAGGGCAGAGATCGTGCGTTGGGTCTCGGAAAGCCTACGACCATTTGAGACTGTCAGTGACCGAGGATTTCAGTCGTTGATGAAGACGGGGCGTCCTGAATACTACCTACCTTCACCTTCCACGGTGTCACACGACGTGAAACTTGTATTCGCAAATGTTTGACAACGGATCGCATGAATGCTGCAGGTGATGCACGCCGTTGTCGAATGTCACAAAAAAAAACTAAAAATCTGAAAGGAATATGATGGTGAACTCAACTTCGCGACAGATGCATGGACCTCACCTAATCATAAGGCCTTTGTGGCGGTCTCTGTGCACCTTGAACACCAGGGCAAACCTCTGGCCATGGTTCTTGATGTTGTTGAAGTTGCGCAGGTGGGTGTGCTCGATTAGCTTCACATCACCCTGAGACTGACGGCAAGTCAGTCACATTCTGGTGCCAATCTCGCAGAGGCCTTTGCTAAAATTTTAGCCGACTTCGGAATAACTGACAAGGTCAGTACCACTCACCATGATGCGTACTATATGAAGGGGGGTTGGTGCCAGCGTTGGTGGGAGGTTGGTGTTGGCATTGGCGAAGGGGGGTTGGTGTGCCAGCGTTGGTGGGGGGTTGGTGTTGGCATTGGCGAAGGGGGGTTGGTGCCAGCGTTGGTGGGAGGTTGGTGTTGGCATTGGCGAAGGGGGGTTGGTGCCAGCGCTTCACAGTGCTGGCGTTGAGTAGATGACGGTGCTTCACAGTACAGCTGCTTACCATCCTGCAGATACTGAGCATCACGGCCAACAACGCAAGCTCTAATGACACACTCACGACTGAGCTTGCCGACCTCGTAGCTCACTTCGGAGGGCCCACATCACGAACACGATGCTTTTTGCATGTAATCAACCTCGTGGCGAAATCGTTAATAAAGCAGTTTGACTTACCGAAGGCCAAAGATGTTCCCACTGACGCAGAGTCACTTGCACTTGACTCGGATATGGTGAGAGATATGAGGAGCGAGGATGAAGCCACAATTGCAGAGAACGGGGATGGTGACCCGGATGCAGAGGATGTTGACAATGAGGATGGGTTGGTCGACGAAATAGACCTGCTGACAGCGCATGAACGCACTGCATTGGAAGCAAACATTCGGCCCATTAGATTGACACTAGTAAAGGCAAGTTTGAGTTTATACATGATTAAAGACATGAAAAATTAATCCACTCACCAGCTGCGCAAACTTGCCTTCAAGATTGTCCACTCTACTACACTCCTTCTCCCTGCATGGAAAGACGCTACTGAGGAACTAGGACTTGGATCCAGGATCATGCCGCGTGATGTGTCGACCCGTTGGAACTCCACATTTGATATGTTGGAGTTTGCGATCGATCACCGCAAAGCGATTGATGCGATGACTGATAAGCGTAAGTTGGGACTTGGAGTGTATGAATTAGATGATCACGCGTGGACACTTGTGACATAGCTGCGAGATGTTCTGAAGGTAAGTGACACGTCACACATTACACAAGCTGTGACTGACCTTCTACAGATCCTCAAGCATGCTACCTAATACTTCTCGCGATTAACTCCTAATCTTGTGATGGTCATCCTAGCGATGGACCATATCGACACGACATTCACTAACGGTATCCTTAACGCTCACGTCCTTGACCCTGCCATTCGCGCGGCATTGAAACTGGCAAAAAGAACCCTCAACAGATACTATTCGCTCACTGATACCTCCGAAACATACCGTGTGGCTATGGGTATGCTCTTGTCAAGTCTTCCTTCTTATGATGATGCTAACTTCATATTTTTTTCACCGGCAGTCCTTCATCCCCAGCACAAACTGCAATACTTCCGGAATGCAGGCTGGGAGAATGAGTGGGTTACCACGGCTGAACATCTCGTGCGTGAGGTGTATGACCGGTCATATGCTGTGCGAACAGTTGCTCAGGGTGTCAATGCTGGTGACGAGGTAAGTTTCATGTCTCCGTGTCCCTCATTATTTAACTAATCTATTGCTGTTAAATGTTGCCATAGATTGATGCTCACAATGTCATTGACGAGACGTTGAATATCTTCGACTCACTCCCAACACTGGCCGCACCTCAAGTCATATCACACGAGCTCGACAAATATCTAAGCACCGATGTTGAAAAAGTCGGCGATGTACTGGCTTGGTGGCACGAACGTCGCGCTATGTACCCACGCCTCTCTCGCATGGCCCTAGATTACCTGTCAATTCCAGGTGAGTTTGTTTTTATTCTGACGTGAATCTTCGATGTTTTTAATGTGGCTTTCCAGCAACGTCTGTTGACGTCGAGCGCATTTTTTCTCGCGGACGGCTCATTCTTTCTCACATGCGTTCAAGACTTTTGGCGCAAACGACACGAGCTCTTCTTTGCCTTGGAAGTTGGAGTCTCCTTGGTCTGGTGAAAGACAAGGATGTTACTGCTGTGACATGCAAGCCTGACCTCGAAGGAGAAGAGCGGGAGTTGGATGAGGGCTGGGATGATATCATTGTGTAGTTCTCGCATGTCTAGTAGCTAGATTTGAATGTACACCGCGGGTTTACCCCTCACGGGTACCATACCCGCTGTACCCGCTCCGACCCACGCGAAGACCCGTACCCCCTGGTACCCTTGGGTACACGGGTATGGGTACATTGCGGGTACAGGTGCGGGTCGAGGTCTGGATACCCGCGGGTTTACCCGTGCCAATGCCTAGTAATACTAAGCTTTGCTATCAGTGCCATTAACTTCATGAATCCATCAGAATACCTCTGGCGAAACGAAGGCCAGTGTCTACAAGCGGATCGGCGCTGTCGTTTTGCCAGAATTCCACGAGATCGATCCCACGGCGACCGGAGACCGTGTAAAAGGCAAACTTGAGTCGTTGAGTTGCCTAATACCACATTTGTTTAGTTTATACTAATACCAGTCATTTAGCCTTACGAAAACATATAAAAAACATGCTGCGAAGCTTCGGATGACAGGCGAAGGTCTCCGTGAGAGTCAGGACAGTGACAATGGTGATCCCACCAACGAGTTTTGCCAATTCTACATTGGCGCGAATGGCCCTGATGCTACTAGCACTGAGGAAGCGAAGAATTTATGGGGTATGTTTGTTTTATTACGAGTGTAATGCAACTCATGGTGTACCAGAGGAAATCAAGAATGATTTTCCGTTCTTCGCGGACCTCCACCAGATTTTCGCAGCTCGTCCAAATGTCACCCCAATTGCAGTTACAACTGGGGTTGGCCCTCACGGCAAGAAGACCTTTCATATGCAGCCTCCGAGTGATGACGAGGACAACACCACCTTCACAGCTTCACAAGTCAGCCAGATCCGAACTCTCCAGGATGCCCTGAATCATGCCAACACTGCTCCCCGTGCAGCCTCGCCTTCATTCGAGTTCGTCAATGACAAAGAAAACACTCCGTTCTTTCACGCCATGATGTCTTCCCAGACACCCATTAGGACGAAGGCTCCAAAGCCGTCGTCAATGTCTCAGGATAGCATCACGAAGGTGAAGGGACGTATTCAGAAAATCACACCGAAGCGCTCGATCGAGGATACACTGTTTGAAATTCAGAGGTATGTGATCATTTGTTCGAAGTTATTATATTTCATGACTCGTACTAGGGTGAACCTCAATGCAATGAATGCTCGTGCTCGTGAAGAGTTGTTGCTCAAGAAAAGGAACTGTTTGCTAGAAGAGTTTAAGGCTGGTATCTGGGATGCAGCTGAGTATTGAGAGCGACTTGATCAGATGGAGGATTCAGCGCACCCTAACAAGCGCACTCGCCATGAGTCTCCTGAATGGGATTTATCTAATTTTGCTGTTGATGAGTCTGATGTTTTTGTCTGACTATTCTGTTAATGATTTATACCCTACTAGTCTCTACATTTGCTGGAATGCAACTAGCTCTTCGACCAATCTTTTCCGCTTTGCCTCGCCTTCATTATTATTCCCCCCAGCGAGTGGCTCGTCTTCTCGACCTCGATCCTCGATCTCCTGCTGATGTGTGTGAATTGGTGCGAAGTATTCACCTCGTTGATGACCTTCCACTTCAATGACAATATTGTGCAATATAATACCAACTGTGATCCATTGACATGAAGAAACATGCTGGTGCTTCGAATTGATGTTCACTCAAAGCCCACGGAAACACTGAAATCGTCCCTTTAGTGCCCCCATGCAGTGTTCTGACCGAACACGTAAATTAGCAACTGCAGCATCAAAGGCGATATTTTCGGGCAAGAGTGCGGCTGGTTTTTTGTGGACAGGGATGGTGCGTGAGTTGACAGCATAGGCTGAGTCTGCCCATGCAAATTCTTCGCCACTAAAAAACCAGTTGGGATGCTTTGCCGCAGCTGTATGCTCAAATGTCCAGGCATCATGAGCTGAACCTGTCATGCCATGGGAGTAGTCGACAATCCGAAGATTGGAAGGCAAATTGCCAACCTAAAAAATGTCCTTATGTGATATGAATGGTCATATGTCACTCACCTGGAGGTTGAGACCATAGTTTGTTTTTCGGGTGAAATATGCATCACCATTGAGTGCAGGTTTTGCATAGAGCACAACAATAGTACCGTCGTACATGACCCATCCTTCCCGCCATGTCCCGGAAAATCCAAGATGCTCATCTATCCAGTGCTTCTCCCGCTCCTTCTCATCTGCAGTGGGGAGACACACAAAAGTATCATGAAGCGACTCAATTGCTTTGAAGCACCGTTCAGTATACTTCTCAACACTACCTTCAGAGCACCCTGCGGTGCGAGCAATATCCTCGAGTGAAGCACCATTTCCGTACCGACCCATCCGGTATAGTGTGACACCTAACTGAATCTCCACAGGTTCTTGAGGTTGATTTGAGTTGTTATGAAACACCGGATGGTCCTCTATTAATCCCAAGATCCCTTGAAATACTTCTGGAGAGACTCGAAGCATATTGATGAAGCGTTGATGATTGGAAGGACTGTGTGCCCATTCCCATGCAAGGTGTAAATTGCCAGATTTGAGGACAGGTGGACGAGAACGGAGGTAGCGAGTTTGTTGTAAGGCTATGATGCAATTCACATCCATATTTAGCTCCTGTGCTAGGTCCTCTGGTGTTTGCGCAGGTTGGAAGAGTGCTCGAAAGGCCATAAATTGGACATAAGAGGCTATATACTGCTGGTGTAGCGAGCGGCGAGCCATAGCATGAGCGAACAAGTTACGTGCTTATATAATCATATGCCAACCCTTATCTCTCACGTGCGGCAACAGCGAAAGCGAAAGCAACAGCGGACAGCGGGCTACTCTGAGCTCCCCTATTGTAGTAGTTCCAGATATCTGCTACCTCTACTGCGTGCGCTTAGCGTGATCCCGCGAAGTTGATTAGATGTAGTAAATATTGCACACCAAACCTTTCCCTAAATCAAAGTCTTTTGAATACATGTCAGACAGTCTAGCTAGTACTGCATGAAAAATCGAATAAAACAGACACTAGACTACGTGTGTCATGGAAAGGTTTAGGAGGAGGTTTAGCAATACTACAAATATTGAAAGGTTTAGGCCTAACTTCAGGCTTTATACAGCGAGGATGAGGATGAGGATATATACTCGCAGTGCGACAAGGTGTAGAAATTATCTCATGCGAAGGTTTTGCTAGCGCGGTACACGTGGACAAATTAGGAAACGTTTAATGTTTGGGGTCCGCGTTGGGTCCGCGTAGGTAATTTACGTGAGGTGACCGTAAGCTTCCAGTCGACATTGACAGCGACTCCCCAGAATTGACCAGCCCCGAGGCCTGATGATCTAACCCTGATGCTGTTGGTCGAAGCATAGAGAATCGAGTAAATGCTAGCACTGCCAAGGAAAGCACACAATTAAGAGACATCCAAGGAGCTGTGCTCACATCAAACAATTCTTCGTTCTCCTTCCTCAGTAATTTCTCTCATCTGGAGTTCCAGTGCGGATGAACTGACTATCAGATCTACTAGAGGAAAAGTGTTCCCGACCGAGTTGGGGATCTTCAAACCACTATCGACGTCAGATCTCTTAACGGTTTCGCTCGTGGAGACCAGCCATGGCTTCCGCATCGACGAGTGCAGCTGCTACGAAATCGATTCTGAACCCAGTAATGACTTTGAAGGGTCATAGAGAGTACATTCGATCCATATCCTACTTTCCTGACGGCCAGCAAATGATCAGTGGATCTTTGGACAAGACCACTCGGCAATGGGATCTGAAGACGGGTGAGGAAATTGCGGAAGTGCGGGGTGTTTGCGAGAAAGACGTAGCTGTGGTTGCGGTATCAAGGGATGGTCGATGGGCTGTCAATGGTGGTGGAGATTACGAAACCGGGGAGTTGAAAGTCTGTGAGGTTGAAACAGGGATTATGAAAATATTGAAAGGCTGCTCAGGAAGGGTCACCTGCATCGACATCTCCGCGGACAGTACGCTGCTGGCCTCGAGTTGCTCATTTGCCAGTGATTGTTCAATGCGGATATGGAACCTGGAGACTGGGAAACTCGTGGGGGGTCCATTCGAGAGTGTTAAATGGGCGTGCGCAGTTCGATTTTCGACGGATTCGAAGAAGGTCACGATCAAGTCAAATGTGGGGAAGTGCCTTGAAATCTGGGATGTTCAAAACCAGAAATTGGATGTGAGTATAGGGAAATCCCAGGATTTCGATCAAGGATGGGTCACACATGCGCCAATTTTCTGGACAAACGAAAACAAAACCATCTTGGCCTCATTCAGCTTCACAGATGACCGCACCAAGACTGTCAAGACAATCTACGAGTTCGACGCATCGACGCTGGAGATTGTCGGAGCTCCCTTCAAAGGGCACACTGACTTTGTCACCGGTCTAACACTTTCATTTGACTGCACTCTCCTCGCTAGCGCTGCCTACGACCACACCATCAAGCTCTGGGCTTTCGAGCCCCGCCAACTCCTCGCTTCTTTCGATGTTCAGAATCCCAACACGAGCCTTGTTCTCTCACCCGACTCGCGCCAGTTGGCTTACACGACAGACACCGACAATGGTTACAAGATCTACATATGTAACACTCCACCCGGTGTTCTTGCCCAGACCTGTGCGCTCAAAAAGTCAACCCTCAGTGACCTACTAAATGTACGGATCACATTTCTTTACCCATCACACCACTCATCCATCGCCGTCATTGCAGTCAGATGCGACTAGTCGCCCTCATCCCGGGCGCCGCAGACCACCGAGATCTGCCATACCTATAGTGCAGAGATCTCCGCATACAATAGATCCGCAGCAACCTATTTCCCATCGCCTCCGCAAACTTTTTCACTTCTCTCCTCACACAAATGTAGCGCGTCCCGTCCCACCGCGTAATCCCCTAGATGTAAGTCATTTGTCTCAGTTCTTTCACATTTGATTGGACAATGGCGGCGCAGGTCCCGGCTACATTGCCCCTACCATCCTCTCTCTTGGGGCAGGCCGCAACTCAGTTTGATCATGTTAGTCTTGCTTTCATTAAACTCGCAATGCATGACTCAGTGTATATCCAGTTCGAAATAAGTCCTCCCCGTCACCCATTGAATGGTCCAGTCACACAGTTCCTACGACAGCACCTTTCTTTCCTCGTGCCAAGTCACAGTCACATACCGCCAGTCGTTGAAGTCGTACCAGGGCGGAAGTTCACTGTAAACTACATTTTATTTGGTGTCATTGCCTGTTTGCTGATTTGTACCCTATAGCGGTTAGCTGCTGTAAATCTACCAGAATACAAGAAAGTGAACGACACCCGACATCCACCTCAGGCTGGGGTGCCGGAGGATATCGACTCATCTGACGTCGATTCTCTCCCAGACGTGCATTGGTGCAAGGCGTTGCTGTGCTACTATTCGTGCTGGTCTCATGGCAGACTGAGGGTGCCTCCTCGATGGCGCTTGGAGCGTGTTAATACACCCCGCCAAGATGGCACGACAAACACTAGTGGTAGCGGTAGTGGTGCTCATGCTCGCAGTTAACTTCGTGTGCATTCATCTGTGTTCGTTGTATTTCCGTAACTGACGATTTCACACTTCTATGTAGACATATACGAATTCTGAATCCTGATGCACAGCAGCTTGTAGGTCTCACCTTCACGTACTTCATTTCATACTATCTGCTACTTGGTCAGTCAATCGTTTGACTCGAGCTTCTCTTTCCTCTACTTTCATCTGCTTCACTTGTTTAGACCTGTAGCTTCGTATAACATTTGTGATATTCGACTGGACGACTCCAAATCACGAACCTTGTACGATCTAACAAGTCTTGAGCATGCGACTTGGACCTGGTTGTGCCAGACTCGACGCTTCGAAATGTCTCAATTTGATTTTCTGCTTTACAAAACACTTGTAGATCGAGAACGAACGACTTCGTCTGTTCACCCCGCCAGGGTCAAGCTCTTGGATGCTGCATGTCAGTTAGCAGTACATTTAAGAACGCCAGGCCTTACTGCCATGCGAAACAGCGGGTTTCTTCGTTACATGATCGATGAGCCGCTGGCAGGTATATATCCAACCGCACACACGCAGAAATATCCATCATTGCACTGGCCATGCTGTCTCGAGATCTTGATGATTTGGCTCGTACCCTGAGTGGTACATACATGAACCAATGGTACAACTTGTTCATCCTTACGCACAAATCACCAGTGCATATTAGAAGGGGTCATGTTTTGTTCTGAGGCAACAGGCTGGAGAATACAAGTCGGAATTATAGGTGTAGATATTGGGGTTCCGGGAGGTACTTATATATTCCTAAAGTCTGAAATAACGAACAAAGTATCTTGTTGGCAACAGGCTACAAGGAGCCAGGTCTGGATGCTACACACGATGACGTCAGATTGAATCAGGAAAGCGGTAGGTGGGGGGACGCATGAAATTGATCATACACCAATATGCATGAAAACTATGCGCTGGTCCAAGGGCATCTCCTCGTCACCAGCCAACGACTGGACCGCTCGGTGAAGCACCCGGGCAGCTCGCTTGGAATTCATTTTTCCATCCTCGCACAAGTTCTTGTAGAATGCCTCGACTAAGCGCTGCACCGTACGATCGTTGACGCTCCATAATGTCCCAACTACACTCTGCACACCAGCAAATTGTAGGCTAGCCGCCAGGTGTATGACTTCGTCAGGCGTATTGACATCACCGACTGCGGTTTCACAGGCAGAAAGAAAGGCGAATTCATGCCGAGACAGATCCGTTTGTGCGATATTGAGGAGTGAAAGCGGTTCGTCGAGCATGAGCAAGGCCGACTGGAAGGGTTCGTCAAAGTTCTGTGTCCCGTGACACGAAAAATGGAGCCAAGTGTTGTCTCGCAATGCACGCAATGCTCTCGATTTCGTTGAATCAACGCTCGTTATCTTGGTGAAGGCAACAGTCGGGGGAGGGGGTAAAAGCTTCTGCACCAAATCTAGCTCAGGCTCCACAAACTTCAAAGTGAATGAATGACCGGCTGGGTGATTCTGACCGATGGCAGCAAAGGGCACTGGCAGGGATCTATCGTGGCTTCTGCGAGCCCTGATCAGGGCGGTAAGCGATGGGTCATTGCCTCGGTGCTTGAAGCAGGTGGAGAGCACAAACGCAAGCTTGTTTAATGACCTGGACCGATCTGGGTGACCGACTGGAAATAAAGCCAGCGCGTCCCTGTGAATCATGATGGCGTCATCCAAGTCTTGGCTATTGCCTCGGTGTTCGAAGCGGGTGAGCACCATTCTAGCCAGACTAGATAACAATTGCCCTCGGCGATCATACATAGTGTCGTAGTATCGCAGTGCATCGTAATGAAGGGAGATCACTTCATCTAAGTCGTGGGGATCATCTCTCTGCAAGCACCGCTCTGCACGATCAGCAAGTTGATCTGGCGAGAACGGAAGCATGGATGCAGCGGGCTGCATGTACCCAATATCGTGTCCATCCGTGCCTCCAGCTCGATGTAGAGAAAATGTATCGATCGCAAGTAAAGCTGCTCTGTAAATGTGGCTGTTGGCGTGGCAAACCTCGAGGACTTCGCTCATTAAATCTCCGGCCACATCAGCATCTGTTCGTGTCCATCCGTGCCTCCAGCTCGATGTAGAGAAAATGTATCGATCGCAAGTAAAGCTGCTCTGTAAATGTGGCTGTTGGCGTGGCAAACCTCGAGGACTTCGCTCATTAAATCTCCGGCCACATCAGCATCTGTTTGAAATCCCCGTTTCGCAAAGCGAGACAACAGAGAAATGGCAAGGTGGAGCTGGGTCGTGGGTCGGTCAGGATGACCGGTAGGACGCAAAGCAAGGGCATCTTGAAAAAGAGAGATGGGGATGTCGAGGTCGAGGGATGTTCTATTAACTTGGCAACTCAAAAACTTCGCGATAGCTAGATTGAACAGTGATGCAGGGCGGCAGGGATGATCTATGGGGCAAAGATCCGAGGCGCGTTCAAAGTGCTTGATGGATTGGTCGAGATCCCCACTGTTCTGCCCCCTGCGGTATCGTGCGAGAAGATGATGTCCGGTGTCCGCCCTGAGTATTAACGCCTTTCTATTGCCGGACGTAGCCTACGTATCACAAGTTCTCAGCATCAGAATGTCAGACTGCGTTGATCACTAACGGTAGTAAGGAGGGAAAGGACAGCGCCATTGTCATCAGAACACCACCGCTTCACTGTCACGAACAGTGAAGTACACGGGGATATGAGTTCCGCCTGCTTGGGCTGAAAAACTATGGCTGTGATACTCGTCAACATCTCTCAGGCGTAATTTGCAACAGACGTTACTGACGACGTGACTTTTCACTGCGATCCAATAATTCACCCACGGACATCTCGAATGTTCGGAGGACTTCTCCATGACTGAGCATGGGACCCAGTTCAAATGAGGCATACACGCTGACCCGAACGAGAGAAGATGGTTCACATGGCCTAAAGTCTTTCTCAACACCTGCAGCAAAGATGGGATCAAGGACAGCTTACAAAAGTATGGGCTCGTTCCATTCGACAACGGCCTGGTCTACGTGCACAGGCTTGTTTCTTGTTTGGAATTCGATACCGCGAGCCTTTACCACCACATGGAAGCCAGCGGGAATCCGTTGGAGACCAAGAGTTAGATCAGTTGCGCGAATGGCTTGGGGGAAGCTGTCAATACATGCGGAACTGAGTTTGATATCACATACCAGTAACGACAATCTGTTGCACTCCACTGAGGTGTGCCTCTCCCGGGTCTTGGGGGTGTTCTGGGTAGCTTGCTTCCTCACCCAAAGGCTGGGAGGGTATCATCGAGTGGGTCTGGCACGGTGTCTGTGGCGAAACGAAACAGCAGAGTAATGACGAAATAAAGTGTTAACAGAATGGCTTTGGGAAATCATTGGTATGTGCTGAATGAAAATAGATGGTGCATACTATTGACGGCGAATTGTAGCATTTCACCGACCGCGAGATTCGTCTCGGGGTCCTGGGGGCGTGCTGGGTGACTCTGCTCCTCCAAGGGTGGAGAGCAATCATCAAGAGGATGAGGAACAAAGTTTGACATATGGCTGAGGGATGCAAACTAGCACTTGAGAGTAAGATGTGTACTAGAGATCACGGAAAACTGCAGTGCTCGCAAATGCCTGACGGATTATAAAGGAAGGGAACATAGCATGCGCGCGGCATCCACACTGCGCTGCGGTATGCAGAGGTGAGGTCAACGGGACAGAAGCGGCTCGCAACTCATTGAATTGCCTATAGATTCATTAATGAGCGTCAGACTTGTACAGCAGAGGTGTGTTGTAGGTGCGCCATTGATTAAAGCAGCCAACACGAGGAGGCTGCGAGGCTCAAGAACAGCTCAGTATTCCAGGCTTTTGAATATTGCGAAGCACGGCATGAATGTCACCGCCCTCAGGCCTCAACCCCATCCCACTGCTGTCAGACAGTATGTCACGCGAGAAGATAGGAACTGACAAGAACTCGCTGTCTGCCATCCGGACAGCAGTCCCAACACTTTGCCAAGACAGACAAGTGTTCGCTGTTCTGGGCTGAGGGCTTATGACGGAATGGGACAAAGTTCTGCTCGGGTCCTGAGGCCTGATGCATATGGGTCGAGGCTTCCACTTGCGCGAGCAAGGGGATATGTACATGGAAGAATGTGATACTAGTTGTCGCAATTCAATAGTAGGGACGTTGCAACTCGAAGGATCGTGTGAATGATCGAGTGAGGTTGGTTGAGAATAAGCGTAGTAGGCTTTGAAGGGGTTAATCAATATTAATATTGTCACAGCCCACAGCCAGCATCAACATACTGGGCTCAGAACCGACGTGTTTGCATGGATGGAATATGTCACACATTCAAAAGCATTCAAATAATGGCCCGGGGATGTCGACGCAAACATCGAGCGGGGTTTAAACTTTGCTCCGTCGAATTGTACAAACATCGACCTGGCAACTATTTTACATATCGCCTTCGTTTGTACTACCAGCGTTAATTTTCAGCATGTGCCGCAGGGACTTGCTTGTTCTCGATTTGTTTTGCCACGGTGTCCTTTACGCTTAGGGAACTGCACGGGTAAACCCCCGGGTACCAGCGCCCATACCCGCACCCGTACCCGGCGAAAACCCGTACCCGTTAGCACGGGTACGGGTTTTTGGCGGGTATGATGAGATCAGACCCGGACCCGGACCCGTGTGGGGTAAACCCGCGGGTAACAGTGAGGGCAGAATAGATCATGCACCCGCCGACAAGAAGTTCTTTGATCTGTTGGTGCTTTGATCGCGAATGGAGGGAAGATGATGAGTAGACATTGACGAGAGGAGGAATACAGACCATCCAGAATGAGGAAGGATAAACACTTGCGACGTGGAGGACTGAGAGCAAAAGGTCAGAATAAGACCTGATTCAAAAAATACTCACAGCGCGCATATATCACATGCGAAGGAGACGACTTGGGCACAATGTTAGGTGAAAAGGGGACATCACAGCACCGTCAGCGTCCTGGTCCATTCGATTATGGTCAACCAACGTAGCAGGGAATCGTTGTGACGACTCCTGGCGGTACAGGAATTACGTGTCTGAGTCAAGTTGAGCTTGACTTCTTCCTATGTCAACACTGCAACCAGCAGAAACTCCGCCACGCAATTAGTGGCTGGTTTGAGGCGTGAGGGGAAAGAACGTCGACCGCATCTAGTGCATACGCAGATCATGGGAATCGACGAAACGAAGAGGTTATATATTGCAGTAAGGTGTATGCAAAGTGTTCGGGCAAGTTACACGGTGATATGTTGGAGACACTGCTCAACAACAGAAACAACAATATTGATGCGATCATCAAAGAAGATTAATGTAGTGAAGTAACGTAAAAACGCACAATACACGCACCTCTGACACCCGCTACCTCAGCACGCAACACAGTCTCCGTCTTCATACTCTCCAAGACCACCACCGGCTGACCCATTCTCAACGCGATCGCCGATGCTTGAGAACATCCTGGCCGAGGGAGAGCAGGTATGCAGGAGGTGCGACAGCCACTGGCGCCAAGCAGCAGGTGAGATTGTAAGGTCATGCGAAAGGGTATCCAGGGCAAGCGATTCGAGCTTGTTAAGCGAGTGGACAGGAAGTTTGCAGTTGATAGGACTTGAAGCCGAGATGACAGGGTAGGGAGAGACAAGGGAATGAGGGTGTCCCGAATTCGGAGAGAGCGGGGTGTCATTGCGACTCGTGGCTGCTAGCACTAGCATCGTCAACCTTGAACGAAAAAAATTGTTAGTAATGGGCATACATACATAGATCATTGAATACGCACCTATATGCAGCAGCAGACAAGTGCCGGGAAACGAAAACGTGTACAAATGAGCGCCGGAAGATAAAACAAGTGAACATACGCAGCCAGGCATTCACAGATGGACACAGATGGACTTGCAAGGACAGGCGTATGCAAACACAAATGTTCCCAAATGGGTGCCACGTGCAAATGAGTGCAGACGTCGCAGACACAAGCAAAGACAACTTAGACAAGCGAGAACAGCGCAAACGAGCAATTACCATTTTTGGAAGGTACGGGTACACCACGGGTACGGGTTTGAGCGCGGGTCTCGAAATCTCAACCCCTACCCGTACCCGAGGAGTACCCGTACCCGTGACCCGCACGGGTTACCCATACCCGTGCAGATCCCTATTAGGCATTGGCACGGGTAAACCCGCGGGTATCCAGACCTCGACCCACACCCGTACCCGCAATGTACCCATACCCGTGTACCCAAGGGTACCAGGGGGTACGGGTCTTCGCGTGGGTCGGAGCGGGTACAGCGGGTATGGTACCCGTGAGGGGTAAACCCACGGTGTACATTCAAATCTAGCTACTAGACATGCGAGAACTACACAATGATATCATCCCAGCCCTCATCCAACTCCCGCTCTTCTCCTTCGAGGTCAGGCTTAGTGATGTGCAAAGCCCGGCTTCAGGCCGTGGGCCGAGCCAAGCCAAGCCCATTTAGGCCGGGCCAAGCCGAGCCTTGAGGACGGCCCATAAGGGCTCAAGGCCCGGCTTGAGGTATCTGTAAGCCTGAACCGGGCCCTCGAGCCACGGCTTTCAATGGGAGTAACACTGGCAGATCATAGATGAGTATTTGAGTACTTCTGCTCATTTGCGTGCATCTGCATTTGTTCGTATGTAATTCTGCGTGTTCTCACTTACACATACTCATTTATAAATCGTTGCACGTGACACTTTGTTTGTTCGGAACGGGTCATTCATGCTTGCATCCTGTTCATTCACCACTCGTATCTTCACACTCGTGCTCATATTGCACTCATTCCAGCTTGTGTACACCTGTTCTGACTTGTCCCTCGTCGTTCTCATTCATCTGGGCTTGCCTGGCCTCATTTTGGTTCATTATGGCTTGTCCCTCGGCATTCTCATCCATCTAGATTTACCTGCACTCGTCTGGACTCTTCTGCATTCGTCTGCATTCGTCTGGACTTGCCTGAACTCGTTTTGACTTGCCTCTATTCATCTGGGCCTGCCTGCACTTGTTTGGACTCGTCTGCATTCGCTTGTACTTGCCTGCACTCATTCTGCATTCGTTTGGACTCATCTGCATTCGCTTGGACTTGCCTGAACTCATTTGGACTTGACTTGGCTTGTCTGTATTCGTCTGGGCTTGTCTGCAAATGTTTGGACTTGACTTGGCTTGTCTGCATTCATCTGGACTCGCCTGCAATCGTTTGGACTTGCCTGCATTCATTTGCGCTTGCCTGCACTCGTTTGGACTCGTCTGCATTCATCTGCATTCGTCTGGACTTGTCTGCGTTCGTTTGGACTTGCCCTGGCTTGTCTGTATTCGTCTGGGCTTGTCTGCACTCGTTTGCACTTGCATGCATTCATCTGGACTTGCATGCACTCGTTTGGACTCATTTTCATGTACGTTGGTGCCCGTGCATGTTCGACAGCCGTTAATGATATCACACAATTTTTTGCATAGCAAGCCGCGGCCTAAGCCTAGGCCGAGCCGAGCCTAGCCTGAGCCGTCAAG